GAACTCCTAATACTATTAATAAAGTCTAGAACCTAGTATATAGGATTTATATAAGTAGTTTTATAACTAACTATTTAGTAGTAAGTAAGAACTAATTAATTGTAGAATATATTATTATTACAAAGTCTAACTATAAGTTAGTACTAGAAGTCTTTTATTTTATTTAATATAATATTAAAATATTATAAATATAACTTATTAGAATTCTCTCCTTTTACCTTCTCGAGCTTTAGTACGTTCTATTCTATAAGTACGTAAGTTTAATACTCGAATCTTTTAAACTATTTTTATATTATTATAGTGGTTTCTTAAATTATAGGTAGTACCAGTTAGTATTATATATAAGTCTTATAAAAGTTAGTAGCTTATCCTTTTAATATAATTAGTATAGTAATGAGTTGTTCTTTAATAGGTAGTCTATAACTTATGTAAGTATTATAGAACTTTTATAGCTTAAGTAGAAAGTTATTACCGGTTCTACCGAATTTTATATTATTACTATAGTAGCTTTTTTAGATATTTATAATCTCGAAGCTAAAAGTTATAGTTATTAGTAATAAAAATAGTACGTTTATTTTATCCGGAACTTCTACCGGAGCTATAATAGTAGGAGTACCTTGTCTATAATATAGTTAATATAGTAGATATAGATTAAAAGGATTACTAGGAGAAGGAGGTAATAGTAGGTTTATAACTAGTAGATATATTTAGTATATAAGATTTATACCTAGATATTATAGATTTAGGATAAAAGTTATAGTTACTTTAGATCTAGTAAGTAGATTACTAGAAGGAGTAGTTAGGTTAGTCTAAATACTACCTAAATTACCTATATATCCCTGAGTTAGCTAAGGTTATATAAAAGTTAACTAACCTAGAGTTAGTACTCTCTATTATTATTTTTTTATAATCTCTTAATCTATATCCTCGATATATAGGAATATCTCCCTTAACCTTATACCCTAGTTATAAATATACCTTAGTTTATTATTATTATATAGTTTATATTACCCTTAGTATAATAATTTAAATAGTAATACTAATAGTAGAATCTTCGATCCTATATTTATTAATATATGTAACTTAACGCCCTTTTCGAATAACGTTCTCTTTAGGTTCTTAAGGTATACTCTCTTTCTAATTACTTTAAACTAATCTATATTTTACTTTTCGAAGTCCTTCTAATATATATTAAAAAGTTTCTCTTCTTCCTCCCTATAGTAATATTCTTATATCTTATTTAATATAGTTTATTCTAACTTATCTTTTGTTAGTATCTTAGGATTAGGTAAAGGAGCTAGTCTTATCGAAGGTAGTCTTACTAAAGGTAGTATCGAAAGAGAAGGAGGGGGAAGGTTTATTAAAACTAGTGTTTTTCTAGTTGTCGGTATATAATTCTGGTGAATAGCACCTTGTACGAGAGCCTGATAGACCTATATACTTTAGGTCATGTGAGTGGCTTGCTACTCACATACTTAAGTCTGTAGAGTACCACCTCTCTATACCTTTACTCTTCATACACGAATGAATACAAAGAGAGATTATGTTTGTGTATCACCCTTTACGACAATCAGGTCTTACCAACACTAGTATTTAATACTAGTAGTTTACTAGTACTCGAAGGTCCTACCTTTCTACTTATCTTGTCCGTTATCGAGAAGTATATATAGTTATAAATTAAGTATCTAGTTCTTAGTATTCTTAGCTAGGCTAGTAAAGGAAATCTAGAGGCTATTTAGTTAAGGATAATAGTATAGGCTTTACCTTTTAGTAAAGTATTAAATAATATAACGTTTATATATAAAATCCTATTTATATTCTATAGATTCTAATAAAGAATCTTAGAATATAAGTAAGTCTTTTAATCTATACGCGTATAATACTAATTAGTATTAGTATTACTAGCGAAGTAATAGGATACGATATAACTTTATTTAGTTATATTATACATATTATTCTAAAGGAGTATATAGTATTATTACTAATATATAGAGTATATACCGTACTCTAAGATAGTAGTACGTAACCGCCCTTCTTTCTACCTAAGACCTAATTATACTAATACTTTTAGCTTCTACTTTTTATTATTTTACTTCTTCTATTTAATATATTAATCTAGATTCTTCTTAAAATAACGTCTAACTTTAACTCTTAGGTATTTCTTATTATATTATTTATAGCTTTTCTATTTCTTAGAACTCTTACATTTACTACTCTTACCTTCTCTCCCTGCTTTTAGCTTATCCTTATCTTTATCCTTTAACCTAGATCTACTAGTATTTTGTCACGAATCACGTGCAAGCATGTGACAAGTGAAGACCAGGCGGTGTCCTGACAGGTCGAGCACTATCATATCTCTTATAGCAAATAGGGACGCTTAGACTAGCTAAGCGATCCAGGGATTTCATTCCATTCGTATCACGTGACTAGCTGTGCTAGACGGGGCGACCGGTCGCGCGGTCTTGCAGCGACAGGGCGACTGGGCTAGCAAGCTAGCACAGGAACATGAAGGTTCTATATAAGACTGGCACGTCTGCCATTAGATAGGAGCTTCGTGCTCAACTTAGTTATCAATCTTATCATATTAGTTTGACATCTTTGATACAAGTAACGAGTTCACTTCCAAGTGAACAACCCGATAGTCTTCTTCTTATCATAGCATACCAACCAGCGAACACCCAGCCAAGTTTAGTTAGCCAGTTTGAGTATTCGTTACATATTTCTACTATTCTTTTAAAGAGTATCCTTCCCGGAGTATATAATTACTACTATACTAATTATAAACTTCTATTATACCTTATTAAAGAGATCTTACTAAAGCTCTTCTATTATTAGTAGATTAAGATTATTATTCGACTTAGCCTAGTATATAATTATTTAGTAAATATTTACCTAAATTAGAAAGTAATTCTTTAGACTATTAAAGAAGGTAATAAATCAAGTATAATTATTAAGCTAGTATTTTATCTTCTAAATTTATTAATATAAGTTATTATACTTATTAAGAAACTTAGTAAGATTATTATACTTTTTATATATATTAGTCTACTATTTATTAACTAAATTATATAAGGTTATATCCCTTAATCCCTAGTATCTTAAAGCTAAGAGTTCCTAGATCTCTTAAGTATTTAAAGATTCGGAAATAGTATATAAAGTATTACTAATATTGTAAGAGGTATCGGTTATATACAGAGTGTATATAAGACAGTGGAAGTAGGATGGTCAGATGACTGTTAGGTACATCGGGAATCAAAGAGTAAGAATTTGACTTGTGAAAATGACTTGATTTTTCTAACTATAAGGACAGTAAAGGTCTATATATACTCTTTAGATAGATTCTAGGAGGTTCTATAGATTATAAATAGAATAGAAGTGCTTATAAATAGAAAGGGATACTAGAATGTTTCGGTTCACGTGATCGAACGTTCTAGAATAAGCGAGAACAGACTAAGGTTTAAACCTAAAGTCTATTAGTAAGTAAGGTAATTATTACCTAAATGAAACAAATATAATTAGTTTAAATAGCACGAGCTATAGTTATATTATCTACTTTATACTTTATCTAAGCCTTCGTCTCTTCTTTTATATATATAGTATCTACTAGGTACATCTTTAGTACTACCTTAGGTATTTAATATAAAGGGTTAATAACCTTTTTAATGTTTAGCTATTCCAAGAGATATTTGAGTAATAACTTCTATTTAGTATAATTTAATTCCCTCTTAAGCTTTATTACTAAAAATAAAGCTTATATTATTACTATATAATTAAGTAGCTATTATAAGCTTCGATTTAAAATTTAAACCTAGAGAGAATAGTAGAGGAGGATTATTATTACTACTATTACTACTGCTTAAACTATTACTAAAACCTAGATCTAGTAAAAGCAGATATTCCGACTGCTCTTTAAGTTCTATAAAAGCTCTATCTAATTTAGTTAGATTAGACTAGACTACTTTAGTTAAGGGTAGTTAAGGAAGAGATTAGATATTCTTCTAATTATTAAGGAATACTCTAGGTAATATAGGACTCTTTTAAGTAGGAAGTACTATAAGCTTAGTCTAACCTCTATTAGCAATCTCTTTAGTTTTAATTAATTTCGAAACTTTAGTTAATTTTCTAAAACTCTCTTCGCTTTTAGCTTTCTCCTTAGTAATCTACTAATTTAATTTATATTATACTTTAGAGATAAACCTTCCTTTAAAGTCGTAATATTAAACTTCTTTTAACTTTTTATTTAAGTCTATTAATACTAATATATATCTAGTACTACTTACTAAGTAACTATATACCTTAGACTTTTAAAATAGATTAGTCTAATACTATACTAGAATAGACATAGTAAAGCGGTACTATAATTACCCTTTAGATTACGCTTCTAGGCTTATAACCTATTATTTAGGTACTTATTTTAGTAGAATAGCTAAGAGTAAATAGATGTCACGAATCACGTGTTCACGTGATAAGAGAAGACCAGGCGGCGTCCTGAAAGGTCAAGCACTATCAGTACTCTTATAGCAAATAGGGACGCTTGGGCTAGCTAAGCGATCCAGGGATTTCATTCGGTTAGTATCACGTGACAGGGTCACATGATCGTTGGAGCTTGCAGGAGCTTGCGTTGGAGCTTGAGGATCTTGGGCTCCCCGTAGGCTCCACGAGAACGAAGGTTCTATATAAGACTGGCACTTCTGCCTTTAGATAGGAGCTTCGTGCTCAACTTAGTTATCAATCTTATCATATTAGTTTGACATCTTTGATACAAGTAACGAGTTCACTTCCAAGTGAACAACCCGATAGTCTTCTTCTTATCATAGCATACCAACCAGCGAACACCCAGCCAAGTTTAGTTAGCCAGTTTGAGTATTCGTTACAATAGATAGTAGGAATGAGTGTTAATTACGGTAAGGAACTAACCAAGCTACTAAGAAGTAGGTTATTTATACCCTAGCTAAGCTACGCACAGTCTACTAGTAGTTACCTAATTAGGTAACTACGGACTATGACTTAAGAGAGAATGACTCGTAAGTGAATGGTAACTCGTTAGGTAGATCACCTAACAACAAGTATTCTTCCACTTGCTCGGCATTCGTACCAATATCTCCACAGGTGACGCGATAGAGCGGTTTCTCGGCGAATTCAGCTACACTACGAATACTTGTAAGCAAGATGCTTTTGGGTATGACGTGTTTTTCAGCATACCTTTCAGCTGTAAGGGTTTTACCGGTTCTATGTATATACGTTAATTTTAGGAACGTTGAAAAGGCGCGGAAGAATTTACCCGGGTCCACTATGAAATGGCTGTTAGTTGCTTAGTTCGTTAGAAGCAAAGGAAGGACTCCGACGTACCCATGAAGTAAAATAATCACACCTTAGTGATATCTGTTAGCAGGAGTGAACCCAAAAGGAAAATAGCAGCAGTACCTGTCCCCTTTCCCTCCATCAAATCAGTCGCCCTCTCATTAGCCAGCTGGTTAGTAACCAAAGCTGTGATGAGCTTCTTGACAGGAGGGTCTACTACCAAAGATTCGAAGGCGGCTTTGTTCCACTTCACATCAGATATACGACCTACCTGAAGCTCAACTAGAGTATCCGTAAGCCATGGACACCAAGACCATCCCGAAACACTTTACTCACCCCATTGCTTCGCCTGCATATTGAAACCGCTGACTGTCTGCGGCAGAAGGAATATGAAGTTGCCTTCGGGCGGATCTTCGGCATCCATCTCCTCCTGACTTACTTTCTCGTCTCTTGCATATTCGAAGCTTTGTCGTATAGGCTGGCCCTGATGCATTTTTTGGTACGTTCGCAAATCGACCATCTATCTAGAATCCGACTTTTGCTGAAGCTGATATTAGTCTTGTCTATATACCAAGAATAATTGATCAGACGTTACCTTGTGCTCGGCCATATTGTTGTCGGTGTTGTAGCTCACGAACCTCCGCACTCGACAACTCCAGAAAATAGATCCCCTTCTCCGAAGTTCCTCTGCGACTTCAAGCCCAGCGAAACGTAACGGTAGCAGCGCCAGCTCGTTGATCGGCTTCACGTGTTGTTTCGAGTCCCCATAGTCTGCATACAGCTCTTGCCAGTTCATTGAAAACTCTCCATCGAAATGCCAGTTATGGCCTTGAATATAGAGCTGATCTGCAGAAATTTCGACATTGGCCCCCTGCCTGTCATCGATGGCAGATTGGATGGGGTTTCGTTTCGGGCGAGTCTTTCGGCTAGGCCAGTCGACCTGTTCGTAACCCGCGTACGCATCTCCCTTTTTCTCAATCACCACGGTGCCGGGCTCGAAGAGATAGGCGAGATATTGTGCTGTTATGTTTTCTTCTGAAATCAAAGTTTCCACTCGGGCGAACTCATCTCTGAAGCTCGCCTCGATATGTTGTCGGGATAGTCGAACTTGGGACAAGTGCTCGTCTGGCAGGTCATCTAGACTCGATGAATGATCGTTTGCTGAAGTAGAATAGAAACGGCGACGTTATCTGCGAGTTGACCTTGAACTCCGGGAAGTACTTCATCTCGTCGGGATATCTTTTCCTCAAGAAAATGTACGCCTTATGTAACTTCTCCGACGTGACTCGTATAATTTCCTGTACTGCAGGTGTCTCGGGTTCCTTGACAGGCAAATCCTCTTCCAATCGTTTGGGCTTACAACATCGAAGCTCCTTGTAGAACAAGAATGAAAGTGCGCCCCTCTGAAGCTCAATGAAAAGATCAACATCGTTAGGAAACGGTTTCTGGCCGTGAAGATGGAATGTCTGATCCGGATGGTCGTCATATTCCAGTGGTTTGTCCAAGAAATAACTAAAGCTCTTCTTGTCAAGACAGTAGACCTTGTAGATGATTTGCACTCTTGTTGCTTCTTCCTCTTTAACCCGATACTTGGGACCTCGCTCCTTCTCCTGCTGTAATTTGGCAATTCGTTGCTGCAGCCCGCGAATAATCAATAGGTCGGAAGATTGCGAGGATGCCTGCTTCTGTTGATCACGATCCTGACAAAGATCTTCGGCTTGTTCGGAATGAGAAATCGGCGACGACGGTTTGGCTCGCGGCTTAGGATCTACCATAGCAGCTCTATCTTCTCGTAGAATTGGAGGTAGGGTGCTAGAAGTACTTGCGATCTTTCCTCCCATAAGTTGCCCTGTCAACCGAGAGGCCGGTGTTTGAGAGGAGGGTGAGTCTACGTTCGATTTTTTATTGCTTCTGTCGCCGATGGACGTGTTGGAGATTCCTCTGTTGGAGCGTTCCCGTCCGGTATTTTGAAGGAGTTCTGCAGTCAGTGATGGAGATTTCTAAGGATTTCGTTAGTCAAGAGTTAGAATCAAGAGCTTCAATCGTTGAGTGCCTCAATGATTTAAATACGTACCACTTGACGCACAGTCGAGATGGGTAGAGAGCTTCGAGGAGGATTACCCTTCCGGGTACCTCTATTCGGGCTGCCACACTCGGAGGTAGGCTTCATCCGCGGCGACATAGAAATACTTGCAGTGGAGGTGTGGTCAGCTTCGCGAGCCTATTTGGAATTAGGACGAATTCTATTTTGGACGGAGGAATTGATCTCACCTCTGGGTACGATGATGCTTTGGTAGAATTACTCAAACTTCTGGATCGAGTCGTTGACAAGCCAGAAATTCCTGTCCAACTACGCTGTGCAACCTGAAGGTCGTCTTTTCCGCAGAGAGAACTTGAAGGTCCCACGCTTTCCGATATAGGGTTTCTTCCCAATGCAGCTTCCAATATTCAGTTGTTCCTCTGGCGTGAGAAGTGATCTCAAATCTTCCAGCTTCGAAAAGACTGCTTCATCGGACGCTTCCGATGGGCATTTGCCTTTACCTGGATTCTCCAGGTTCTCGGATTTTTTATCTATTGACGGCTGAGTAATCCTGGACTTGACAGCATGTTCAATGCCTTGGGACGGCTGGGCTTTGTCTTTGAGGCAGGCAAAGTAATAGGTGATGGGATCTAGCTCAGATTCGGCCATGTTTGAATTCTCTTCCGACGTCATGTTGGATAAAGCCCTCTGTGCTTTTCTCAGTTCCTCGTCAGTGGCTTTCAAAGCCTGCTCCAGATATTTATTCATTTCCTCTCTCAGAGCTGGCTTCTCGAACTCGTCCTCCACTGTGGTATGGCTCAACAGGGGCGGCTTTTGTCTCTCTGCCATAGCTTCTTTGAGTTCATATTCAGGGATCCACGCCGCAGAATCTCCTTCCGAGTATGCGTCTATCCGATCAAAGGGATCCAGGGGCCTCTGCTTACCAGCCGACGGCATTGGAGGTGAAGAGCTTTGTAGTACAGGAGAATATCGCACTCTAGGAGATCTACCAGTATCCCCATAACTGACTCGGGGTGCTTGATAAGTTGGCCTCCTGGTTGTCCTCTCTACCACTCTCTCTGCCATCACTTGCGACAAGTCTCGCATTGGGTGCCCGCCCCAATCTGGAGAGGACTCTCGCGGCCGCCGAGACATTGCATCCAGATCTCTTCGACCCAGTTTCCGTGAATTCGCACCTTTGAAATCTTCCATCATCCAAGCTGACTTCTCCTCCGTACCCTGTTCTTCGTTCTGCGATGGGGACCCGAACGATATCGCTTGCGGCTTCGAAAGCTTCTGAGCAAGTGCTACAAGAACTGCGTCTTCACTTTGATCCAAGCCGCCGGTATGATCCTGGGATATCGTCGAATTGATAAGTAATTTGATTTCCTGCGAGGATCCCAATTTTTGGAACGAGGATTCTTCCGGATTTGGATTCTTTTCTTCGACTTTTGAGGTACCCGATACGGCGTTTTCCTCGGCCTGTCTTGCTTCCTCTGCTTCTTCAAAGTCGCCAGCGCTAGAGTAGTCTAAAGTCGAGCCGACTGAGGAGTTTGAAGCAGAACCACAGTGTACGACCAAATCTGAAGGTATCTGCTCCCATTTTCTTGCTAATATTGGGAGCAACTCCGGAAAATATTTAGATACGATTGGCACATGGCGCATGGCCTGAAGTACCGCATCAATTTTGAAGCAAGCCGAATGATCTCAATTGGAATGAATTGAGAGAGATTCAGAGGAGAGTAGAGGTCCAATATGTCTCGCAGAATGGCGAAGTGAGGCTGTCGTAAAAGACTGAGGAAGCTATGTAGCGATTGTGGCAGAGGAAATGGCTCACAGCAGGAGGTCTCAAGGGCGTGGATGATTCTTAGTGGACGAAAACCTGCAGGTCGAGCTGAATGACACCCCATAATGTAGTACAAGCAGGGTCAACTGCATGGTGGGAAGGCGCAGCCTTCTGAAATCTGCCTCACAAGTTAAGACAATATACTACTAAGTGAGCGGGATCCGCCGCTGTCTTTGTGGAGCTTTGTAAAGAAAGCTATGGCTTCTGAGAAAGACGAATCTCTCAGCATTAAAGGCCTTGCCGAGCCCTCTGGGCCGTCCGCCTGGAAGCCAGAGAAATATAGGTCTAGGTAGGCGTTCCTAGATTTCACCTGCGTGCATCGTGTGCTGATGATAATAAAGCGAAGCCATTTTGAGTGAAGCTTATGACAATGCTGTCACGCTCTACAAGGAGAAGTTGACGAAGTCCAAAAGGAAACGCATATGGGCGGATGGAAAGGCAGGAATCGTCGATATCCAGCTGGCCCTGAAAGAAGCAAAGGAGAAGTACGATAGCAGGAAAGCCGTTCAATCGACCGTACGGAATTGGCTGTCGATGTTTTCTTCCAGACTCTTGTATTATGGAGGGGTCTTGGAAGTGGTAAGCTCAAATGTGGATGATGATAATTGCACCAGCTGATATGGAGGACCTAGCTTTCCCAGCATCACCTGAATATGTTGCTCTTGCCTGGGGCTCAATCAAGTTCCTTTTTGTAGCCGTCTTGAACCACGAAGAGTCTATTTCTCGTCTTTCAGCGGCCTTTGCCTTTATTGAAGATGCGTTTCCTCACGCGAAATTGAAGCTGGAGCTCTATGGGAATGATGCAATGCTGCAAGCAGTATCTCAGCTGTATGCGCAAATCATGCGGTTTACGCAAAGAGCCATTGGTTGGTATACAGAGAGCAAGCTCAAGCATTTCAACCGTTCCGTCACACAGGTACCATACACGGTTTCTTTCCAGGTAGAGTATGATAGCTGACTAACTTTAAGCCATACTCCCTGTCTTACAAGGACATTGTGGCGGAAGTGAAAACGTGCTCAAAGAGAATCAAGCAGCTGGCTGAGGGTGCAGCACAGGGAGAGCAACGAGCAATCCATGTCAAAATCGAAAGACTAGAACAGCTGATCATAAGTAAGTTCCGTGAAATGGGTATGTGCGTACTGCTAACAAACGTCAAGGCCAGCATGGCAGCATTGTCTCATCCGGGCTTCTCAACACCCCATTTCAACTTCGCAATATCGAAATCTCACAAGTCTTAGCTTATGTGGAAAACACACCTCTACCAAGCCCCGAGATTTCTCTCAAATATCATCTCGCAATGAGAAATCGACGCCTACTCGAGGATCCAGCGTATTTGGATATCTTGAATGGTTGCGAGCAACTTAACAACTGGGCGTCGCAGAGATCGTCGAGTCCTCTTATGATCAAGGGAACTTTTCGGACCCGAAGGAAGGCGAAACATGTAGCAGCTTCTAACATTGCATCAACAAAACAAAGTCAAGTCCCGACGGTGTTGATCCTGGCACCTCGCACAAAAATGTCTCAACAGCTTTCAGGCTTAGATATATTAAAGCAACTTGTGCTCCAAATCCTGCAAAAGAACGATTCTTTACTGGAAGACCGATCACAGCCACTAATTGCGAAGCAATTTCAATGCGCAACGACGGAATTAGAATGGTTCAACCTGTTGGGTTTGGTGCTGACTGGAATACCGGAGATATATATCGTCGTCGACATTGAATTACTTCGCGGAAACTTTGGCGACGGGCAGATGTGGCCTTCGATGTTTGTCGAGTTGTTTCAGAAACTGGTACCTCGAAGTCCTCAAACCATACTGAAGGTCACGATAATCTTCTATCTCACTCAATTGACCCTTGAAGATGACGGAGTTGAAAAAAGTAGGATCATGAAACTTGATCACCGAGGCACGCGGGAAAAGTCCGCGTCGAATAAATGCTCGCCTGTTCGAATACGGGGTAAAGGTCGATGTTTTGCTCAATGAGAGTATCACTGTTCTCATCCACTCAAAGAATGTTGACTTGGCGAACCCAGCACCTTCAAGATCAATAATTAGCATTTGGCGATCAGGCTTGGCCCTAGCAAAGCACCTTTGAGGAGATGTAGTGTTGATCGAGTTCTTATGATGATAAGACCCCAGCCACATGCAAATATTGGAAAGGAGCGAGAAGTCGGGCTTCAAAGTTGACGGGAGACATAATGTTTATATGATACCGCAGCTATTGAATAGGAATCGGTGATATTCGGCCAAAATGAGCTATAGGGCGGTCTTTAAAAAAAAAGGTCTCTCAAGCGGGATGTTGCTAAAATTGAAAAGTCATGTGCTGTTTGAGCGGGTACTGTCTGTTGAGAGAACCACTATAATCCTTCTTAAGGAGCATCTTCAAATTCCGTGCCTTGCTGCTCCCTTTTACCAGTTAGCACAATAAGTCTGAAAGTGTTTCAATCTCACCTCCATATTCCTTAGCATAGCTTCCCACTATCCCAACATAGCACCATTCCAGCACCCCAGACCCCCACCTCATCGTAAGGGTACCAGAAGTGGGGAAAAGTGTAACGGAAGGGTGAAGGACAGTGCTATCCCATTAATTAGAATCTAAAGCCAGGGAGAGAAGAGTTATCTTAGGGGAAACCCCAAGGTCCTTGTACCTGAAATGCCACGCATCTAACATCTCCGCATCCCCTACATTCTGTATAGTGCTAAGATGAGGGGTACGATATGTTGTCGTGTTTGCTTGAAGAGCTTTCCTCTATTGTTTGCTTAGAGCATGTGACATGCATACTCGCTTAGGCAAGCACATATCCCGCAGTGGTGCAGTCATGGTGAAGAGTAACGAAACTTTGACAAGGAGGATCTCCACATGATATTAACGTTGACCCTTCCAATAGTACCTCTCACTCACCTGGAGAACTGGTTCCACAGGAATCAATTGCGCCCAATCCATCCCAGAAGGACAGCGGTAAGAGTAGTTGTTAAACTGCAAACGAAACCATTGATTAGAAACGTCCATATAAGGAATCTATCTTTCTTAGCCTTTCCTTTCCAGGCTTTATAAGCGTAATCTGAATGTCCTGTTAACAAGCCAATGTACACTCCACATGTTGCGAAGAGTAAGGGCTTCAAAATCCGCGAGAGCTCATTGGGCTTTATTGCTACCCTGCAGATAATTTTCAGTCTTGACGAATAATTGGAGACTGACTTGATCATACCAGATACAACGTCCAACGGCTAAGAGAAACATTAGAATTATTATTCCAATGCAAACCCTTTGAGCCACTGTATAGACCTTGGCAAAGAGTTTGCAAAAGAACTCCATCTTACACAGTATATTTCAGGCCAGACACAGGTGAAAAGAACCAGAATGAGACAATTATCATCTAGCCCAGTTAGTTCGAGTACCAAAGGAGGGAAAGTGCGTGCGCGCACTTTGAAATCTTGAAATCATTGCGCAAAGAATGCTCGCACAGGATGCGAAGAAGATATAGCATATCGTTAGTTGCCAGGGCCGAAACTTCTGCGGTGGAAAGCATCCACGAATTTGATTGATTGCAGCTGCCACAGCTACTGAAAAGAGGGAAAGAGCTCAGCGAAAGCTGCGGCTGGCCCGTGCGCGCGCCTTGCCTAATGTGGGGGTGGGGGGTCGTAGTTTCCTCCCTAATATAGACTTGCCGTCTAGTCGTTAACTCTATCTTCAGTGTACGTATTTTTTATATCTGGATATACTAGAATGATAAAGAAATAAACTGTTTATTGAAAATAGAGTAGGTTTTGCAAACTACTAACTAATGAATGTTAATAGCAAGGATTATTATGCGCTAGTACCTACGTTAGCTTAGTTATTTTTCTAGTACTTAGTAAATCTACTATTCCTTTTTTAATATCTTTCTATAGGTGTTACTCTTATTATACCTATCCTACTACTACTAGATATTAACTTAACTTTCGTGTCTTCGAAAGTTCGGTGGTTAAAGAAAGATCCTATAAATATATACTATCCCAGCTTAATTCACCTCTCACCTACTCACGCTATATTCTAGAGACAATACTACAGAACTCTTACACCAACCTCTCAAAGCCAACGCACCAAAAGCCCTAATAAATTAAAAGAAAAACCGCAAAAAAAGAAGTCTAAAGGACCCCGACAAACTCTGCATCTCGAACTCTTCGAGTTTTAAGAAGTTGGTTTATCTCGCAAACTTGAGACAGAGGTAGCTCAACAAACTGGGCCAGGGCACCCAGATGATGTACTTTAATGAACCTTTGTGATTTGCTAGGAATGTGTGTATTATTTGAGTTTATAGATAGATAGTTGGGTACGGCGCGAATTCTTTTGGCCTGCGAGACAGATTAAGTCATTTGAAACGTTATTCAAGTGGGCTTGAATGAAATGAATAGTGCTTGTACCAAATTTCGAAACTCGCTTAACAAGATCTCTTTAAACACAAAATCGTATCGCGGATTCGTAACACCGTCACTTTTTCATTACCGCAACTTTGTCTATTATACATGATCGCTCTGATCATCATGAAGAATTAATATATACGAATGGAGTTTTGAGTACAACTAGGGCGATTGCCCTTGAAATTGGAAGATATAACAAATCAATGCACTGCTACAAGTGGTACGGTCCTGAACGGAAGATGGGTTTTATAACGGTTCACGAGCTCCCGAATTGCCCTTCCCTATTTTATGGCGTTGGTGACTGAGGCGCTATCTGTTTCCTTCCCTCACGCCTAATCAGGAAGTCCTAAAATCTGAATTGCTTGACTTGTACCTTCGAAACCTTTCGGTGCTAGCTATTCCATAGATCTTGATAACCAGTCTAGCAAGCCCCTCATTGTTGGTCATGCCAAAATTTCTATGGCTAGATACCCACACACAGTGTAGATCCTTTTCCTATAACTTCCTCCAGGAATCCATCATAACTTCTGATCGCTTCGTTTCTGACACTATAGTCAATCATTTTCCCGATCCCAGGCTCAATAGCTTGCACATAATCGAATCCCTCTCCGTTCGATATACCAGGAAACCCGCCCATGGACTAGAACTAGCTTCAAACTCCCTGTACTGGCCTTCGGCTAGGAAGTGCTGGATTTGCCTCGACAACCTTGAGGCTGCGCTTCAACTAACATACCGGTCTTGTGGCACATCGCAAGGGATCTTTAATACAGTCCATGAGTTAGCGTCATCATACCCTGGGAAAATACAGACTAGGTGGTGCCCTAGTCACATAGGTATCCTAGGCAATGAAATCGCGGACAGAGCTGCTGGGAAAGCAGCGCGGATACCCCCTTCTAATTCCCTCGCTCCACTTTGTACTGCTACGCTCAAGAGGGGGGTTAAAGAAACAGGGATTGGACTTGCAAAGAAGCTCTGGAGCGCTACACTCCCGGCTGTCTATAAGGATCTGGGGCTTGAAAATTGGTCTTTGAAGCCACGGTCTCTTCAATTACCAAGAGAGGTTCTAGCTCGCTTAATAGCTGCTCGTTCTGGGCATGGAGACTTTGTCGCTTACCACCTTCGCTTCTTTCACTTCGACGCATTACTTACCTCAGGGGATTGTAAGTGTAAGAAGGCTAAGTCTCAATTCCACCTACTCTTTTGTAGGCTAGCAAACAACGTAGCCCCTAGGCTACTAGCAGAAGCTCAGAGGAACCCTCAGCTGCTCTTCGGCCCCGGCTGCGAGGAGCTATTTAATAAGGTCTACTTTAAGACTAGATTCTTCACTAAGATTTGTCTACCTAGATAGGCTGGCCTACTTTTCTTTCTTTCTTTGATTTATGTATTTCATTTGTTGTACCCTGGTTCTCAAAACTAATTAAGGATAAGGGCTGTCCCGAAAGTGGGGCTTCTCTTTAAACTGTCTCTTGTAAATTAGCGTCTCTTCTTTTACACCCCCTGTAACCTAGGGCACCCCCCTAGCGTCATTTGCCCATATTGGGACTCTTCTAGGACCTAGCCCACGCGAGCTAGACTCCGCTTGACGTTAAATAGCAATAAATAAATAAATAAATAGTATCTTTCGACATAACTTTAACCGTTTGTTCTTAGTGAGTAAGAGGTCTAACTAACGTATCTCAATAAAAGGACACCCGATAATTATATTTATTTATTATAAGTTAAATTTTAGCGTAACTTTACTTGAAAATCTCAATTTCCCGAAAAGATCTACGTAAATAAAATTTAGAAGTTAAATTGCACTAGTACAATTGTGACTTATATTTCTTTCTTAACTTCTTTGAGCGTAAATTCAGTTATTACATTCTATTTCCTATATACATGTTCACAAGAAATTAGCAGCTTAGTACTATTACTAAGCCTCTCTGCCCTCTATAAAGTTCAACAACTTCTAAACTTTAACCGCCTTAAACACCTAAACATCAAGCTTTTGAATGTCAACATGGACTACGATCTTATTACTCCGCTTAAGCGCCTTCTAGCTCGTTGAGCACTCGAGACCCTTACCCTTGAATCCTGAGTTGTGCCCTCCCTCCCTCTCCTCCCTTAGCCAGACTCCCTAAGCCAGACAAGAGTATCCTTTCCAGAAGCCTAGTTCTACTTAGTTCTGGAAAGCCGAGATTAGTACCAGGAGTAGTCCTTTAAGCCGTGGTAGAATTCGGATCCTTGAAAGGATGAAAGAACACGCTTGAACTTGTTTTATACAGGTGGTCTTTTCCGTCTGGATATCGAATTTGCCTGCAAATGACAGGGGGAAAGAATGTAAATTACCGTGCGTGTTTATTTGCTCAAGGGAACAGCCAAATTTTGAGTTGGTTTCCTTACATGGTTTCAACGAATGGACAGCTCGGAGCGACCGAAAGATTTAGATTTAGCAAGTGGGATGCGAGAGGAATGGTCGTTCATGGCGGTAGTTCCCTCCATTGCTGTGAAATGTATTCTCGATCCCAATAACCAATGTTTTGCTGCTTTGGAAGATCTAGAAGGAATCGTAAAATAAAATGGCAATAGTTATTGTAAATGTCGTTGAACAATACTGTTGATTTTCTATCATGTGGTAAGACTATTTTTTCCTGTGATTTTTGAAAGCAAATGGGAAAAACGTGGTGAGCTACTTCTCTTGCATTTCTATTAAATAGCCGAAGTGATCATACCTACCTTGAAGCACTTGAGTGAGTGGCGAGTGGAATTCTTGGAACCCTTTTCTTCTCTCTAAGAGACAATATCAGAAGTCTGGCTTCGATCGGGTCCCGGAAGTACGATCACGAATTCTACAAAGTCATATGACGTGCAAATAAACTCCATTGCTGAACCGATATGTACAATCTCCAACGTCTATCATACCTTTACCAACCCCCAAAATCATTGTCTAGCCGCAGCAACCGGGTTCCAAGCAGAAAGTTTTGGCTTAACACTAAAGTTCAATTAGTCCCTCCCAATCTTCCGCAATTGATAAGTATTTCACATACGTATTGTAAGGCTTGTAAGCAGCGCGACTCATAGTCAGATTAGGACGATGTTCCTTCAACTCCCAAGGACGAACCCCAGTCTGCAAGAGCGGATCTTGAGTAGGTGGCTTATCCACTGAGTAAGAAATCCAGGCGTGCCATCCAGGCTCGATTTGTGATCTGGTTGGTTTATGAGTCCCCCTTCCAGGAATGCGCATGGATGGAGGGTCCTTACGGCTCGAACATGTATTCCTTGTAATCAACCCATCTTGTTCGCACTGTATATTTTATGAGCGTTTGTTTGGGAAGGGCGAGAGGAAGACCGACGTGGTAACTCGTCTTGCAAGTTCTCAAAGTACTTGTTGCCGAATCTATCTTGGCCAATCAAGGTACCCCATTTGGTGTCACCTATTCCATCTGTAAGTCCCATCCGTGTCCGCGAGCCGCATTATAGAAATACCTTGGTGCTAGAAGAAAGAGGCGATGTTCAGCGAGGCGGTTCGTTCGATGTTGTGGAGGGGCGTTATAAACGTACCTGCATTTGATGAAGGGCATCCTACACAAAACACGTTAGTAAAACTCTCTAGACTTTGAAATTACTTCGCATACCTTGATGCCAGTTTTGCGCAAATTGCGCAGAGTTCTGGAAAGTGTAGACATCTTGGGTGGTATTCAATGGCTTCTGGAGTTGCTTGGGATAGCAGTTGAGGTTGGAATATCGGAGCCGGGTTCTGCCGATTCCGGCCTAGCGTCGACAGGCTTGCTGGAGAAGGTCCGCAAGCTTCTTGACGACATCATTTCCACAAAACCACAACCTCAAATGCGCTGCTAACAACCAGAAGCTGACATGATAGTCCGGAAATTCACAAGATGCAGCTTACCCCTTCGAAGACTTCAAGTCTGTCGACCGCGTTTAACTCAATCTAAAGCTCGACGTTTCTCAACATCCAGTTCCTCGTTCGCAAATACCCCTAGTAATACCCCCCCACCCGCTTCAATGCTTGGTGCTTTTACCAATGAGCTCGATAAGCTCGCGCCATCATTCGAAATTCAAGGTTCCCAAATACAAATAATACGTTCTCCAGCCGAATTCTACGATACTCTAAAGGTCGGATAAACATGTCTGAAAATAAAATTGGAAGGAGAGCAGATTTGCTGATGACATTCATGGAAAGGAATAGACCAAGATACTGTCAGCAGAAAAACGGATTTTCCTAAGCACTTTGTATATAGGCAAAACAGAACATGAACTTGTAATACCAATTCCAAAATACTTGAGTGACCAAATGTTGATTCCCTTGTTCAGATTTCCACACTTCAACAAGCTCTGAGAGCAAAGCCGGATTTGAAAATTAGCATTTTGACGGATGCTCTAAGAGGAACGAGGGAATCGCCCAATGCTTCTTGTGCTTCTTTGTTGGCGCCTTTGGTGTCGGAATTTGGATGGGAAAGGGTGGAGATTCGGATGTACCATACACCCAATTTGACGGGATTGAGGAAGAAGTATATCCCCAAGAGGATTAATGAGGGATGGGGATTGCAGCATATGAAACTTTATGGAATGGATGATGAGATTATCATTTCAGGGTAATCAATTACCTCCCCAAAGAGAATGAGAACTTCAAGAACTGATGATATATTTTAGAGCAAACTTGTCAGAAGACTACTTCACAAATCGACAGGATAGATATCAAGTCTTCTCATCCAAAGAAATCACCCAATACTTCTCCACCATACACGACACAGTTTCCAAACTCAGTTTCCTCGTAACACCAGACAAACAAAACCCCTCAGGCTACACCCTAGAATGGCCATCTTCAAACCTCGCACCCTCCCCTCTCCTCTCACCTGAGAAATACATCAACAGCGCCACAAAATCCCTAACACCCCTCCTTCTCCCTCTCCCAAAAAGTCCCACCAGTACACAATCAACAAATACAAAAGTCTACCCCCTAGCCCAATTTACACCCCTTCTCCAACCCGACACCTCCACTGAGCTCCCCCTCATAAGATCCCTTCTGAAAACCCTTTCATTGCCCACCTTCAAGGAAAGCAGTTGGACCTTCACAGCGGGATATTTCAATCCTTCACCACTACTCAGTAACCTCCTCCTCTCAACTTCCTCCGACAAGAACGTCGTGATCACAGCTTCTCCATGGGCAAACGGATTCTACGGTTCAAAAGGCGTTTCTGGTCTCTTGCCAGCAGCTTATACCCTGCTCTCTAGACGCTTTCTCGAATCTGCAGCGAAACATACACCCTCCCGATCCCAAGCTATAACTCTGAAAGAGTGGCGACGGGGAACGGTGGGTGAGGAGGGGGGGTGGACGTATCATGCCAAAGGGCTGTGGATTTCTCTTCCTTCGTCCCCTGAGCCGAGTATCACTATAGTTGGGTCATCGAATTACACGAAGAGATCTTATGGATTGGATCTTGAGGTTGGGACTTGTATTGTTACTTCTGACCCTGGATTGAAGGGGAGACTGAGAGAGGAGAGAGATGGGCTTCAGGAGTTTGCTAGCGAGATGAAAATGGATGATTTTACGAGACCTGAGAGACGGGTGGGAATTAAGGTTAGGGTTGCGATGTGGATTGTCAAGATGGTAGGAGGAGCATTGTGAGTTTGTGAGAGAAATTCTTGATAGACATTGAAGCAGTGGGTTGTATGATTAGAAGGAGTGTGTAAGAATTCGGTTGTTCAGATAGATTTAGAAGGCGCCTCGTATGAACATAATAGACTCCACCATACTGCAGGACTGAAGTAACGTTTGAGGAGCTTACAAAACGTTTTTCCATCGAAGCCGGGGAATACTGTCCGGGTCTGTCATGGCATTCGTACTATCCAGAAGCAAGCGAGCGACACTTGATTACATTTGAGTTTCTGTTCCGAGTCCTGAAAAGACAACCGATCGAAAAACAAAGAGTTCGGAAAAGGTCCGAAAATACATGAGACTTTGTATTAATCGAACAGGTGTCAGAACTAAATAGGATGTGTGTTAGACATTATTGTTGGCAGAACAGACTCGGTGTATGGACTCGGTACTTTGATCGCCAAGATCCAGGGGTTGATCTTGTAGCAGTGTGCCAGTGCCGCCTTTGCCGCCCCCTGGTGCCCCCGCCATGGCTTCAAAGCGAGCTACGAGTACTACAAGCTGTTGGACCAGGGTAGAATACGAGTACGGCAAGGATAAACAATTGCAACGAGTCCATCAGTTTCTGAAAGAAATCTTTTCTCGAATGATTTCCTCGAGCATTTCATTCTGTTTAGTAGTTGTATGAGTATCGAAGTTTCTGGTCAATCTTCGTTCTGCTGTTCTGCGTGAGGAGACATGGAAATAGAAGATTCTCGAAGCTTCTCCCCTCAGTGCAGCCGCAGTTGAACCCCGCTCCCCGCCAAACGTCACCGCCTCCAAAAACCTGTCTAGAAGTACGACTGAAAGAATTGAGAGCTCAAACCTTGAACCTTCCATTTCCTCGAACACCTTCAATTGCCAGCTACGAGTCCCATACAAATACTTGTACCAAACCTTTCCACTGCAAAAATTATACCCGCATGGTAAAGAAGCTTCATTCATTGGACAATTGAACAGAACAAAGACATTGTCCTGGTTTTCTTCCGCAAGCAACTATACTATCCTACCGACAGCTGATCGCAGGAGGCGTGATTGGACTACACCTGTGAACATTCCCAACTTACCTCGCCTGGACTTGCAATAAAGCCTTCCACAGCCTTCGACAAATTCACCTGCGAGATTACCTCGACTACAAATACCTTGAGTGGAAAAGGCTATTGCCACTGACAAAATTATACACTCGCTGTGACGACAGTGTAACATCACAGTATACCACGACCGACTGGTGGATCACAACATATACAACAACTGTCCGATCTACCACACAACACGACCGACCGATAACCACCACACACACAGAGCACCCCTCAACTCCTACAAACAATCACTATCATGGTGAAAGAAACCAAACTCTACGATGTCCTAGGCATCAAGCCTGATGTCGCTCATGAGGGCATCAAAAAAGCCTACCAGTAAGCTGAACCGATCTTGCCCTTCATCTCATTTTTCCCATCCCCTCTCCGACCTATTCAACACAGTGCCTTTACTGACGCGCCGATCTAGCAAAATGGCCCTGAAATACCACCCTGACAAGAACAAAAATAAGCCCGACTCCGCCGACAAATTCAAAGAAGTATCCCAAGCCTACGAAATCCTCTCCGACCCCTCCAAGCGCAAAATCTACGATCTCTACGGTCTGGAATACCTGCTCCGCGGCCATGCAGAGCCCGATCCCAGTTCGGGTGGTGGTAACCCTTACGCAGGACAAGCTGGTGCTGGTGGTATGCCAGGCGGCTTTGAGGGTTTTGGTGGAATGCCAGGTGGTGGTGTGCCAGGTGGAGGACAAAGTTTCCATTTCTCGACTGATGGTTCGGGTGGGGGGTTCAGCTTCAGTAATCCAGAAAGTATCTTCTCTGAATTCTTACGAGGACAAGCAGGGGTGGGGGGTGGTGGAGGATTTGAGGATTTGTTTGAGCAGATGCCTAAGTCCAGAGGTGGTGGACGATCAAGAGCCCAACAATTCGGTGCGGCTGAGGCGGCCTCCAGACATCGTGCTGCGACTCCTGATGTATCGACTGTGGAAAGAAACTTACCATTGACGTTGGAGGAGCTGTTTAAGGGTGTCCATAAGAAGATGAAGATTAAGCGAAAGGCGTTTGACGATCTGACGGGCAAGAGGACGGTGCAGGATAAGATTCTTGAGATGGATATCAAGCCTGGATTGAAGAAGGGTAGCAAGATCAAGTTCAAGGGTGTAGGAGACCAAGAAGAAGGTGGACAACAAGATCTTCATTTCATCGTTGAAGAGGTAAGCTCCTCCCCGCTCCCCTCTCCCCTCTTTTTTATAGCTCCCTACTAACATAATTAGAAAAAACACCCACTCTACACCCGCAACGGCGACGACCTCCACCAAACCATTGATCTCGACCTGAAAGAAGCCCTGACTGGTTGGAAACGCACAGTAACCACCATTGACGGCAAACAAATCCAAATTGAGAAAGCTGGTCCCACACAACCTGGTTCCAAAGACAACTATCCTGGTTGGGGCATGCCAATTTCCAAGAACCCAGGTCAGAGAGGGGAGTTCATTATCAATTATAATGTCAAATTTCCTGCTACTCTTACGTTTGAGCAGAAGAGAAAGTTGAAGGAGATCTTGTGATGGGGAGGGGTGAGGTGGCATGGGGGCTGGGCTGCGATTATGAGGTATTATGGTAGTGGGGAGGGTAGTGTGAAAGAATATGGGGAGAGAGATGTGGATTTGGATGGAAATGGAGGGTAAAATAGGACTTCTGATTTCCAGAGGGGAGGGGAGGGGTTGATAATTGGTACCATCACTTTCCCTTTTCGTCCAGTGGGAGACGGGGCGAAGGGGAAGGTGGAGGAACGATCCAGATGGTTCTTTGGCATGCATGCATTTTTTGTTTGATCTGTTTGGTTTTTGAGCAGAGCAAGCTACAGAAATCCCAGGCGTTACATGGGCGTTTTTGAGTGTGGGTGGAGCGAAAGGGATGGATGGATATGGGGTTTACGAACTACCTACTAGGTTTTACTAGCTTCTTTGTTGTATCGTTTTTTGATGAATGATAAATATGATGAGATGAAATGAAATGGAGATTTCTATATCCCTTTACCTTTACTTTTTCTTTGCATTTGTGATTTTTGGTTTCTTGTTCTTACTTTTTGTGGGGGTTTATCCAGATGGGTGATGTGGGTTTGTTTTATTGCGTGTTTAAGGGGGAGGAGAGTTTGTGTGAGGGTTTGTGTAGGGATGTAGGTGGTTACCTACACTATCCTTGGATAATTGGATTGGATTTTTTTTTTCGTGGGTTTGATTATAGATTGATATACGGAGGTTTATAGTCTGGTGTATCTAGCCTTTTCCTTTTTCCTTTTTGAAAATTGAATGGTAGACACCTCCTATATTAATTTATTATTTCCAACACCTAGTAGGTGGATCAGACCTGGACTTTGAAGGTACCGAGCCGAGTACTTTGTAGTCTAATAAGTCAGCGGCATGTGTCCTTCGAGATTAGCTAGCTTCGCGGAGCGAGCAATATGAAATAATACCCATCATTTCTCTCACCTGCTTTCTCTCTTTCTTGCGTCAAGGATCGGTAGATGGGACTATTGTTCCATGGAATTGTTTTATTTTATTCCATCCCACATGGAATATAGTACTTGCAGAGGACCTTTATTCGTGTATGAGAGCTATTCTATTCTATTGATTAGTCTTTGGAATCCAGATGGGGGGTTTCTGAGTAATTTGAATGTGGGATTCGTATAGGTAGGTCCTGGTAGGATTGGAGGGCGTAAAGGGGGAACTATTAGGAAAGAACTGTGATTTTTTTTAAGTAGTGTGAGAATGAGGAGAGTGGAATAGAGCAGAGTAGACTAGAGTGGTAGCAGTCTACTCTAGGCTACTCAAGTAGGTTTTAAGCCTACTGCTCTACTCTACTCGAGTAGTTGAGTAGTCAAATTCCGTACTCATCCCTCAATTAGTAGAATCTGCTACTGTACTCTACTCTCCTCGAGTACAACTCAAGTAGTTGAGTAGTTCTTTCGTACGCTGTTTATAGAATCAAACGAACAGGATTGGATACGTGTGGTGATCTTGGTAGGAAGCTGGAGGATAAGTATATTTTAATGTTTTTGAGGAGAGGGTAAGAGGGATCTTGGGCGGGTTGGGATGGAGGCTCAGGATGTTGCGGTTCATCTGAATGGTAAGGAGTCATGACTATCCATCATCTGATGTCTTTCATCACGGGGACCTGCTCCTTTTCAATGCACTTTCATTTCCACTATCGCAAGTCAAGTTCGCATCTTCGTTCCCGAGAATCCAGGAAGCGGTGGGAGATGAGGATGAGAATTACCAAGTTCTCAACAACCCCTTTAGGCTATCGTAGATGATGGTCTTTGCTTTGTAAGGCTTCAATCGCTAGTAGAGGGATATGGAGTCCGTCCTCCCTGAGTACGTGCGTCCTCAGGCTTGAGGCAAAGATGCGATGAAAAGGGGAGGACTCTTGGGCATCAAGAAGATCCATGAAATGGATGCATCTCTGCTCAACACGTGTTGGATCTTTGGAGATTCGCATTGGCAATGCCACCCTTTACGTGTGTCAAAGCTGTTGCAATGATGACCAGCTGGTCGACCGCGTGGGAAAATACGAAGCTGGTATGTCATAGTGAGTGAGGAGTAAGCGGTGAAAGGAAAGGCGTAGGGAGGAGAAGAAGAGAAGCTTCGCGGATGGAAGGCATGTGGATGCGGACTAGGGCGCCCAGCAAGAATGAAACGGAGTGTCAAGTTGAGGAGAATCCGGGGTAAAATGGGACCAAGAAGTGTTGGCTTTGGGGAGTGTGGAGAAGTTGACAAAGTGGTGGATGTGTGGTGGATGGATGGGACAGAGACTATTTGCAATTGAAATTGGGGATGGGGTAATAGGATGCAAGTATGTGTCATGCAATGTTGCCATTGCAGAGGAAACTTCGCAACATGGAAGACTCGAGCATGCTAGAATTCAAGGCAGGTAATTGACTGGAAGCGTCCAGGAGTCCGTGTGAGTGTTGGGAGTTTTGAGGGGGTAATGAAATTGCAATGGAATGGATGAGAAGACGTCGTATTGGTTCGACCTTAGTCATGGAGTCATGGGACTTGGACTGCTTGTGACACCATGAGGCTCGTGGGTCGTCTGGCGAAGTTTTGGTTTTGCGTGGATGAAGAATTTCTTTGCTTTTCACGGGACCGTGGACCGTGATTGCCAATAGCTGGGGAGACCCGCTGAGGATGGAAATCTGGGGGAGAGCATGTTCGTGGTTCGGGTGAAATTAGGTGTTGGTCGTTGTTGTTTGGATTCGACCGTTGAATAGAGGTACGGACTGTACGGGTACCGTATTGTACTACACCGGAAGGGACACGACCTTAGAGGCGGGGAAGGGAAAGGGAAACGGGGAGAAAATGTGCTTTTGGGTAACTGTCACCAGAGACGTTGGTAAGAATTCATGCAGCTGATCTGAGATTGGGTAAGGACTAAGTGACGACTTGGTCATTTCGGAAGGATTATTCCATCTGGACAGATCTGAGGATGAAGAGTGACTAAGATGAAATGATGAGACAATTTTCTGTGAAATTTTCATCAGCAACGGAAAAAGTCTGATGTCGAGTACGAGGATGGAAATAGAAAACAACCTGGAAGGCCCATCCACTCAGCTGTGTTTTTTGTGTTGCACGGTATTTTCTTGCGATGAAAGTCTCTGGAGGGCGACCCCTACTTTGCTAGACCCGAAGCGGCTAGTGGGGCAAAGCCTAGAATAAGCGCACTGGGATTTTGCCAGTGGTGGACCGTGGGCGGTCCGGAGTGGGGCACATGTTATCGCGCAAGCTGCAGCTGCAAGAGCCGGAGCAGGGCAGGCGCGCTCACAGGCACAACCAGATAGCATCCATGGATTGGAATGATGGTCAGGTCCAGGAACGAGAAGAGCAAAGAAAAGGCCGCGACCTCCTAGCTGCCCACTGCCCACTGCCCACTGCCCATCATTCACTGGCCCGTCACTGGCCCGTCACTGGCCCTATTGCAACCGCCGCCAGCACGGTCAAGTGTTCTGCGGCACGAGAAAAGCGGAAAAGTTAGTTAGCTATGCTGGTGCTTCCGGCGCTGGGTGCCCCTCCTTTTGCCATGGATACGGTATGGAGACGGCGAGCTGGAGACCACGATGTGAGGGAGTGCGAGTGGGAGTGGGAGTGAGTATTAATACCTCAATCTGCCCGCGGGAAGGGAAGAATGCTGTGAGAGTGCCTGAGAGTACTCTGACTTCATTATTGACACGCTCACTCCTCGACATCCTCACCTCAGGTCCTCAACACTGCATTGGCAGCAACGGCCCCTATCTAGGATTTCTTATCTCTTTGTCTCTGGCTCCCGTCCCTCGTCAGATAGCCAGCTCCAGGAGTCCAGGTACGTACCTCACGGTGGAGGAGTAGGAGTAGTTGTAAGTGTAGGTGTAGCCTCCGAAGTAGATCATATTATTCCTGGTTATGGTAGGCTTCCAGTTGGGCTCCCAGTGCCAGTGCCAGTGCCAGCCAAGGTTGTGTTCGTGTCCCGAAACAATGAGGGCACCTACTCCGTACTTCCTAGTTGAGGGCAGCCACTGGCATTGAAACGGAAAACATTGACGTCTTTCTTTCACATTTTTCCCTCTCTATATCTTGATATCAAGGTTCAATTGCTGACCCACCCCCTCAGCTCTCCGAGGACTAAGCCAAGCTGAGACGTCACACCGCACCATCATCTATATACCCACTTGCCTCCCGCTCTCCGCGTACACTACATACACTACACACACCACACAAACTACAGAGTGTCTCCTGTAGCTTGTACAAACCTGCGTAGCCAGCGTAACCTTAGCCTAAAGCAAGGGCCCCAGCAGAGATCGGGTACCACGACCTCGTTCCTCCCCCCGGAATCTGAATCCCAGACCGCCGCATACCAACTTCACATTGCCATTATCGTGCTAGGACCAGCTGCTGTCTCTTTCCTAGCTGCCGCTTATCACTCCTATCACTCAATTGAAAGCAAGGGGTCAATTGCCTCACCGTCTCTCGAGAAACGGAAACGGTCAGACTGCATAAACTACTCATAGATAGGAAATCTTGTGTAACGCCCATTTCCAACGCAGATCTCGATTGGGTATTGGATAGTAGTGGGAGAGTAGGAGTAGCTCTGGCTAATAGCCTTGTCTCGGTAAGTAAAATAGAGTTTCGAGCTTGATAGTGGCTGTGTCTGGCTTGCCGTCTTATCAATTGGGCATATCAGTAAACAAGGCTGCTTTGTTGATATCATGGCCTCCCCTCCCCCTCCCTCTCCGCTTCCCTTAGTCTTCCCATTCTCCTCCTCTTCTTCCCCCCTTCACCTCTCGCGGGTGACTCAGTTAACTGCCCTCGCGGCTTCACGCAAAACCGCGACTGCAATCATACATTCACACCACATTCGTTGCCCATCATGGCCAAAACACTTACACTAAACACTGCTGACCTGATGGGCTCACCAGTCGCCTTCCCTGAATACCACGAACCAATTGACTATTTCTGTCCACCAAACGACCTTTGCGAATCTTACGAACCCATCGACAACATGTCAGATTCCGATAGTACTCTTCCCATACTGGGAGTCCAGGTCTCCAGAAAACCATCTCCTCAACCTGCACACTTCGGCATACCATATAAAAACCTTAGTGGCAATGGTAATGGACATCGTACTTTGCGTTCCGCCACCGTTGGTTATATTGCACCCGAGTTCGCGGGCAAGCAGGCACAGATGGTCGAAGGTGAGAAGTGCAGCGAGTTGCATGTCAAATAATGACTAACACTTCATAGTTAAGGATCTGATCCTAGCAGGTCATTGGATTCCAGCAGACCTCATCGACTCCCAAATCGACTGGTTCTACAATGATCTCGGTATTGATGATGTATACTTCCAGACCGAAAATGTCAAGGCCATCGTCTCCAACATTACTTCCCTCTACGCTGCCAAAATCTCGGCTTATGCTAGAGAAGACAAGGTTCAGGAAATCAGATTGGACATGGAGGCAGTAGACCATGCAATCTATATTGATACAAGTGAGCCTGGTGTTAGCAGAATCGACGGCCCACGTTACGAACACAGAATCGAAAGCAAGTATCTCGATGCATCGGCTTCGGGCAACAATGTCTATCGTGTTGAGACATTCAGATCTCCATCCAACCTCAAAGGCACTGAGAAATCAAAGACCACGATGCGATGTTATTTCGTATATCAATGTCTCTTTGTTGATTCAAGCCCCTCAGATACAGAGACGCGCTTAGAGTTCATCTCAGACAGAACGTTCCTCGCTAAAGCCACAAGCAACACCAAACAGATCTACCAGGAGATTGTTGAACTTGCAGTTGCCAGAACTGGTCCTGTGATTGAGTATTTTGATATTGAAGATTCTAAAGAGGTCCGTCTGGTGGTTGCATTCCGCCGAAGAACTGCGGTTGGATTGTTTAGTGCCCTTTCCGATCTTTATCATTCTTATGGTTGGTTACCCCGCTTACCCCGCTATTTTTTTTGTTTTTCCTAATCACAAGTTACAGGGGTCACAAGCTCAAGAAAATATGTGGAACAATTCTCCAATGGCATTACGGTCATCTGTCTCTACTTGAAGCCTGCGCCAGTTGCAGAGAACTCCAACAGATTCCCTCCTCTCCGCCAATCCATCCACCAAATTACAAAGGAAATATCTTTACTCTACTGCATTCCCCAAAACAAATTCCAGTCGCTTTTTGCTAGTGGTAGACTGAGTTTGCAGGAAACGGTCTATGCACATTGTCTTTGGGTTTTTGTTCAACATTTCTTGAATCGTCTTGGTATGTCTACCCATTAAGTGAACACAAATCGGTTTACGCCTGATTTGGGAACTCTTAACCACACTTCACCTAGATCTTCAAGCTAATACCAATTAGGTTCTGAATACTCTTCCCTTGTCTCTGCGTTGGATGCCTCAAACAGTCTTCACATTGAGATTCTATCAAAAATCAAGCGCCGATTGAGAACTGAAACCTTCACAGCCGCCTACATTGCTGAGATTATCCACTCACAACCAGGCCTTGTTAAATCGTTATATGCATCCTTCGCTAATGCTCATCTTGCATATTCCCCAGGCCATGAAGATGATTTCATCCCTCCGACACCATCTGCTGAGGTCTTGACCGACAACCAACTCAAGGAAGCTATCACTCGATCAGTTGCCAACGAGCACGAGGAAATGGTCCTGACTGCATTCCGCATTTTCAATAGTCACCTTCTCAAGAGCAACTTTTATACCCCAACAAAGGTCGCACTTAGTTTCCGTCTTAATCCCTCGTTCCTTCCCGAACTCGAATATCCACAACCATTATATGGCATGTTCCTGGTCATCAGTTCTGAATCGCGTGGTTTCCATCTTCGATTCCGAGATATTGCCAGAGGTGGTATCCGTATCGTCAAGTCAAGAAACAAGGAGGCCTACTCCATCAACGCTCGACGAATGTTTGATGAGAATTATGGTCTTGCCAACACACAACAACGTAAGAACAAGGACATTCCTGAAGGTGGCTCGAAGGGTGTCATTCTCCTTGATGCTGCGCACCAAGACAAGGGTTCAGTCGCTTTTCAAAAGTACATTGACAGTATCATGGATCTTCTTCTACCAGCCACCTCTCCCGGTATCAAGAATCCGATTGTTGATTTGTACGGAAAGCAAGAAATCCTTTTCATGGGTCCTGATGAGAATACTGCGGATCTTGTTGACTGGGCTACTGAGCATGCACGAAAGCGTTCCGCACCATGGTGGAAGTCATTCTTTACTGGAAAGTCACCAAAACTCGGAGGTATTCCTCACGACGAGTATGGCATGACCACTTTGTCTGTTCGCGAATACATTAAGGGTATCTACCGAAAGCTAGAGTTGGATCCTAGCAAAATCCGAAAGATGCAGACTGGAGGCCCAGATGGTGATCTTGGAAGTAACGAGATCTTGCTCAGCAATGAAAAGTACACTTCGATTGTTGACGGATCAGGTGTTCTTGTTGACCCCAAAGGAATCGACCATGAGGAACTCATTCGTCTGGCCAAGAAGCGTGTCATGATTTCCGATTTTGACATCAGCAAGTTATCAAGTGATGGATACCGAGTCCTTGTTGATGAGATGAACGTCACACTTCCTTCAGGAGAGGTTGTCACCAATGGCACCAACTTCCGCAATACCTTCCATCTTCGTGAGACTGGATTCACCGATTCCTTTGTTCCATGTGGTGGTCGTCCTGAATCGATTGACCTTGCTAGCGTTGGCAAACTCATCAAGAACGGCAAATCTATCGTCCCATACATCGTTGAGGGAGCCAACCTCTTCATCACACAAGATGCGAAACTTCGTCTTGAGGCAGCAGGCTGTATCCTCTTCAAGGATGCCAGTGCCAACAAGGGAGGAGTTACCTCATCATCTCTCGAGGTCCTGGCCAGTTTGTCATTCGACGACGCCGGCTTCGTAGAAAACATGTGCGTCAGTTCCAGCGGCCAGATTCCCGAATTCTACAAAGCCTACGTCCAAGGTGTCCAAGAAATCATCAAGGAGAATGCGAGACTTGAATTCGAAGCCATCTGGCGTGAACACAAGGCGAGCAAGATCCCACGTTCTACACTTAGTGACACATTGTCCATCGCAATCACGAAGCTCGACGAGGAATTGCAGAAGACGGATCTTTGGAACAACGAGCCGCTTCGCCGATCGGTTCTTGAGGATGCCCTACCTAAACTTCTTTTGGAGAAGATTGGTCTGGATTTGATTGTTGAGCGAGTTCCCGATAATTATCTGAGAGCTATCTTTGGTAGTTACCTCGCTAGTCGGTTTGTGTATGAGGTTGGGAGTTCGCCGAGTCAGTTTGCGTTCTTTGACTTGTAAGTTTTCCCCTCGTTCCCTCCCTTCTTAGGTGGCGTGTGTGAGTGTTTTTGGGAATGATAGACTGACTTGATGATAGCATGTCCAAACGCATGGCGAAACTTCAATAAACGAATGATGAATGGGACATGACATGACACTTTTCCCTACCTTTCTTGTCTCTTCTCTAGAACGGGTTTGGAAAACAAAAAAAAGAGTTTCTTGCTTTTTGCTGTTAGGCTAAATTAGACTGGTTTGGTGCTTTGGGTGCGCGGGCATAATGTGGCTTTAGAATTGGCTGGCGTTTACTACTTGGTTGGACCTTGAGTGGTTTGGCTAGTTTGCTGGCTGACTACTTGATGGATCAGAGGGTTTGGTGGAGTCGTTTCTTTTGATCTCTTTTAATGTAGATTTGTTCTTTTGCATTGGGTGGGTGAGTGAGCATGAGTATGAGAGACATGATTGATAGAGCAAAAGTTCACTTTTTTTGAGTTGAGAGTGTGTGTGCTTGGGATTCCTTTTGTCCTATTGCGATTTGCGACTTGCAACTTACAATAGCTCAAGGGTTGACTGTTTCATGCTGGGATGGATTGGTGAAGGGTGTTTTGTTGGTTTTGTAGGTGTTGGTGTTGGTAGATAGATACGTACAATGCATGGTATAACAGAATTCAACCATCTCTTAATAGAATAAAGTAGAGCGGAGTAGAATATAAAACACTATCTTAAATTCTTAGTCTAATAAACCAAAACACCATGAGAAAATAGACCAATATATAAACACACCTAAAACCAGGGGGAGTTCCATACACATACATACATCCACATATACATACATATATGATAAATCTTTTCCTCACTATTACCACTTTTCCCACTTTTTCTTTATTTTATTTTGTAGATTATCCTTGTTGTTTATGGTTATGGTTATGGTATTTTTTAGGGGGTGGGTGGGTGAGGGGGGGTGTTGATGGTAGATGGTAGCAAGTAGCAAGTAGCAAGTAGCTTATCTGGAGTACTCGAGTACTCGAGTGTATTTGATGTATATACCGAGAAGTCGGTATCGGAGTTGGAGTTGGAGAAGGTGGGGGTGAGAGGGGGGAGGGGTGAGGGGAGATGGTGTTTGTAATTGTATTGGGTAGGGTGGTAGGTAGGGTGGTAGGGTGGTGAGTATGTAAGTAAGTAATATGTTGAGTTTTAGGGTTTAGGATTTAGCTAACGCGACAATTTTGTAGGTTTATAGGTTTTTTTGTTTAATTCTGTTTGATTGTTTGTGATGAATGGGTTCTGGAAGAAGGAAGAAGGAAGTCTGGAAGAAGGAAGTGGTTCTTTAAGCTAGTGGCTTGTGGGTTGTGGGATAAGTTTTTTTGGGTTAGGGTTGGGATTGATGTGGAGGATGGATGGATGGATGGATGGGAATTTGTGGTGATATTGGATATTGAAATTTAATGATTTTAGTTTTAAGTTAGGTTAAGATAGGATGATTAAGGGTGTTATTTTAGAGGGGGTTTTATAGTATTTTAGACTCTTTCTTTATAGGGTTTAGATGGGGTTCTAGTCATATTTGGACAATTTGTAGATGTGGCAGTGGTAGTGGCAGTGGTAGTGGGAGAAACCGGAATTATGGTTATTGCCCAAGCTATCACACTTGAAAGGGTTGTCGAAGATTCGAAGGGCTTGGAAGGAGGATTAAGTAATCTTACTTTCACTCCCTCGTAAAGGAGTCGATATGGTAGTATCATATATACATATAAAATTATCTTGAACCCTCAAGGTTCATTCAAATTAAATCATAAAGTTCTACCGTCGAATCATCTTTTACTGTCGTTTTCTTTACATCTTCCGTGATACAGATAGAGGAATATTATAGTCTTATACTATATCTGATATCTGACGTACGAGAGAGATAGTTTGACTAGTCTTCTTAAAAATCACTCCCTACCCTAAATAAGATCCTCTATTCTACCATTAGCCGGTCCATAGATGCTTCTTGGAGTGGTGTTCCGACTCATTGTAATCATTCATTCCTCTACTCGCATCCATCGGACCATCTCATCTACACATCCCTGTGTTAATTCGTTTCTCATCAAAGTTCATATGTGAAATTGTGAATATTGACGTTGGCTTTAACACGGACCAGCTGTTAAGGTTTTTGATATGGTTAGTGTTTGGTATGGCTTTTTATTTGATTGTATAGTTGCATCCTTTTTACATAAGGTATATTTGGAGGCAGATAGAAATTTTAAGAGGCTAAGAGGAGATATATGTTTTACGGATGTGGGTTGTTTGAGGTTTGTGATGTGGGTAATTGACGAGTTTTTAATTCCCAAAAGATTATAGTTACCAGAAGGTAGAAAGAAAGAAACTCCCACAAAACCCCAACATCCACCACAAACCTGGCACCCTTTAATGTCCCATCAGCTAAATTTATAAGAACTTTGTTTATACTATAGTACACCATAGTACTTACTTCAGCATCCACACTACTCTTAAAAACCCATACAACACACACCTAGTCACAAACCCCCCACTTGTATAACCAGAACTTTCTTGGAGTTAGTAAACGACCTAATAAATCATTCCTGAGCCTCAAGGATATCCGACAGTGTCCTGCCCTATAATGAGCAAGACTTCGATGGCGGTGCTTTTTCTAAGATTGTGGATAAATAAGTGAGATACGAGTACCGTATGACGGAAGGTAGATGGAGGGAGGGGGTCGGTATGCTCATTCTAGTGTAGAAGTTTTGATTCATGTGGAAGAAAGAATAAGTAGGATTTGCTGTCGGATATGAAAGTACTGTCGAAAGAAAGAAAGAAAGATCGATATGAAATATTACAAGCATGGCAAGGATACAGGATAAGGAAATTGAGTGCAGGGTAGAAAAGAGCTTTACAGTTGGTAACAGAGTTGGACAAACCCAGTGAGTAGCTTCCTTTCTACCAACAAGACCATCAATCCTAATCTTTTTAAACTCGAATTTTTGAGAGGTAACGGATAGATAGCTCTGTTCTTCCACAGGCTGTATAAATAGAAGAGGAGCTAGCAGCACATCTTGAAGACGTAGCTCAGGATCTTCGGAATGAAGTGGAATAGCTGTTTAAAAAGATTTTAATAGCAGAATAGTGAAGGAAGGAAGGTAAAACAGAGGAACTACCTCAACCCAACCCCCTCCTCCAATCCATCTCTCGAAGAATCACAAATCAAGAACCCCAAAATCAAATAAAAATCATAGATTCCATTCAAACCCCTACCACCCCCCCAAAAAGCACCGCAATCTAGCCAACCATCCTCACCCTAATCAAAAACCCAATGAAGAAACACGAAAAAAAGACCTCCATTCATCGCATTAAAAAACCACCCCCAATCCCCATATACCACAACAACCCAAAAGGAACCGGAAAAGAAAGGCGCTTTTTCATCCCGGGGTATAAGTCCTTTCCTCCCTTTCCTTTCCTCTCACAGCTCACCACACCGTGTGTATGCATTACCCATGTCTAATTGTCGTCTTCGTTGTCATGTGCGTTCGTACTTCATGCTCGTACTCGAGTACGTTCAATATGTAGCATTTGGCGGGGTGTTTAACAGCAGCAATCGAGACACTCGAAGCAAGCGAGTCCTGCGCATCTGTAGCCGGTGTGTTAGTACTGTATCTTACATACTTCTTCCTATCCTGATCCTTCTATCTTGCGAAAGAGATTTGAGGGAAAGGAAGGGGAGAAGAGAGGGTGAATTATCTTACAGGCCACAGCAGATACCCGCTCCACCACCACCACGCATGCTTACGGGCTCAGCAGTCATCTTCTCTGTAGCAGTCTGGGAGAATGTTAGTTATTTTCCTTCCCTGGGTTTGTGGAGAGGAGAAGGGAAACGAACGGGTTGTTGTGTCTCAACCGCAGCTCCGTTCTCCATGGTTGGGAGCTCCATCTGTTGGACTTGAGGTTGGTGGGTTTCTTGGGCGGGCATTTTGATATCCGTAGGCTTGGATATTTGGTTTCGTACTTGATGGAGGAAGTTGGAACTGAGTGACTCGAGGAGGGGATAGAGGGATTTGATGACGCGGTTGCGATGTTCAAGAGGTCAGGTAGAGTTTCCTAGGTAAACTTTGTTCGCAGGAAAGGAGTTGTGTATGGAAGTAGTGAATCAAGAGCTATGAACAGGACACCCCGAGGTCTTTATGCATCCGATCGAGTCTTAGTCAAAGTCACTCACAGACACTTACTCAACACCCTCCATCCATCCTATCCACACCTCCATCCATCCTATCCACACCTCCACCCCAGCCTATCTCGACCTACCATCCACTCCCTTACAAAAGCAGCCAAACAACCAACCACATCCACCCAAAGCAACACAAGCACGCCCCGGGCCCTACACCAGCAATCGGGTTCACAGGCACAACCCTCGACGAGGCCTCGTGTGACTGACGGGGGTTTACACGGGGCTGGCCAAACGGGTGTACAGGATTGGCCCTGTCAGAGTGTTGTGTGCAAAGCGAACCCCATCCACGTCCACGGCGTCCTGGTCGTCATCCTCATGCTTTGTCCTCACCTGCCCTCATCATCGTATGATTACACCTCTCCCGGGCCACCTGTACTGCTCCGCTAGGGTTACATAACATCTACCTGTACTTCTAAATTTATCATTCCCTAACCTATCCCGCCTTCCCCAAAGAATCTGAATTCCGTTGCCCAGAATGAGGCTGTTCACATAAGGTTACCCGTCCACCAAAAAGAAAGACAAGTCCACGTAACTCCATAAGGCTGTGTATTGTATTATCCCTCTCCCCCCACATGGCACTTTAGAGTATCGCGGGTTGTTTGTTTGGTCATGACCTATCAGAAGCTGAGCTGGGCCTCGGATATGCAATTTTTAGAATGGTATCCACTTATCCCGTGGTTTCTGGAATCTGGCGATCTCTCTTTTCAGCCTTTCAGGGTCTTTGCTACTGTAGAGTGGGAAGATACGGAAATATGAAGGGGGGTAGAGATTTAGTGATCTCCTGCGCGGCGTTGACTCGTCGAAGATACAAATCTGCAGCCATCCCGTAGAAGCCGTCGTATATCTACAAACTAAAGTCCAACCCCTCAAGCAAAAGATCTTCCAAACATCCCCAATCAACCTACATCTCCTCTTAGAACAAAATATCTCTCAAACCCGCACCCTCTCCTAAACAGCGCTATCTACTTCTAGGTATAGACATCCACATCCACATCCACAGCCACATCCACATCAACAAATCTCAACCCCCCAAGCTAGGACATCCCCGAAACCCAAACTCGCAATCATATTTACGAAGTATACCCATCTCCCCCACAACGATACACCCAGTTCCCATCAAGCTTCTAGAGCATTCCGAAACAGGACAAGGCAAAAACGCACTCGTAATGCGAGACCCTAGCTGCCATTTCCGAAAGGGAGACAGGATAGGACTGGACGCTAGAAGAAATGATATCATTTGGTTATGGGTTGATTGTGAGTTTTATGTGGAACCTTCAATTATAGAATATAATGAGATGGAATGCGAGGTAGAGGGAACATGATCAATTTTGAGGTCCTGGTCACTGGACGACGACGGAGAGATTATGAAAATCTGCAAAACATAAGCCGAAATGGAATGAATTCAGAAGGAAAATGAAAAGCCTGGAGGTTTTGGTAAACTCAAAGGGTATTATTTCTCGTGTCTTGACAAAATTCTAGTCATCTACACCAACAACCGACTACTTCCTAGCAAACGACATTGTAGGAAAGACAAGAGGCAACCTCAACTTCGCCATCTTACGCTGTGCAGCAACAACCTTGGAGAGACCCAATCTTTTCTGCTCCGCAACCGGCAAGGCGACAGTCTTTGCTCCAACCTCTCTAAAATACGTCTCTATCTTCTTCGCATCTAACTTCAAATCCTCCTGCAAGTCATACATGTAGACATCGAAGGCGTCCAATATACAAGATAACGCACAAATGTGTGTGACGATGAGATCGTATTGGAACCTACTTATCATATTGGCAGTCGTGAATCTGGATTTGAAGTCTTCCCATACGGATCGTGGCATATCGTCAAGGATTGATGTAACCTCATCATTTCGTGGAAGTTTCTTTTCTGCTCTTTTGGATGTCGATTTGTCCAGTACTTCTAGCAGGAAGAGTATGTATCGGAGGGCCTTGAGCTTGACGGTATCCACTCCTACCGGAACAAATTTCGAGGCAACATATCGAGAATTGCATTCCAAATCCTGCTTCGCCTTCTTTTTCTCGAGCCATTGCTTCACAGGAATAAGTGCCAGGATATTCTCGCCAATGAGCCCTTCAATGGTATAAACGTCCTTGACATCCTTGGCTTCGAGATTGGCCTTTGGCCGTGGTTTGTGACCCTCGATTTCTGCTGCAAGTTGCTCTTTGGTAGCCATGGTAGATGTAATGGTTCCGATAGTTTCAAGAATGGCCTTATCGCCACTTCCAATCTTCGTAGGTACCCCATCGGCGGCTCTCGAGTGTCCAGGATTGATGGCATTTTCTGTGAACGAGGCGATCGATTTTTTCGACTTCTTCGTACCGAAGGTTTGTCCAAGTTGACTTCTCTGGTCTCTGGATTTCTGGAGTCATGTATTAGCCTTGATGATGTAGATTCTTATTGGGTGTCACTTACCAATTCAACTTCAAGGTCTTCAATTGCAACCTGGTGTGCCCTTACTGTCCCGCGTACTGCCATCTTACGTGCCTCCATCACCTCCATCTTGCCTGTCTCCGGATCGTAGATCCCCACATAATGCTTCAACAGGGCGTCTGGTCCATCCGAACTCTCTTCTCGTGCTGTATAATCAAGTTTGTGGTGCGCGGAAGACTGCAGGAGGAGTTCGGTGTTTGCTATTGTAGTTCTTCGCGGATCCGATGCTACTACATTCTTGCGCTTCTGCGTAAATGGTTGCAGAGAAATTGATTCAGGAATGGCGAGCCCGCGAGAAGAAGCTGCACATATCAGCAGAAGTCCTTATTGCAAGCTTTCACAGATCGTAGGTAAATAGCTCCAAACTTACCGACTACAGGTGCCCATTTTTCTGCTTCTTGGAAAGCAATTTTTACTTGCTTATCCCCCTCAATTGCAACCCTTTTACTGGGCTTCGACGATCCATCTACCTGCCTCTTGCGCTTCTTCGCTTTTTCTGTTTTGTCTGTCATGGTTGTTGATGTTGGTGGATCTTGAAGTTGTGGTAGAAGCGCTGATTAGAAAAAAATGTCAGGCTACTTTTCTGCCGGGGCTGTGGCCTGAATGGGGCTGGTGGGGAACTGCACGCACGCCAAGATAACCATGCCAAGACCATCACCGCACAGTAAGCTCAGAGCTAGATTTGGTGTGTTTGCGACGACACCAAAAAGAATGGTGCAAAGAGCAATTGATTAATAAATGCTGGCACAGACTAGACTATCAAATATTCAAGTACAATAAATTGAATGCTGCAACCGTCAGCAGTTCACAGATAGACTTGGATTGCGCAGCCCTGTGTATCTGTGCACAGTACCCCGCACAATTCACCTTTACAGCTATGTAGAACTTCACAATCACAGTCAATTTAAAAGAGCGAATTTGTTTTTATGGTTTCTTTTCATTTCGGTTTGAAGACAACGATGACTAGCATCAGCGGCAGCTTTCTTTCCTTGGCTTCTTTGTAGGCAAACCCTAACTTGACAATCCGAAATACGTCTTAACTGGTTCCTGCTTCCAAAAATTCCAAACCATCAAAGGCCAACGACTGCGCGTCATCAGTCTGCTCCATCCTTTAACACCGGCGACCGTTGTACCGAGTGGTAGTCCCAAACTGTGCTGGAAACCGAATGCTGAAAAAGGCGTGAACGTTTATGATGCGGGAGATGGCGTAGTGTTGGAGGTTACATTGTCATGATGCGAATGTTGTGAGAGGTATCGAGTACCATTGATCGGGTTGTGGTGAGGTGTTTACTTGCTACGAGGGGGTTAGCAACTGTGTTGATGGCCAAAATTCAATGGAGGGGGAAAGCTTACGATCTGGCACGAGTCTTGCGGCGCTTTCTCTTGAGGCGCCTAACGCGCTTCTTTCTCCACTTCGCTCTCATCCTGATAACAGTTGCTGTGATGTGTGAGTAAACGATCAGGACATTGTAGGGTAGGAGCGACTTACTTGTCAAAGTTGAGTGTTGTGATGAAGATGAAGAAGAAAGGAAAAGTTGAAGCTCTCGATCGCGCCTTGTGTAGGTACGATTTTGCGCTAGATCGAATCAGGAATGGTGGCTCGCTTAGGGTGGCAAGCCCTACTATATCACGTGCCCAGCACATATTTTCCCCATCACATGACAGCCATCCGGCGGGTGCCATGCTAGTGGCCCTGAGAAAGTCTGGACGGCCATGGAAGACCACAGATTTCTTGGTGGGTGAATGACGGGCAGGAGAGAAGTCTCCGAAGTAATAGCTGTCTCAAAACTCGACCTCTGTGGATCCGTGGAGGATGGAATTTTGAAAGCATCAAAATTTGCTCTAGAGGATATACCTTGACCATTCATGAAAACCAGGAACTCTTCCTCAAAAGATGACCTTGAAGAGATCTACTTCTTACCCAAGAAGGCTCTCGATATTATTTTCTTCATAAATCTTCTTGAATCATACTTGAAGAACGGTGGTTAGGGCTTCAAAATTCCGTTGGTTTCACGAGGTTCAGCTCCCACAGTGTCCTTCGCTTGTCCTTCGCTCCTCAAAGACTTTGAGATCTCTCATGGCGGCTGAACAGCTTTCATGTCTCATGATTTCTCGTCATAAAAATCCATTGTATACGAAATCAATGTCTCATACCTATATTTTCTTTTGTTTTGTCTTTTGAAAAGTGTACCTAAGCAGCTTATGGCACCTTTCCATCTTGACTTCAACACAAAACCTAGCTGAATTGGAATAACATCCAACAATGGTAGGCGAAAACTTGCAGTGTGAGGTGTGTTGAAGCTCGATACAATCTTTGGTCTTGGTAACACCAGACGATCTTGGCACTTGAAGTTTTTGAAGAGCAGTCTCCTTGGATGACAGGTGAGAACAACCTCTCCTCCTGTAACTCAATACATCTGTCCCATTGTTGGTATAAATGTCATTATGTCGGAGAGTCACGCAAGTATACACAAGTGACTCCATTTTATTTTAAAGTAAGTACATCAAGTATGTGAAAAAATTCCACAAGTTATCGAGAAACAGGTCAAATGGGCATCAGAGCCTTGAGGGCTAACCCAAGTTTCCGTGCTACACCCAAACATTTATATCTTCGTACAATCACAGGTGTGTGATTTGCAAGCTCAATGGACGCTCAAAACACCTCAATTTGGTAACTTTGACCACTTTTCCTTCTCTTAATAACGTCCGTGGCAAATCGAATTTCTAAAAATATCACATCTGCACTTGCCAGGTGCTCAGCAAAATTGCAAGTGGGTCACTGAGCTCGCTTAATATCATACTTTGTCACGCCAGAATGAAAGACGCAACATAAATCTTGAACCATTCCCAAATATGTGAGCGAATGTATGATACAATAACTATTTTTGTGTAAGATTACTCAATCAGGTATAAAATGGATTAATCAATAACTTATCAAGTAGATTGAATGTAAATCAAAAGACGAGCAAGGAAAATACGTGATGATCAACTATCTAAATGGGGACAAGGTAATTCATTACATGAGGAAAAAGGGTTACTTTATTTAGGAGTGCAGAGACTGAATGAGAGGGACCTCTCCAGGAGGTGGGTTCAGCCCAATGAAGGGGAGTTACAGAAAAACAGACAAGTCAACAGGAAGAGCTTGAAAAAAAAGCGGGGGAAGGGAAATGGCTGTAAAGACATGTAAGAGTAGGAAGCATCAAACCAAGTCTACGCAATCTCAAATCCTGGTTTACACATTCCCCTTCCTCTCCTCCACCACCTTCCTCCCAAGACCATCCTTCAAAGCCCCCCTAACCCTCTCTACCTCCCCCTCCGGGATAGGGAACCCAAACCCCGCACCCTCTTTCTTCAACTCAAGCAGTTCCTTCACCCTCCCTCCCACCATCCCTTCCTCCAACCCAACACACTCCCACCCCTCATCCTCTTTCAAAACACGTTCACCCTCCCTCCTCTCCACAGAATGCGCAACACAGAAGCCCTCACTCGTAACAAGACACCTCTTACAACACCTCCTCTCTGGGGTCTTTTCTTTCTTCTCTTCCTCTTTGGTTTGGGACTGTTGAGGCTCCTCACTTTTCTCCTCAGTCTTCAAAGACGAACTTTGTTCCTCCCGTTTCGGCCGGTATTTAAAAGGAGCTAACTTCCTCTTTACTCTCCTCAAAATCAAGTGCTCTCCCCCAAATGAACACCGTAACCCCTTGACCTGACATTGCAAGCAAGAATTTCGCTGTCGAAGCAGTTTCTGGTATTCGAAATGGGCCTTGGCTTTCTCCTCTCGCATCTGCGTGAGTGGTGAGATGTCAGGGTTACCAGGATTATCAGGAGATGGGTCGTGGATGGGTTCTATTGTTAGAGCCATCTGGGGAGGGAAATTTGTTTGCTGGGGAAAAGAACTTGAGCTTTTGGTTGTCGTTGGATTGGATGTGGTGATGACTTTAATTGGTAGTGTGCTTCTGGTTGAGACGTTTGATTTGGAAGTTTGATAGTATCACTTGTAAAGCTATGTTTGGCTTGATCTCGTGGTGGTAAGGATGGATACTGTATGCCAGTCTTTAGGTCATATGGTTAGAACCTTTCCCTAAGAAGGATATTAAGTCAAACAATAAAAGTTGTTCATCCACACCCCACTAACCATCACACAAAGGAAAGGGCAACAGCGAACAAAGATGAGTGGTCACAGAAGCACATGAATTGTAGTGTCTTTCTATTGCGAAAACAAAGTCTTTGTCATGCTACTCGGCTAACGAAGGCCTAGCACGGCAACTTCCACTAAATTCTGCAAATCTCTTCATCTAAACCATCCATCTTCTATCAGATTCCTGTGTCTAGCGAAAATGCGAATGGGTATCTCTTAAAAAACAAGCAATGAAAGCAAAGAAAACATGCGAAGATCAAAGCCTAGATCGTTCCTTCATTTCCTCACATACATACTCCGTCGAATCAAAGCAGTCCACCATACTCGTATCTTCTTCATCATCTAGTCTCCGAGTATAATCTTCATGTAGGTGACAACTCTGATAGGTGTCTTGCCGACTTTCTTTCTGGCTCAAATCGAATACCTGCGTCTCAGATGTCTTGGCCTCAATTGTCTTCTGAGCCATAGCTTCCTTATATCTGCCAACTTGCATTCCAAAGATATCTTTACCACTAACCCTCTTTTCTTTGGCGAAGAATTTGCTTTGCGTCTCCTCGTGCGGCAAGAAATACGTTCCCGAGCTGTTGATCTTTTCTAAGAGCGCCAACCTTCCTCCAGGTGCCTCTTGAGTTTGTAGATGACGTTCCAAACCAAAATATTGATTTGCAGATGCGTCGGGAAACTTTCTGCGAGACTTAAGTCCATTTCGTGCTGCAACCTGGGGTTCAGGTTCAGGTTCAGATTCTGGTTCTGGTTCAGGCTCAGGTAGTCTCTCAAGAACCTTCGGATCATTGCGCTCCTTCCAGAACCTAATGATCTTGTGATACCGTTCTTCCATTTTGGCAGCCTCAGCCCTAGGCTTTCTGAACCATGCGTGATTTCGTGCTTCCGTGGCTGACAGCCGTTCCTCCGGTGCGAGAATCAATATCTCTCGCAAAAATCTCTTAGCTGTCACTGTCAGCTCGATCTCCTCGCCTTCTGTGAAGTCGCTGTCGATTTTGGCGTTAATTTCGACTTGGCTAAGATCCGATAGCTCTTCTTGGAAACCGGTAAGAATGCAAGCCGTAAGAACACCTAGCGACCACAAATCTGCCGCCATAGTATAGCCTCTGTCTAGCCCAACCTCCCTATCTGGATTAGTTTGGAGGGGATGAAGTGTTTATGGTGTAAACTTACGGTGCTTGGTAGCCAACTGTTCCTACGTTGGACATCATACGACCAGTTTTGCGCTTGCCCGCGTCTTGTTCTAGATGTACTGCAAAACCAAAGTCCGTCAACACGACACGTCCTCCAAACTCCGTATTGGTAACAAGAATATTTTCTGGCTTGATGTCTCTATGTGCTATCCCTTTGGAATGCAGGTACTCGATTGCTAAAACAATTTGTAATGCAATCACTCTGGCGTGTATATCTATAAGGCGCATACCATTGGCGCACAAATAGGAGTAGAGGTCACCTCCACTCGCGAGCTCCATAAAAATGTACCTACTTGATCATTAAAACCTCTAGCCCAGACCTGGAAAGAGTACATACATTTTGGTAGAAGAGTAAAAGGCTTTGGTAATATTGATAATATGCGGCTAACAATCGTTAGAACCCAATATAGCTTGGCGTAAAGAAAGACAGTCACTTACATGGCTCAAGTTTGCAAGAATCTTGATCTCACGCATAGCTTTCTCTCGCTCTTTTTCAGATATCTGGCTTTCCAAATGACTTCCCTCGTCAGGAGTCTCAGGGTCCGTTTTGAAACTTCTCACAATTTTGCAAGCTAACTGCTTCCTCTCTTGAATATCTTCTGCCAAGTAAACTGGCGCATAACATCCTTTGCCAAGGACACGCTCGGAAACGACAAACTGCTTCTGGAACCACTAGCCAAAGATAAGCGTACTGCCTTGAGCGAAGCAGATCATATATTACCTCCATGTCCTCCTTCTCCTTTTCAAGTACAACTGTATCTTCCGTGCGTGTGGCATTGTACTGAGAAAAGGTAAATTGCCAATAGGGCCGAATGTTGATTATGTCACCATCCTTTATGAGCCAGCCCATGGACTCTCGGCATTGTATAGCAATATTGTTTCCATTGACATACGTTCCATTGGAAGAATTAAGATCTTCGCAATAAAACAATGGGGCTATTTCAGAGTCCAATTCAGTATTGTAGATGACGGAATATATGCGAAAGTGAAGCTTGGAGACATGGATATCTGGTATGGACCACTTGCTGTTAAACTTATTAGGAATGTGATTCAGTTGAGACGCGAGGAGTATTGAACATACAGAATGTGAGACTGGGGCTTTGAGAGATGTTTTGGGGGTAGGGTGTAGTTCCTAGAAAAATTATTAGAAACGTGATCAACTGAGGACGAGAGGATCCTTCAACGTACGGGATGCGGCCTTCTAATACATCCTCAACTGCTCTTCCTACCAGCAATTCGTCTGTAGGATACATGATAATAGCTAAATAGGAATCAGAACGGTTTGCGAAATTGAAAGCGACAGCGATGCGAACTGATAACTTACTTTCAGTGCGCTTTCCCCTCGAATCAGTAATTTGGAACTGCGCGATGGGAGTTTTGTTGAAAGCGTCTCTCTCTATGCTGAGAGCAGTGCTGCCATCTCGAGCCGCAGCCCCCGCCGAAAGAGCAGACATTTTGTATGTTGAGACAGCACTCAATGGTGGCAGACGCGAACAGTGGCACTCAGAGATAGTCGGTGGTAATAATGGAGAAGTTACGAATATGGTGGTGGGAAGGACGGGTGATGTTTGGCGGAAGAGAGGATGGACAGAAGCCTGCAATGGAGGAGTCGTGATGTGGTCTCTGTGGTGTTGTGGGCTCTCCGGCGGAGGGGGAGGGATGGGGGGAAGGTCGCTCCTTCCCAGTTTGAAAACGCAACTCCCTTCCTACCAAGGTAAGTACCCAACCATCTTGAACAGCCAACACCTGTCCAATTCCTCTCTCCATTATATTTGCATTCTAACCACTCCGAATCCCATACCTAGTCTGCAATGCTACACGGTCCAAATCCGACCTTCTTGAGGCCGTTCGTTATCGTTATACGCTCTCCTCTACTACCATGCCATAGGAGCACCGTACCTTACTACCTTGAAGTCATTGAATTATCCACCCAGGAATAGCAATTCTGTCTTTCTTCCAATCCGTTTTTTTTAAACTTCAATATCTGTTCGAAGTATATAGACTTCCTAAATCGGGCAATATTTCTAGGAGAAGCTCGTGTCAGGAGGTGGTAGTTAGACGTCGGGAAGTTCAAACAATCGTGCTAAATATAAAGGTTGCCCATCATTCAAGAAGCAGTGACGCCAATGAATTTCAAATCATTCACGAGTGAGCCGGGAATTACGTTCTATTGACTACTATAGTAAAGAATACCTATATAGTCGTCATTATATTGGATTGCTGATGTCTTCTTGCTGAAAACTACGTAATACATCCTATAAGAAAAGCATCGAGGTTCTTTATAAAGATAAAATATATAGTAAGCTAGATACAGACTAGATTCATAGGGACTTTTTACTACATTCCATGGACCTAATTTCAGCATCTTTGGCTGGAAATCTCACTTCCCAGAACAATTTTTGTTTTAACCTTTCTCGCTAGGCTCACCAACTCCTGCATGGACAGCGACGTCGTGTTTCTCGTGAAGCCTATCCGTCTCTATTGTAACAAGCGAGAAAGTCCCAATTTTAAGTTATTATTCAAATGTTTTGAATGATCTGACGGCATCCCTTACACCGGTATGTATATACAACGAAGCTATTACACATCTATGAAATAACTCGTAGCTATGCGGTAATGAACATTTGGTCTATAAAGCTTCTAACAAATAGCTGGAAATCAACTAAATTGGATGTTTAAGCGAAGGTAGAGCAGGAAGGTGGGGCAGGGCCCGTCCCTCGCAAACCCGTCCAGTTTCTCGCTTGTACCAAAAGGATTGCCAAAACGACAAAAGTTGTCAACAATCTCCACATCCCAAAAGATTGTCCGGAAAAGGCTCAGACACCATTTCTCGTCTTTTCGTGCCGGACAGACCGATGCATCTCTCCCATTTCTAATTGGGCAATCAGGGGTTACTAATCGAGGGTTCTGTCGCACCTATATGCTTAGAAACTAGCGATGACATGATACCACTACACCACTGTAGGAATGAACTATACTGCTCCTTGATGGTATAGGTTGTTTTGTTGTAAAAACATACAATTCTGATTCAGTGGCTCACAGACCCCTCGCTTGCAACTTGGCAAGAAAAGGTTTTCGAATTCCATCCATATAAAGCTTGCACCTGCTCTATGCAAAAGACCACAAGAACAAGCACTACAGACCCAGAAAAAACATATATACTCTCATGCCACATTCAATGTAGGTGAAGTCGTTTGAAGGTGACTATCCTTGCAATGAAAACTTCGCTAAAAACCAGGCGCTTGAAATATTGCTATCTGACATGATCTCGCTTCCTAACACATTTCCCCTTATTTATTGTTCAACAGGCGGCGCTGGTAGTGCCTTTTTTCTTCTTATGAGTCGTGTTCTTCTTTTAAGCACTCGATGAATCTGGTTCTTCTACTTCGTACGCTTTGGAGTGAGTATTACTCATCCTCGTCGAGTTCTAGTTCCTTTGCGGTCCTCTCAAGGACATCCAGTATTTTATCATTGTTTGCGTCTTCCGAAATACCCTTTTCTATCGTCTCTTTCCGTAAGTTCAAGATCAATTTGAAGCAAGATCTTAATTTCGCACGCATTCTATCCGCCTCTTTCTCTCCGAACGAAAACCCAGGCGATTCATCCCGCAATATTCTTGCAATCATTTCCGCAGGATCCTGTAGAAACCCCTCGATGTATTCAGAGTATAAAGACCACAATTAAAGCCATCCAGCCGCTCAGGCAAGTTTTTGGCGACCTTGGAACGAATCCATGATAGATCAACGTCTTTGCCCTTGAACTTCTTGACCGTCCTGACTAGCCAGGATCTAAAGTCTGTAGACGGCACGTCTACGTGGGTACTGAAATGAATCCATGAGGATGATCCAAGGATGGGCTGGGTCACTGTCTTCACGTTTGTTTACTTCCTCCAAGTTGTCGTTCAGGAGGTCATGGGGGTTGCATATGATTGCAACATAGAAGTGATCGCCATCGTGAATTGGTACAATGATATAGTCTTTGAGGAGGATGGATTCGCCTGGTTCTCTTTTAGTTTTGCGTTGGCCAGGGATGCCGACGGGCACAGTCCAGCTTTCTTTGAGGACGATGTCTTTAAGTTGATCAACGGGACTCGCGTAAAGAAATGTGTCGAGTGCGTGGATATAACCAGCCAATTTTTGATCTCTTTGTATGAGCCGGTCGACCAAGAGTCCAATCCAAAAATTAACAGGCTCGTCGTTCAGCCATTCACCATCCCCAAGGACTTTTAGAACTGGATAATTAAGCGTCCCGTTCGTCCACGGTATGATTTCTTTGCCAATGTTGGTTGCCTGTTCCAACTCCAAGCCAGTTAGGCCAAGTCGAGATTTATCCTTTCTGCTTTCAGTGCTCACATCGCCGCTGCTGCGAACCGGTGGCTTAGTATTCTCGACAACTTGAGATTTATCCTTTTCACTTATAATGTCTCCGTCGTTCTCAGTGAGATCTATGGCCGCCGCCTTGGTAGTCTTGATACGTTTAGTAGTCGGCGGCGCGTCGTTGTCGTCGTTGTCGTCATCATCATCGTCGTTGTTCTTGTCTTCTAAAAATTTCGGTTTTCTTTTCGAATCTTTATCTTCAATGCCGAATCCAACCCCCTCTAAATAACCCGGAATTTTTGATGGGCTGTTCTCAAGTAGAAAATAACGATGCTCACGCATTATGCATCTATGTCGCATCTCAGGTGCAATGGCTCTTGCCCTCGCTTTCGTTAGAGCACCAATCTCCTCTCAATTTCGTTGGAGACTTTCTGACCAGGTTGTCACGCCATAAGATTGGTCTATTATACGGTGCTCACGGCAAGAACATCGTTGCCGTATCATCGTTGCTTGACAGAGATTGCCTTCAAAAGCAATGTCAGCGGGCAGTGACAAGCTGAAGCCTTCTTGGGTGCATGGAAGATGCAGGAGAGGACAAAAGTGAAAGTGAAGTCGGAACTTAGAAGTTGAGGCTCTGAGTGAGAAAAGAAGTAAGTGGTTGGATTCCCTCAGTACCAATTGTAAAATCACTCCTTTGTTACATACCAGATGTTCTTGTACACAATTCTTGATATGATCAAAGAGCTAACGTGGACAACAAGTGTGGCTGAGGAATACAGTATCTTTGTTGGCCCGCAGAAAGTTGTTTGCAGTGGGTATCTTTGGTCAAAGAGGATGAGTTCCACGGCTTGATTTGCACACAATTAGCCAAGAATACCATATTCAACACACCCAACAATAGCAAAGCATTGTCCCATTACATAGTCAGTGCCCTCTAGCTATGAACCTCAATATTGCGTTGTCGTAAAAGCGATGATTGATATTCCACCTGAACTCCTCCTCCCAACTTTTTGCGAACAATCCTTTCCCAATGTTTATACAGATCTATCTATACACATACATGTCCCATACCACATATTCATACATTATAGAAACCAGAGTGCTCTTGCGCCTTCTGATTTGTATTATCTTCATTATTGGGTGCCTTCGAACCACAAGCCTCATCCATAAACTCTCGGGGACCCCCGAGACTCTTCAGCATTCAATCTTTCCCTGTACTCTTTGCCTCGCATTGTGTATCTCTTGATTTCATCCCTAAAGGAATCGTTGAATTTGTTATCATCGGCATACTTATCCCGATTGTGAACTATGTTGCGTCGTTTTTTGCTGGCATCGTAGAGAGTGCGGACCCTTTGTGGATCCTTAATCTCAGCCAAAGAGTACTCGAGTGTCCATTCGTCCATGGATTTGAGAGGTTTAGGGCGTGGTACTGACTGGCCATTGACTTCGCTGCGTACGGTGAGACGAAACGCCATGATTGTTGGTGGGGATTCATCGCCTGAAGCAGGGTGTTTATTATTCTCTGGTTGACCAAGATCTTCCTTGCTTTCTCCGGTATCAACAGGCTGCGCAGATCCTGCCGTCATCTCCGGACCTTCAGTGTCAAGGTCCCAAGCGAGAGATGACGAATTCTGAGCATTTTCAGCTTCATCCAAATCTCCCGACTCGTTCTTGTCAATAGCCTCTCCGGAACTGGTGTCGTCTCCAGTCTCCTCGCCTAGTCCAAGTACCTCCTTCTCGAAGGCAAGAACTTTGGCTTTGTTGGTAGACTGAATCTCCTCAATCTTATTTTCGTCCATCGGTTCTGCAAAGATGTACATGAAAGGATTTGTACTCTCGCTGCTCCGAGGCCTAGTCTCGATGAGAAGTCGTAAGGATTGGTTCGGGAATCTGGCAGTCGCCTGGTCAAGCGCACGATTGAAAAGATTTAAACTCAGCTTAAATTCTGAATCACCAAGCGTTGTGTCCTCTGTCCCATGTAAAGCGGCATCCATTTCTGGAAGACTGATATACTGGAACCCAAAGATTCTTTCAGTGTTATGGAAAGCAACAAATATTCCATCCATACGCCCGATTCTAACCTGCAATGAATATTTTAGGAAGGCAGATCGAATCATGTCATAGTACTCCCGTTCAAAAGATTCCCACTCTCCATGACGTGAGCGAATTTCATAACCACTGCCTTCTTCATATCCAGAAGTATCCATGCGTATGGAGATGACTGCTCTTGTCTTCAGATCAAACATGCCAGTCCCTGGGATTCGCGGATCATAAGCATCGAGTTGTGATCTCAGAAGAAAATCGCCCATTGTTGTGTAGTGATAAGCTTCGGATTCCTTGCGAGTTTCCTCGGAGATAGGATCAGAACTGCTTTTTCTGTACCTCTCGAATTCCTTGTTTGGAAGCGTGAGCAACTTCTCCATCGACTGACCCAACATACTCAGAACGTTGGAGGTGTCAAATTCCTTATCGGCATCAATGGCATAAACTCCGTCTCGCCATCTAAGATAAAATGCCGCTGGACATCGTTGAAATGCTGTGAATGTGTCAAAAGGATCTGGAAAGCTCTTGGACAAAATGCCGGCGTTAATAGGCCGCCAGTTGGATAAAAGATAATGAAACTGCGACAAGGCGGCTGTCATGCTTGACGTGGATCCGGTATATTTTTTCCCTTCCCGTTTTGTAATTTGTAGGAGGGTCTCATCCTTGGATGAAGTGGTAAACTTCTTCAATAACGAAAAATCGAATTCCTTGACAGGCATGATAGTTTGCAAATAAGGATCGAAATTGAATACTCGCGAACGGGGATCCTGCAACTGGTAAACACCAGGGTTGAAGAGAACTCTGTCCAAGCCGTATGACAAGGAAGGAACCGAGGGTTGCGGTACGTTGATTGGTACAAGATCTAACCCCTTAGATGTCATGGTCTCGACACTTCCAACCATGCCTTTGGCGATTTTGATTTGACGTACTGAGATCCCATCCTCCTCAGCTTTGGAGGATTGGGAGTATTTGGAGGTTTTGGAGTATCTGAAGGATTTGGAGGATTTAGAGGATATGGAAGATGCGTGCTTCGATGCTCGTGGGGCTTTCATTCGACGCCTCTTACGGCGGTCTGAAGGGCGCATCGTGTCCTCTATACTCGGTCCTTTCAATTCACTACCCGATACTGATGGGGCGGCTGCAAGTACATTTGATTCGAAGCTTGTCTCAAATGCAAGCTGTAACGCGTTTTGTAGATCGATATCAGAGGAATTCTCCTCCTGAGACTTCATAGTCTTCAGTTTGCTTTGTTCCTGGCTTAGAAGGACTTGCGCTCGTAAAGTTTCTCTTGAAGAACGTGGGGTACGTTTCGAAATTCCACTTGGGGGTACAGGTAGGAGTTCTTTTCTTGCCAATTTAGTCTCGGAACTATCAACCTTTGTGGCATCGGATGTCGCTGTAGCAGCAGCTTCGCTTATGGGATGTGAATTTGCAGATTCGGAGGTGCTCGTCAAAAAGCTTGATTTCAAGTTCTCGATATGCCTCATCCATTCTGGGGATATGGCCGTCGTATCAGGAGTCTTTTCTGCTTTGATTATCGTTTCGGTTGCCGGTCGCTCTGAGCCCTTCAAAAAGGTATCTTTGAGTTGTATTATTCGCAACTGCCACGAAGACTGAGAGAACGAACTCATTTCACTTGTAGACGAGGGAAGCACCAAAGAATCAACGGGATTTGGGGGGGTTGCGGAGACACCCTGAGGCGTTGCTGTGGTGGGAACTTCTCCACTGGCCTTGGATTTTGTGGCAGTACTCGCTGTTGAAAGACCCGCCGCCTCTGCGAAAATCGTTCGCAACCGCTCTACGTTGAGAAGCGATTCAGGACCACCAAGTTTCCGTGGCTCCCCTTCTGTCTGTGGCCTCTTTCTTTCACTCCCTCCAGATTCCGCGTCTGAACCTGTCTGCTCATTTTGGCCCGCAGAAATTTCCAATCCATTATGCGAGGTCTCTTGGACACTTTTGCTCGTCTCTTCATCGTTGCGTGTGGCGCGAGAAGTCGAAAAAGAGGCAGCTTGGACTTGCGAGGTGCGATTTCCACCCGTCTTAAAAGTGTGGGGAGGCGAATGGGGAGGTAGAGGAAGAGGAAGGCGGCTGCGGGAGAAACATTGGGAGCGGATGTAGGCAGTATGAGTTCTGTTTCTCCCGCGGAATAATGATGAAATCATGGAGAGCGTGGCGTAAAGGGTGCCGGTTATTGAGGATGCTCCAGTTGCCAACGAACAAAATCTCCATCACCAAAAAATGAAGTGGAAGTGGAAGCTTGGACGGAAGAAGCTCGGAGCCGGAGCCAGGGCCGGGTTGGTCGGCCTATAACCTCTGACCCCCTCGAGCCCCTCCAGCTGGTCTCGAGATTCTCGATACACGTACTCGTAAATAGGTACGGAGTAGTCACCCGCTGCTGTATCACAATGATCTAACTCCACAACCACAATAAATTCGTCTGTAGTCAAAGGCATACCTAATTGGGCAAGATGAAAATCATCAAATTCATCTTAGCTCTACCTGCAATGATCGAGGGCAGGATGTTGATGTATCTAACTGGGTATGACTTTTCCAACCCCGACTTGTACTAACCTCCCTTCCAACAATCTAGCCAGCCGCAGGTATGACCTATCAAAGAGCGAAGCAAACGAATGTCGTATATATTCAAATTCGACAAAACTGACCCCTCGTTGATAACAGGCAACATCAAAATACTCCATCTCATCCACAACTGGTCTCGGATATAAGCCATGTTGCATTGGCCTTCATGCGGTCTTCAGTCTTCAACAGGCCCACGAACTCTGAAGCATTGGCGGGAGTTGACGAATGGCCATTATTTACAACAGTTTCGGAAACGAGAAAGAAATTTGAAGAAGGAACGAAGATTCTGGTTGCAATTGGTGGATGGGGTGACACTGATGGGTTTGAAGAAGCAGCTAGTACCGACGAAACGAGAGAATTATGGGCTTCAAATGTAGCAAGAATGGTGGAAAATACGGGGGCTGACGGTAAATTCATTTCTTCTGTTCTCGTATTCCTGTCCGATATTCTGGTTGAGGTTTGAACCAATCGATTGGATACTCATGAAGACTGTATACTGATATCTTGAAAAAAATAAGGTGTAGACATCGATTGGGAGTATCCAGGGTAAGCCAATTCTCCGTCTACCGAAGAACAATCTAACAGCCTTAGTGGAAACGGAGAACACTACCTCCAACCAAACCAAACAAACCCCACAAAAGCCTGGCAAATAACTGCCTACCCCCTCCTCCTCGCTGCCATCCGCCAGAGACTACCACCCCCAAAACTCATCACAGCAGCAGTCCCTGGTCTCCCAAGAGACATGCTAGCCTTCACAAAATCCACAATTCCTCTCATTCTCCCTTCTCTAGATTTTCTAAACATCATGACATATGACCTCATGAACCGTCGTGATAATGCTACTAAACACCATGCTGGGATCGAAGCCTCCCTTACTTCCCTTGAAGCTTATTCATCATTTGGTATACCCCCAGAGAAAATGAATGGTGGGTTTGCATTCTATGTCAAGGGCTTCAGGACCGAAACTACTGAAATTGGAAGAGCCAAATGTAAAAGGGCTTGGAAGGAAAATTCTGGAATTGGGTGTCCGACAGGTTTAATGGAAGATCCAGCTACTGGTGGCGATCTGGGAAAGACTACCGCGTTCTCTTGGCACGATACCATTCCTTCTGAATTTCAAGTGTCCTTTGGAAGAGCGAAGGAGGGCAGAAAGTGGGATGAGGTCGGAGGAGGAACTGGTTTCTGGGATGAAGTTGAAGATATGTGGTGGACATGGGAAGACGAAAAAGCCATCGAGGACAAAGTGAAAAAGGTAGTGGGAGGCAGAAAAATCGGCGGGGTGTTCGCTTGGGGACTTGGTGAGGATGGCGATGAGTACAGTCATCTTCAGGCGTTGAGTAGGAGTTATTGGGATTTGCCAAATGCCAGGAAGGAATCCAGGGACGAGTTGTAATAACAGATTTTCACTTGCCCAAATCTTTTCCCACGCAACCTGTAGCAACGTCAAAACCCCATACATCTCGGATTTCAAAATATCTCTTTCAAATATTCGAGCCCGTAAGACACTCATAAATCAAAAATTCTTGAAATCAAAAGAATAGTCATCACTCATACGCACACCGCCCCCTCAATCACCTGACGACCCGAGCTCGATATGCAACAAAACACTTGCTGAAAATCCTTCAAGCTTCAATAGTCAGCTCCTCTCGGATTGTATGAAGGAAACAAGTACGATCATGTAATCCTCACTCTTACTTAAGCATAGAAAATGGAAAGGATTAGAAGACTCAGAATAGAGGCGTGCTTACTAGTATATGTGGTGAGATGCTGTAAGATCTTTGAAAGAGAAAGATCATTGCGATAATTTTTTATAACAAATTATATCACTTGATGTAGTCGTAAAATAAATTCTAAAGTTGTTGGACAATAGTTAAAGTTAGATACAAGATAGAGGTACAAACGAGTAGAATAAATAGCAGTAAGAGTAACAAGTGCTACTTAATTATGCTCTCAATGATTGTAAAAATACTTCCACACCATGTACGCCTGGTTTTGGTCTTGGCACGACTAAATTCATGTAATACTCCACAGATGCTCTGTCGGTATCATGGAGGGTAAGATCAAACCTTCGGAATATTGATGCAGTTCCCATGGTCACCTCAGCGTATACAAGTTGCAGGCCAACGCATGCACGAGGTCCTTTACTGAATGATACTTGGCTAGATTACTGATAAGCGATTGGAGCTTAGTGGATTGGCGATTTTGGGAAAGGAGACTTAAACTTACTACGTCGATAACTTCTTTCCATCTGGTGCGACAGCATCACCCAACCAGCGTTCAGGTCTAAACTCTCCGGGGTCTGGGAATATTGCATTATCTGTCAAGACATCATGGTCATCCATTGAAACAGGGAACCCGGTTGGAAGTACCCAGTCTCCATATGGTAAAGGAGAGCCGCTGATAATTCTTGGCAATCGCTCAACGACTCCATAAGCTAAGCGGAGTCCTGTAATTTTTAATCAGCAGGGTTCTCTCTTCACAATTTACACATCCAGCGAACCTTCTTCGATAACAGCACTCAAATATGGGAGCTTCGCGAGCTCATCGTATGATACCATATCTGCTGGATCCGGCATGCTATGGTCGAGTTCTTCCTGAAGCTTCTGCAACACCGAAGGGTTTGAGAGAAGGTAGAAGCATGTCGTACTCAGAGTTTTCGCTGTAGTATCGAGTCCTGCACCGACGAGGCTAACTGCTTCATTCTGAATTCGATGGAGGGATAACTCTTCCGGGGGCAGGTCGGAATCTAAGAGAGCTTTGAATACTGTGTTCTTGCCATCTGACTTTCCGTCTCGCGCTCTAGAATCGATAATCTGCTGAACTTGGTCTATCATGTCCTGCGGAAACGAAATTTGTCAACTCTGAATTTCATGTCTGCAGAAAAAAAGTAAGTAAAAGAGGATTTACATTGTTGAATTTGTGAACCGAAAACATCTGAGGCGACAACCAGCGTACCAGGCTATCGGGGAGTATCTGAGCAAGGGTTGCCAAAGAAGAAAACTGTGCCAAACAATGAACAGGTTCGATCAGGGCTACGATTGCTTGTGTAATTCAGCTTTAAAGTCGGGTGTTTCGGTGAAATTGTAAGTGTTTCCGAAGCAGTATTCCACAATAACATCAGACGTCAGGCATCCCCACATCTCATTCAGTCCCAAAACTCTCGAAACGCCCATGGAATCATTTTGCAACCTTTCGCACATACGATCCACCTTTTTCTGAACCGCGTGTGAATGTTCCATAATCTTGCGTCTTGAGAAGAAAGGATTTATTGCCCCACGACGTAGACGGTGGTGGTTGTAGTTGGAGGTGGCGAAAGAAGAGAGAGGTAGTCCAAAGCGATATTGAGTATGGGCGACTTTAACGTAATGTTTGGTTATTGAATAGAGAGTGTTATAAAACGTTGAATCTTGAATATGTAGCTCATTGGGACTGATTCGAATGATTGGGCCTATAGTATTCCATCAGTAATCCAACTTCAACGTCCTACAGGAATTCATTGCCATATTTCTTATGCCAGTCTGTATAGGCAAAATAAAATTGACCACCCTCCTTGTTAAAGAGTTCGTAATATGTTTCTACCCATTGCGTCAAAGCTGCAAGACGAGGATCTGGAAATTTGGCCTACTCAAGATTAGAATCAACAAAACTTCCTCTCGTTTACTACATTTTGTTTATACAGTTCAACTTACCAAGGGATGAAAATATAGTCGATATATTGCTAGTCCTGTAAGATAAACCACAGTGCTAGCGAAAGCAAAAAGGGAGATATGATAAATGTTCAAATCTTTACTATGGAGAATAAGGTTATTCATGGCGAGAAAAGCGCAAGTTGATCTGCAACAGAGTTGTAAAAGAACAAGAGAGGCGGAATTTTGTATTAAAAAAAAGGTTGTCTTCAACGTTAGGAGAGGTTCGGCCGCTTTGCCGGGCGGAATGTTTAATAATTATAGATTGCGAAACTTTACACTGCACCGGAACTCCTGGAAGCGCGATCTAGTCGCTATCTAGTCCTCTAATACAAAATTCCGTATAAGAGACATGTGGCTCAGGCTATACAGATAAACCTGGATACATCACAAATCACGTGTTAGCACGTGAAGAGTGAAGACCAGGCGGCGTCCTGACAGGTCGAGCACATCCGTAGACTTATAGCAAATAGGGATCGATTAGACTAGCTAAGCGATCCAGGGATTTCACTTGGTTATAGTCACGTGATGGACCCCTTTGGATCCCTTGGGGATCCAAAGGGGTCCTGGTATCCTCTGGGATCCGGAGAACGAAGGTTCTATATAACGCTGGCACATCTGCCATTAGATAGGAGCTTCGTGCTCAACTTAGTTTACATTGCATTCAATACCTTTGCTGTCTTGACTACTTTGTACAAGTGACGAGTTTACCTTTGAGTAAACACACGACCTGATAGTTGTCTTCTTTCCCGCATAGCAACAGTCGAACTCGATACCTTTAGTTAGTTAGATACCGGTTTCGTCACAGGATATAAGGATATTCGTAGGGGCAAGTTTCGTAATGATATAACCGAGGTTATCCTTATAACGAGGGTCTTAGCATAGGCGACGACATGATTATTTATTTAAGTGTTAAGAATATATAATATAGTACTTACTAATTCATATATAAGGCTAGTAATCTACTAATTCTTATTACTAGGTACTAGTTTTATACTTAAAATAATAGAGAATTTATATAGAATTACTAAATTTCCGAGGACTAAAAAACTTTTAAGAATATAAGTAAGGGTATTTTAGAACCTAAAATACTAAGGATTATTCTTATATAGATGTATTTTTAGTATATTTACCTAAAAAAATCGGGACCTAAACTTTAAGAATATAACCGAGGTTATTCTTATATCTAGTATTCTTATACTAGGTTTATTTATAATGTTTTTTAATTTCGCTATAATACTTTTTAATCCCCTATTACTACCTTTAGTAAGTTAGTGTTTCCCTTTTATTAGTATTTTAGATATAAATAAAAGAAATATATTTATACCTTAAGATATATTTACTTTTACTATTATTATATCCTTACTAGTATATACTCGCTATTATATTCTAATTACCCTAACGGGTTAGGGTTAGGGTTAGGGCTACGGGTTAGGGTTAGTAGAATATAAATTACCTTATTATTATATTACTTTCTTTTTTTAAAAATACTAAACTTTTTATATATATTTTATAAATAAGTATTAAGGTACTTATAAATATTAACGTTATAAGTAGTAAAGTATAAGTATAAAGCTATAGTATAATTTATAATAAAGCTACTTTTAGATTTTTAGCCGAGGTATAGCTAATATAGTTTAATATTCTCTTATTTTAATATAGATTTATTCTTTATTTCTCGAAAGGTTTTTCTAGAAACTCTTATACTAAGATTAGAATATAGCGAACTGTCACGAATCACGTGCACACGTGACAAGTGAAGACCAGACGGCGTCATGACAAGCCGAGCACATATGGGCCTGGGAGCTTTATGTGTTCTGGGAAACCAAAGGGAGTTTTCTTATGTAAGCAGGAGCCGTTAATTGGTTGGATAATGTATATGGATGTATACCTTTACCAACATGTTGGTCACGTGATAGTCGACTGGTCGACTCGTCGACCTGTCGACCAACATTCCTTAAGTAGTAGTATTCTGAGAACGAAGGTTCTATATAAGACTGGCACGTCTGCCATTCAGATAGGAGCTTCGTGCTCAACTTAGTTATCAATCTTATCATATTAGTTTGACATCTTTGATACAAGTAACGAGTTCACTTCCAAGTGAACAACCCGATAGTCTTCTTCTTATCATAGCATACCAACCAGCGAACACCCAGCCAAGTTTAGTTAGCCAGTTTGAGTATTCGTTACAAACAGAAAGATCATGAAATCTGCTATGGAACGCTGCATCTAAGACCTAGTATAAGTTAATACTAAGCAAAGTAAGGTTAGAGAAATCCCTCTTTGGAAGTATCGAAGAAGATGTCTTATTTCGTCTGATAAATCATTCCTGGTGGAGTGTTTGAAGCAATCTGAACTATCATAAAACGTAACGATAATATTTGCCCTTGTATTCGAAACCCCTTATCCCTTCCAGACAATAAAGTGCCAAAAAAAAAAACGTGCACTCAAAGTGGATGGTTAACTGGGTCAAAGTAAGGCTCAAATACTTGGTAACGTGTTTTGGTTGGCTAAACGACTTTGTTTTGCGGAGAAGATGTTGGAAAAATGTGTATACTCCACTTTTACTCCACTTTTGGTGTACGGTTTTTTTTGGCACTTTATTGTCTGGAAGGGATAGAATATTTACTATCTTCAAAACCAAGAAAATCTCGTCTTAGAGCTAAAGTTCGCAAGACACTAGAAAAAACCTCATCTACTTTCAAACAGAATCCATTATTTACACATTCAGGGCAAATAAATCGCAAGTGGATTTACAAAACATACAAAGACCAAAGTCTCGCCGCTCCTGATTCAATCTATAGACTTAATAACTAATGGTTGAGTTCCTTCAAAGGACCCCAGAACTTTCATCCTCGAAATGGAGAGAGATAAATCGTGAAAAGCCCATCAATATCCATCTAACCTCAACGAATAAAGTTTCAATATAAACAAGAACCAATAATACATACCCCCAATTATCCACAATCAAAAACAACCAAAGCCCTCCTTCCCATCCCACTCCATCCCCACAAACCCGAACCCAACCCCCAAAACTCCCTTTCCCACAAAACCCCAAAACTCCCAAATCCCACTCACACACCAACCTAAGCCCTCGAACCAACAGCAGTCTCATACCCCGGCGGCGGCCCCTCCTTCACATCAGCCCATCCCTCATTCCCCCTCACCCGTCCTTCTTCCACTGCTCCAAGCTCATAGCTACGAGTCTCCTGTCGTCCATCCTGAACATATCTCTCGGCACTATCATTCAAAGTCTTCACGCTAGCTTGTCGCACCGCCTTCTTCTCCTCATATTTAGCGACCAGGTATTCTACCAGTGCTAGAACGAGGGTACGACATGGACGAAAGTGGCACATTTTTGTTTAGATGGTTTGATGTGGGTGTTTCGATGTGAGGTGTGAGGTAGGTGGGTTGGTTGGAGTTTTATCTGGTTTGTTTTGATATGGTGTTTTGTAGTGTTGTTTTGTTTGACAGTATGGTCAAGATACTGTAAAGATATCCCACAAATATATGTTTTTAAGCGAACCTCCGAATCAGTCTCTCAGAATACAAGTAAGAATCCTCCAGTACTCTAATACTCCAAACAAGACCATAAGAATGATACCCAACTCCAACTCCCAACCCCAGGTCTCCACCTCTACTTATACCTCCCCTCTCCCATCTTCACAACATTGCATAGTCTCTTAGCCTCCCCAAACCAAACCTCGCAAGCCAAGCCTCCACAAACTATACCACCAGATACCAAAACGCGACGCACCCAAAAACCTAAAGAAAGGACGAACAATCCCCCCGACTCTCCATCCCACCACCCCTTTAAACTATGAAACCCCCCAATTTCATGCCACATACACACTTGTCGGCCGTAACACTAGCTATCGCAGCGATGGCTTTTTATGGCTGGTGCTGGTGCGTGGACTCTCACGGCCGTAAGAATCGGTTGCGCCACTGAATCGACTGAATTTAGGCTTTCGTTATGGCATTCATCACCTGGTGTCACGTTTCCCCGCGATTAGCGGGGACGGGAAGGATTAGCGAATGCGAAAGGAGAAATAGAAGGTCAATATACTTTGATGGGGAGAGGAGTAGAACATGTTACAGTATTCGGATCGGAGAAGGGGACTTGTACTTGAGTAGATTTGTCATAGACCAGTAATATTAAAGATGAAAAATATAGTTACCTTTCTTTGACTCAACCTCTCACCTACATCACGTGAACAAACACCTATTCTACCCGACCCGTGGATCTCGCAGTAGACAAAATAAGCGGGATTTTTTGTTCGTGTACCCTTACATACCGCTATACTGCCCAAAAACAGGAAAAGAAAATCGTACTTCGTACTTCTTATAATGCTTAATACCTAATTCATGATGCATACCTACTCCAAATACCCAACCCACCAACCACAAAGCAATCAAGCACGCAAGCTAAGCGCAAGTCCCCAGTTCCGATTCCCTAACTTTCCATTTGCAGAGAAAGAAAATCACCCAGATCCATCCCAAGAAAACTCCATATCCCATCCATCCATCAATTCTGAAATTAGGGGTCAGTAAAATAGACATTAATATCTAAGTATAAATCGACCTGCAATAACATCATCAGCATATCTCTCTAGTTGCGATACTTGAAGGGATTTGTCGGGAATACTCACTCAGTAACTTTATTAACCTGCAACCCCGTCTCTGCCATTGGCGCATCCTTCAAAAAGTCCAAGGGCATCCAAACTAGATGTCCCTTAATCTGATCAAGCTTGGCACGGATCTCATCCGGAGGAATCATCCTATCATAGATATGTCCAGATTTTGTTCCTTTGGGTGGTAGGAATTTGTCGTAATCCTCGAAGTTTTTGACTACGGAACACAAGTTAGTAATCTACGATTAGAGAGGAATGTTTTCCATACCATAATCATCAGGATCAGCGTGAAAAAGTTGGCGGAAGATTTCGGTATTCTTGGTAGCTCTGGTGGTCCACATATCCCAGACCTCATCGCTGAGTGGATCCTCGACGAATTCGTAGGTTTCGTTTTCTTGGGGGTCGTTGGGAACATCTGGAGGTTGAGCATTCGGGTCTTTGGAGGCGTCGAGTTCCTGGGGAGGTAAGAGTCCGAGGTGTTCTCTCCATAAATATCTTCGAAGAGTCGCAGCATGGCACCCAGCCTCGTATTCTTGTCCTCCCATCTTCGTCTTAATCATTTTTGTATCGGTCATGACGATAGACAATTCGCTATCATGAACGCCCAATTGGGATCGATCGTTCAGGTTCGAACTTCCACAAACAACAGTTCTGTCATCAACGATCAAAACCTTGCCATGGATGTAAAGCTCCTCTTGAATCCAACTATCGACCTCACTATCCTGTGGTCCTTCCCACTTCTCAGCAAGTAGACTGGGTTGTTGGTGCATAGCATTCTTTGCAACGCTGTCCGAACTTTCCGGTACTCTGTTTCCACCAGATTCTTCGCCTGCAGCCTCAAATCTGCGTTTTGCGTCCGTGTCCGCTTCTTTCTTTTCGTTGTTAGTGTCATCTTTGAAAGGTAGCTTCTGCTTAATGTTTCCTGGTTGGCCCATATGTGTATCTTGGCCATCATTTGGATCATTTGTGCCATGAATACCCGAGTCCATGATCTCTTCCGCTTCCGCTCTTTGGACATCTTGGTATTTGACTCCAGACTTTTCTTCCTGCTTTTTAATAGCCGGAGTAACATTCAATCGGTCGTAAGATCTGAGGTTGAAAAAGAAGATGTGCTTGGTAGGATCAACTCCTTGTGATCTGATCTGTTCAAATATTGAATGCTCGCCTCTGCAAATAGACTTATACTGGTAATCCATAATTGCTCTGGTTCCCATTGCTGCATCCTCTCGTAGATCGCCAGCGAAGCCTGGGACCGAGGGGATCAGAATGATTATTCGGAACTTTCTATTCTCCTTTCCGGCCCCCACAACCGCGTCAACAATAGCTCTTCCGATAGTATTTTTGATTGGTGCTTGCTCCTCTCCGGTCGCAGTGATGAAAAATTGATTCTCAATGTAGACATAATGTTGGGCGTTTCGGATCAGTTCGCTGTAAGCGTTTTGGATACTATGCTCTGTAAGAATTCCACTTGACCAATCCGCACTGCTTCGAACGACCTGGGCGTGAACAGTTCCTTGTTCACCGAGAGTTTTCCCACTTAAGGGAGATAGAGGATGATGTATGTAGTCGCCCACGGGATGTTTAGGTCTTTGTACTCCAACAAGATCCTCGTCCGGCCCTTCTCTACCTTCCATGGTCAACCAGTCATATCGACCATCACGCTTGTATTTGTCACGCTTCACAAAGTTCCAACGAAGAACGAAATGCTCGGCAATGTCGTACACGCAGTCTCCGACTACTGCCATCGCAACATCGTGCCACGGCATGCGGCCATATTCCGCCTTGGACAACTCATTTGACTTCCAATCATTCACGCTTTGGAAATCCATGACTCGGTTGTTGTTGAAATCTTGACCTGGCCATACTTCGGTAGAAACACCCTCTGGGTGGACATCAGCAAGTGGATGTTGATGACTGTCCCATCTTCCAAAGCAGAGATCTAAACCACCGATGAAAGCCAGATTATAATCAATAACAATAAATTTCTCGTGATGGGCCCAGTAGAAGGTCATATCTGCAGCATTCTCAAGGACATTGTGATCTGGATGTCGCATGACTACAATATTACCGTGTCCTGGTGTCCCTTTGGGGCAGAGAGCTTGTAGTGCATGTTTTGTGTGAGCTGAGTTGCAAGTAAGAGCGGCCTAGGAAATTGTAAGCGAATTCCTTCCGATGCAACGATGTTGGGCAGCCATACCTCTACTTCACGGTACACAATCACAAAGATCTTCACGCCAGATTCTGCCTTACGCTTTAGAATTTGATCCAAACGCCATTCCTGGTTGAAATAAGGTGGTCGGCGCAAGAATAACTCTGGAGAAAGCCACCAATCACAAATATAGATGGTTTCTGTTGCTCGTTCAAGGGCAACGGAAACAGCCTGTGTTGTTAGTTTAGCTTAGGTGAGATTTGCTAGATGCACATACCCAAAAGTAATCCCTTCCATCCACATACCACTTAATATTGTTACCTGGTCGTTCTGGGGCGAAAGACTTGAATCGATGAGCCTCTCCGATTTTAGTTCTCTTGTCATCAGTGATTTTCTCATGCTCCTCGTCATGTCGATGATTTGGATTGATCTAGAATCTGGATGAGTGACCATTGAGTATATTTTGTAGAAGAGTACTCACCAGATTTCCAAACTTCCCAATGGTGTGTCTACCACGTTTCATTAGTTTTATGTATCTTTACATGGCTGTGATTATGGTACTTTTTGTGAATGAGACCAACTTTCAAGTCATAAAGCTTTGAGTCTCTGAACTTCTCTCGCATGTTATCAAAAGGATGCTTGAGCTTGTCCTTCAGGCCCTCATGATCACCACCTTCTGTAGGTCCTGCCGACATGATGACGAAAATCCCTACTAGCGGTAGTATTGCTGTTTTATAAAGCTACTTGTATCGCAGCAAAACCTAAATTGTGGGCGGGGTGAATCTGGAATGATTGCTCTCGACGAATTCATATAGAACTAGCGTAGAAGTGGAGACCTGGAGGGCAATGGCTATGATGAGGGAGAGCTGTAGGTGTGAGGTCGGTAGAAAGAAGAAGGGGAGTGGTAAGACTTTATCAGTGGTCAGTGGTTGGTGGTTCCTGTCGGGTCTCATGCAGTAGAAGTCGGGTCTCACGCAGTAGCAGTGTAGATGTAGTGCAGCTGGGGCGAGAAGGCTGGATCGCTGGTTACTGGCTGGGAAGTAATTTTGTTTTGGCGGGGTGTAGGGGTGCCACAGTGCTCAAGCAAGGAAGCGCTCCAGATGAGGGGTGACTTCTACGCGGTCAGACCCTTCCAAGGACCAAGGCTGAAGTTTGCGAGCTCTGTAGCGATGACGACTGCCAAGACAAGATAATATTATAAGCTTAACTGTGTATCTGTTATTCACATCTTGTGCATTTTTGTGCAACAATTCACTTTGCCCAAGTGTGAGTACCAGTAGTTGAGGTTATTCAGAGCCAATTGTTACGTTGTGAATGTCTCGCTGAGGGATGTTTCCAGGTTCTTATTTGGGTAACAATGCAACAGTAACAGTAACAGAAGCATTCAGCAGCCCTTCAGCGTCTTTCTAGCATTATCAACTCCCCTTTTGCGATCCCTATCCTACCTATACGCAGAAGCTGGGCTAAGCATCTCGCACGTGCAGGTGTTCCACTGATCGGGCACGGACGGTCGGACTCAATATCGGACTGGCACAGACTAGCACAGCCCGAGATAGCCAAGCTCCAAGGCCAACGGCGATTGGAATTCCGATGGCACGCCAGGTGGAAGGCCACCGAAGCCTTTCTGCTGAAGACCTACGAGAGTAGAACTCCCAAGTCACTTCTTTTACCAGCCAGACTGACGCGCATCTCGAGTATAGAAATGCGCAATGGCGCCTCTGGTCGATAATCCGTTTATTGCTTCTGCCTCGTTGCACAATCCCCGTATGTTCTTTTGTTTCCTCGGAACCTCAACCTGAATCTATAATTCTGAAGCTTAAATGGATACCTGTCTAATCCTTCATAGTGCCGCTCTTCCTACATACTTACATCTGGCCCTTTGCAATCATCTGGCCCGTCTTCTTCCGCTACTACCTCTCACAGGAACTCTACGATAAGCACATCAATGGGCAAGAATGGACGTTTGTGTGGTGCGGTACCATCATTACCCTCCAAAGTCTGGTGTGGCTGAGTACCAACTGGAGCGTAAATCTCAAGGCCATCTTCACCTCGACCAGCGTCAAGACCGTTTCGGATGCCAAATTAATCAAGGTTCTTCCCATTGTGAATGCCGGATCTCCCGAGATATGCTCCATTGTTCGAGATAATGTAGGTCGAGTCCTTTTGCCGTAGCCAAACTACTAGTTACTAAAAAATCATCAGGCCGGAGGCAAAAACAACGTCTCCTTCTTATTCCAAAAACGCCGTTTTCTCTACGATGCCACCAAAAACTCTTTCTCCCCTCTTACCTACGCCATCGACGCGGAGCCGAAACCAAACCTCGAACATTTCCAGAAGTCGAGAGGAATCGCTTCTGCCTCCGAATTATCGAGAATCCAGCAACATTACGGAGATAATACCTTCGATATTCCTGTCCCGGGTTTCGTCGAGTTGTTCAAAGAACATGCTGTCGCACCCTTTTTCGTATTTCAAATTTTCTGCGTGGGATTATGGATGTTGGACGAATACTGGTATTATTCTCTCTTTACTCTCTTCATGCTTGTAGCATTCGAGAGCACAGTAGTATGGCAACGCCAGAGGACTTTGAACGAATTCCGGGGTATGAGCATCAAGCCTCACGACATTTACGTCTACCGACAAAACAAATGGGAGGAGACTCAAAGTGATAAATTGCTTCCTGGCGACTTGGTTTCAGTAGGCCGTACGAAAGAGGATAGCGGTGTAGCTTGTGATATGGTTCTTGTGGAAGGAAGCGCTATCGTGAACGAGGCCATGTTGTCTGGAGAAAGTACCCCACTACTCAAGGACTCGATTCAACTCAGACCTGCGGATGCCCTACTTGAACCAGAAGGCTTGGATAAGAATGCGTTCCTTTATGGCGGTACCAAAGTTCTTCAAATTACCCATGGTAATAGCGACGAAGAACGTCCAAAGGTGGCCTCTGGAGTGCCGTCGCCCCCCGATAATGGTGCTATGGCTATTGTTGTCAAAACAGGATTCGAAACCTCGCAAGGAAGCTTGGTTAGAACCATGATTTACTCAACTGAACGAGTGTCCGCCAACAATGCCGAAGCACTCCTCTTCATTTTGTTCCTCTTAATTTTCGCGATCGCCGCCTCTTGGTATGTCTGGGATGAGGGTGTCAAGAAGGACAGAAAAAGATCCAAGCTCCTTCTGGACTGTGTTCTCATTGTAACAAGTGTTGTGCCACCTGAACTTCCTATGGAGTTGAGTCTTGCTGTCAATACCAGTCTTGCAGCCCTCAGTCGCTACGCCATCTATTGTACCGAGCCTTTCCGTATTCCTTTCGCTGGCCGAGTTGATGTCGCTTGTTTTGACAAGACTGGTACTTTGACTGGCGAGGACCTCGTTGTTGAAGGAATCGCCGGCATCGCTCAAAAGGCTGGTGATCTCAGCCATATTACCCCTGTTCTGGAGGTCCCGTTGGAGACAACTCTTGTACTTGCAACTGCTCATGCCTTGGTTAAGCTAGACGAGGGAGATGTTGTCGGAGATCCTATGGAGAAAGCCACTCTTACCTCACTCGGCTGGACTCTTGGTAAAAACGATACTCTTACGAGCAAACATACAACTACTGTCAAAGGATCCTCATTCAGCACACCTTCTAATGTTGTTCAAGTTAAGCGTCGCTTCCAATTCTCTTCGGCTTTGAAACGCCAGAGCTCAGTTGCAACCGTGACCATTCTCCACCCTGAAACGCAAAAGAAGATTCGCAGCACTTTCGTAGGTGTCAAGGGCGCCCCAGAAACTATCATGAAAATGCTGGTAAAGGTCCCTGAACATTACGAGGATACTTTCAAGTATTTTACAAGAAAAGGATCACGAGTTCTTGCGTTGGCTTACAAGCATCTCTCTTCGGACGGGGAACTTGGTAGCGGAAAGATAAATGAGCTCAAGCGAGAAAAGGTTGAGGCAGATTTGCACTTTGCTGGTTTCCTCGTACTTCATTGTCCACTCAAAGATGATGCAAAAGCGTCGGTTCGACAGCTCAACGAGAGCAGTCATCGTGTAGTTATGATTACCGGCGATAATCCTCTCACCGCGGTTCACGTTGCTCATGAAGTTGAAATTGTGGACAGAGACGTCTTGATTTTAGATGCCCCAGAGCATGACGACTCCGGAGAGAAGCTTGTCTGGAGAAGCGTAGATGATGAAATTTCTATCCCCGTCGATCCTACCAAACCAATCGACCCCAAGATTCTGGAATCGAAAGATCTTTGTGTTACGGGATACGCTTTGGCTAAATTCAAGGGCCAAGCTGCGTTACCTACGATTTATCGTTACACTTGGGTTTATGCCCGAGTTTCTCCAAAACAAAAGGAAGAAATCCTTACCGGTCTTAAAGACCTTGGTTACTACACTCTCATGGCTGGAGATGGTACCAATGATGTTGGTGCCCTTAAGCAGGCTCATATCGGTGTCGCGCTCTTGAACGGATCTCAGGACGATTTGAACAAGATCTCGGAGCATTATAGAAACACCAAGATGAAGGAGTTGTATGAAAAACAAGTTCAGATGATGCAACGATTCAATCAGCCAAGCCCACCTGTTCCTATTCTGATTGCGCACCTTTATCCTCCAGGACCAACTAATCCACATTATGAGAAAGCAATGCTCAGAGAAATGGAGCGAAAGGGAAATACGCAGGCATTGGCCGAGATTGCTGCCGCACCAGCGACACCGGCGGCACCAGCCAACAGCCAAGTTGCCGTCCCTAACGGACAACAAAAGGTAGCAAATCTGGCCGAGAAATTCACACAGAGCATGATGGAGGCTGAAATGGACGACGAACCACCAACTATCAAGCTCGGTGATGCGTCGGTAGCTGCCCCTTTCACAAGCAAGCTCAGTAACGTTATCGCCATTCCAAACATCATTCGTCAAGGTCGATGCACTTTGGTTGCAACGATCCAAATGTACAAGATTCTTGCACTCAACTGTCTTATTAGCGCATACAGTCTTAGTGTTCTTTACCTTGAAGGTATCAAGTTTGGAGATGGCCAAGTTACCATCAGCGGTATGCTTATGAGTGTTTGCTTTTTATCCATTTCGAGAGCAAAGTCTGTTGAAGGACTTTCCAAAGAACGTCCTCAGCCCAATATCTTCAACTTTTACATCATCGGATCTATTCTCGGGCAATTTGCTATCCATATTGTCACTCTCATCTACATTGCTCGGTTCTGCGATAAGATTGCCCCGTAAGCTACCCCCTGAACATATGTAGAACATAGCTAACCTTGGTTTCAGTCGAGATGCCGAGATTGACCTCGAGGGAGAGTTCGCACCTTCTCTCTTGAACAGTGCTGTCTATCTCCTGCAACTCATCCAGCAAATCTCGACGTTTGCCATCAACTATCAGGGCCGACCCTTCCGTGAGGCACTATCAGGTGAGTTTATTTCCATCAGCTTACCGTGGATTTCGGCTAACTATGGCCCCCTAGAAAACCGTGGTATGTACTGGGGTATTTTGGGAGTTTCGGGTATTGCATTCTCCTGCTCTACGGAGTTCATACCCGAGATCAACGAGAAGATGCGCCTTGTCCCGTTCACCTCTGAATTCCGATGGACGATGACGACGGTTATGATTGTTGATTACGTGGGTTGCTTTGTGATTGAAAAGGTCCTCAAGGCTTTATTCAGTGACTACAAACCAAAGGATATTGCCATTCGAAGACCTGATCAAATCGCCAAAGAGGAGAAGAGAGCTGCGGATAAGCTCGCGGAAGTGATGCGTCAGGAAGAAGAGAAGGCAGCCAAGGCCATTGCGGACTTAGAGGAGAAGCTGCGTGGTGTTAAACGTCGCGCGTAATTGATGGTATCTGGTGTACGATAGTTAATACATAGAAAACAGAATAGATTTGGTTTGTGTCTTATGAACTGTCGAGTTTTGGTGTAGGGAAAGCTCTAGTTGTTGATATTGATGCTTGTCTGCCGGAATGTGCACAGTGAATCTGGGTGTATACTATCAGCTACAATTTTAATGATTCATCCGATGTTCTACAATTATTAACGTCAATTTCTGGGTCATGACTTCGTACTTCATACTTGAACTAAATATTCACTCTGTACTCAAGCTCGACTCGGTACCTTCGAACCGATTTTCCTCACTGCCAACCCCTGTCTGTATTCACCAACCCACGTCATCCATCGATGCCAAGGCCGCGATAACCAAGCTCAATCTCTTGGATGTGGGGTATTCATATGTGAGACAAAGCGTGTTGTTCCTGGACTCATCTCCGCTTCTTCGTTCATGATCGATCGTACCAAGATGGTTCAATGGAAGAGGTTGTTTGGCCTCGATGGCACGTAAGTCATGTCCCGATCACAAGCTACCCCACCCGGATTAGCTTCTGTGCTGCTTCGTCTTTGCCGTTGTAAAAAGACCTCTCGCTGATTATTTATTTCTTACGGCTTTTAGGGAAGATCGGCATTTTTGGTCTCAGGAGGCTGCGAGACGTATGTACAATCTTGGTTCTTGCTGCTTTGAGTTCCTCTCAACGGTTGGCTAATTGTTGCTCCCAATAGTATTGCCAGTCCACCACGATGAGAGCATTCCGTCCGCGATGCCGGCTGCCGAAGTCACGAAGGTTGCGCTCCGACTGAGATACCTGATTGAGGAGAGTGTGCCGTGTGAATTGGATGAGAACTTGATTACACGTCCGCACAGCAGAATCATTACACCCAAGGTTATCAAGGCAGCCAAGGAGGCCGGTGGTCCGCAATACGGAGCATGTGTTGTCTACGCATTGCTGGTTAACAAGAGATGGTTCAAGAAACAAGCTACCTTGGAGCTTTGGGATGCCGATTTACACAATGTTCGAGCGACGGCTTGCGAAGTGATTGCGAAGGCGCTGTGAGTAGCTCGCTGTTCGGGTTAAGGATGGAAACTGATAGGATATTGTAGTATCGAGAACGAAGATAGCACCGATTACCTACTCCAAGATATCCTTCTCAAGCGATACTCCATCATTGTGGATGGCGAGCAGACACACCCAACGAATGTGATTGAGCGAGCCGTGGATCTACATGCGCTCAGGGTTACCGGTTCATCAGGATACCAAAAATGTGTCAACTACCTTTGGAGAGGCTGGCTCGTCCAAGACGAAAACGACCCTTCTCGATTCGTAGACTACAAAAAGAAAGATAATACCAACTACTGGACTCACGTACACCCCGATCGAATGCGCGCACCACTCTACCAGAATGCCACTCAAATCGTCATTTCTCTCATCTACCTCGGTCTCTACACCGGAGCCATCAACACCGTCAATCCTACGGGAGACTTGGACATTGTCGAGGTCTTTCTGTATATTTTCACCCTGGGCTTCTTGTGCGATGAGTTCTCTAAGGTGTATAAGGTGGGACGGTTTTATATTGGGTTTTGGAATGTGTTCAATTTGATTCTCTATGGACTGCTTACTACGAGTTTGGTTACGAGGATTATTGCTCTCGGTCATCCGGTTGGGGAGGATAAGAGAGGACATTTTAACGAGCTTAGTTATAATTTCTTGGGTAAGTCGGACGTTTTTGCGATATAAGCACTCCTATCTCGACTATTGACTTGATGGATGTAATCTTTACTAATTTTGACAGCCTTCTCTGCTCCAATGTTCTGGATGAGATTATTGCTCTATCTCGACTCAATCCGCTTCTTCGGAGCAATGCTGGTAGTGTTGAAAGTCATGATGAAAGAGTCACTCATATTCTTTGCCCTCCTCTTCGTCATTGTCATAGGATTCTTACAAGCGTTTGTCGGAATGGACAACGTTGATAACAATGCCGATGTAAGCCTTTTACATCCTCTTCTATTAACCAACTAACAAGAACTAGGCAACAATGTTCATCCTTCAATCCATGGCCAACGCTTTAATGGGTTCCCCTGACTTCAGCGGCTTCGACAACTTCGCTCCGCCCTTCGGAATAATCCTCTACTACATTTTTACCTTCCTTATCATGGTAATTCTCCTCAACGTCCTGATCGCACTCTACAACTCGGCCTACGAAGACATAACCACCAACGCAATCGACGAATACATGGCGCTCTTCGCCCAAAAAACCATGCAATTCGTCCGCGCACCCGACGAAAACGTCTTCATCGCCCCCCTCAACCTCATCGAAATCTTCTGTCTCATCCTCCCCTTCGAATGGTGGATGTCCCGCAAGGTCTACGCAAAACTCAACGATTGCGTGATGGCTATCATATATAGTCCCTTGCTGTTCATCGCGGCCTACTTCGAGACCCGCAGTGCGATTAGTGTCCGGGGCAATCGCAAGCGAGGCGAGGAGGACGATGATACGATTGAGGAGTGGGAGCAGATGGCTGATTCGTGTGACTTTGAGGGAGAAGGGTGGTTGAAGACGGTTGCGGATGTGAAGCCGGATGTGGAGAGGGATGCGGCTACGATTGAGGTTCGGAAGTTGAGGAGTGAGGTGGGGGAGTTGAAGGAGTTGCTTGAGAAGCTTTTGAAGAGGGGGGAGGGGGAGAATGGATCTTAAGGGTTTTTGGATTTGGGCTAGGTCGATTGATTCGTTGATTGGCTTAGCGAGAAAAGTGTATGTGAGATGGGGGGGACAGGAAGGGGGAAAATTGTGTTTGTATATGAATGAGGGAGGATCTGGTAAATCTGGGCATTTATCATCAGTGATTCAGCGGCGTTTTTCTTAGGGATTTCTTTGATTAGTTACGGGCGGTGGAGTCTTGGAAATGCGAAGCTTATTTCTTTCTCCTTTCTTTTTGTCAACGTGGTTATGTTCATGATGCCGAGACTACTTGCCTTGCTTATCTACAGGTTATGTATACTATACCATACAAAAACACTATACCAATTTATCAACCCCCAGGACAACTCCTCAATAACCCGAAAGACGAAAAGAAAAATGAAAGGTAAAAAGGTGGTCCACAACAACAACAACAACCTCTCATTCAACCTACCTACCTATCTAATGTACAAAAAAAAGAAAGGGGACCTCATATTGCCCCCCCTCCCGCCTTCCCCAAACTCTTTCCCATCACCGTACCCATTCTATACCCAGTTTCAATGAAGAACACACAAAAAAAGGGAACAGACGAAAAAAAAGAACCTCGTCTTCCATCAAAAAGAACGCCAGAGGTTGGTACAGCCCTTCCCAGAAAAACAAAAGATGGAGAAAAAGGAGTCAACAAGAACAAGAAGGGAAAGAGAGAAAGTGAGGCTGTCTGTCCTAGATGCATCGCTCAAAAGAACAAGATCGGAAAGGTGGAAAAAGGTTTAAAAGAAGAAGAAGAAAAGAGAAGGCAATGCTAAACACACATCCGTACGTACATGCGCCAAGTCAAGCTGAGAAAGCGAAGAAGCGTCACACTCATTCTCTTTGACTTGACCTCCTACTCCTAAACGGATACGAAGAATGCGTACTCGTTGGACTCCCCAACGGTCTTGATTCCGGCAGTCCCAACTTGATCTCGCCCACCCGTCTCAACATAGCCTGCAACGCAATCCGGATCTCGTTCCCCAGATCCCGATTCAGGAGATCCACACAGAGGGGATAGAAAACTTCAATATACTTCTCGAACCCATCACGTGGGAAGTTCGTATACCCCTCCATGACATCGACCACCACGGGTCTCCAAGCGATGATGTTTCTTTGCTGAGATTCCTCTTCGAGTTCGACGAAGCCACGGATGATGTCTGCGCATAGTGGGACCAGGGCTGCTTCCGTATCGTCGCGGTTACGTTTTCGCTCCTCGCCTTCGTCGTGGTACATGCGGAGGAGGATGCTAATGTAGGTCGCTGCGCTACCACTCTCTTGCTTTAGAAGATTGGGTGGTTGCTTCATGAATCCTTCTCGCCAGAGACGCATACGAAGCTCTTTATTCTCGTTGAATTTCTTGGCGAAGGAGAAACTCTTCTTGAGTAGTCCCATCAGACGAAGGAGTTCTGGACTGGGTATTTGGGCATATACCGCCTCATTGGAGAAAAGCTCATTGACGGTCTCAATCATGAGCAATTGAAGTACACATCGAGTGATGATCTTGTTGAAGAAACGTCGGCGAGCAGCAGTAACAACAACTGGCTGTTGTTGTAGCCCAGATTGTGGCTTATAGTCTTCCAAGTCTGCCGGAGTTCCTGTTGGGGTTTTTACCTCGTCTTCATTTAGGCTATCTGTGTCTGAAGCAGCAATGCCGTTTGACCCATTTATCCTGAGGGACGACGTCTCGTCTTGGTCAACCTCCTCGAGAGGCGAGGAAATTTCTGCTGTGGTGCCGGATGCAGTAGCAGCAGAAAAGAGCTGGTAAGCAGTTGTTCTCTCGAACAACTGCACGAAGGCTCCCACTATCTTGGACCAGTGCTCGGGTTGGAATTTCGTTACATTCTGCAGAATGAGCTGTTGCAAGCAATTACTCCCAATTCGAGCAATCGTATCATTTTCTTGACATATACATAATGCCAAAAGATCCAAGAATCTATCGAGCATGTATTCCAAAGAGTCAAAATAATGAGTGAAAAGCGTGATCATGTTTCGTAGCGCTTGAATCATGGTGGTAGATAACCAAACTGACAATTCTTCATGATTCAAAACGTTTGACATCTCAGACTTCGACTTCAGAACCATGAATATTGGGTAAAGAAGCTGCCGCCAAAGAATGTCCCAGAAGTCCGACGGAAAGTCACCACCATATCTGATGATGGACTCGAAGAGATAATTAAGAGCGTTAGATCGCACTTCCAAATCCTCGCCAGTCATCAAAACGTCATGGAATGCAAAAAGTACCGGGAACCAGAAAGCTTCTTCTTGAGTTGTCCGACTAGGTTGCTTAATCTCTGAGGTTCTTGTCGACCCGTCCGAGTTCGCAATGGACTTTTGAGATAACGGACATTCTGGTGTCTTGAGCATCTTTGGAATGATGGATTTGAGTGTCTCCATAGCCTGAAGTCCCTTCTTCTGGAAACGCATATTTTTGGAAAACTCCGTCAAGCACACAATCAAGTCGGCAAATGCGCCCTGAGATATCACCACACCAAATCTTGTCTTGTATACCTGGTTGACGTTTTCAAAGGCCAAGTTGACAATACTCTCATACGGCTCCCTAGCGGCAATTGTGAAAACACCAAACATAGTCCTCCAACCAGAACGAATGTTCTCACCACGAGCTTGAATCATCTGAATCAAGCATCGCAAAGTCATATCCTTAACAGCAACAACGTTACTGTTCGACATGACATACTCAAAGGGCTTCAGAAAATCTTTCTGAAATTTGAAACCCGGGAGTTCCTCGATCTCCATAAAGCGCATGGATAATTGTCTGAGAGAATCCAAGGCGAAGAAGACAACGGCCGTGTTGTTGTGACATCCAACGCGATTGAAATGTTCTCCTAGAACACTCCAAATATTCGTCCACTCAAATCTGACACGAGTCATATTGTAGTAACTGATCTCGACGAGCTTCTGAAGACTGTACGTGCGTGGTGACTCATTTGAGCCGGAGCTCTTGATTTCTTCCCAACTCACTTCTGTCAAGGCTCTCACGAAGTGAACAATTGCCTCTCCAGAAAGATGCGCAGTATTAGTAAAGATTCGATCGACTGCCTTGATGACTTCGTCGGAGCGGCTTTCCATTGCGATTTCCATGGAATAACCTGTACCAGTAGGAGCTGGGCGTGGTTTTGGGCGGACGGATCTTGTGGATTGGCTTGATTTCCTTGATGCATTTGTATCCTGTCTTGCAGGCACAATCCGAGCTTTCGATACATCAGGAATTGAACCCTCGTCGACACCATCAGAGATCAGCTGCAATCGGTCCAACTGACTTACACACATAAGTATGTCTCGCCATGACCCTTTCAGAAGATTGCCCTCGGTCTGCGCAATCTCTAGGATAATTTTGAGTGCCTCAACATTCTTGGACATCATATCGTTTGGATTATTGAGGTTCGTAGCATTCTTCAGTGCGGAGACAAAAGCCTCGCGAGCAGTTCCTAGATCGAAAAGACACGAGATACGGATTGCAAGCTTCATTCCTTCCATACACATCTTGATTATCTCAATATTGTGTGCATTCTGCATTTGACCGGACAGTCCAGAAAAGAAGGACATCCACGTCACATCAAACATAGGGCCGACGTGTTTGAAAGAAGTGGCCGGGATGAACTTGCTAGAGCCAGATTTCGCAGCGTTCTTTCGTTCTTTGCGGTATAAACTTTTGAAAAGTTGCTCTGATCTCAGAGAGATTTCCTCCGCATGTTTAGTATATGCTTCACGTTGTAGATCGCGCCCGACTGTAGACAAGGCTTGACCTATACCAGCTGCAATACCAGCAGAAGGAGGCACGCCCATCAAAGCTGCGGCCTCTCGCTCACTTTTTAGAACGATTTCATCGTTAAGGATTTCGTCGTAAATTGCAATGAGATATTCGTCGGGAAGACTGGCACCATCGTTGATGCCTCTGTTGTTCTTGATGAACTCCTCCTGGGTCATCTTATGCTTGAAGTTTTTGTTATGCAAATCTGTATTCAGCATAATGACGGAGTAAGAGAGAACATATGCAGTATCTGCGTTGGCAAAAGCATTTGGATTGCCAGCAGCGTAATGATTGGCAAATTTCAACATGAATCTATCGATCTTTTGGGACTCTCCAGGCAACCGGAAAGACTGTAGGAATTGCCTCAGCGCCTCTGTGAAGCGCCGTTTTGTAAAATCCATGGCATCAACAAAGGCATGCATAATGGCTATATTTTTGTCGTCTCCTTCACCGAGGAATTCTCCTAGTTGAGCTTTATCTAGACGCTCTTCCCTCAATAAAAACTGAGCGATGTCCTCGGGACTGTCACTGGGAATAATCTTCTCCGCGAGCAAAGCTTTCAAACCCCGCTTTGGTCTGAAGTTGAACAACTTAACGGCATTACTCACAGCGGTCTTTTTTTGCTTCTCTTTTTCGAGATGTTCGGGATCATCATCAATGACTGGCGTTGTAGGTAAAGGGGTGTCCCCATTAACTATTCTTGACGAGCTGTCGTTTCGTGAAGGGTCCAGTGAATCTCGGTTATCTTCGGATGCGCGGTTGTTGGAATCAGAATTGGTAACCTCGGCAATACCTTGCTGTGACCAATTGACTAGAGACCTCAGAGTTTCTACAAGGCAATCCAAGGCTTGTCGTTTAATGATGTACTCCTTCGGTATTTCGCCATCGGCGCTTTCGTTATGTGAACTCATATGAGCAGTTGATAACGATGGGGGCAAGATCCCCCTTGCTTGCCAATCCGCGCCATTCATGTTCCCTTTCGCCGCCTTTTCTTCATACTGTTGCTGGTGCAATGGGCTGACCATGACTGCTTGGCTCGAAGCCTTTGATAAATCTTCAATCAATGTTTGAAATATGTTGCTGTCAACATTACCGTCACAGTCGTAATTCAGATAGGTCTCTACTAATGCACGAGGATCTGCACATAGTCTTTGAAGAATACCCATGAAGTATGCTTTTTGGCCAACAGTGGCCGTCCGCCTTTCTAACAAGGCTAGATAGATTTCGTTCAGAAACACCTCGATTTCTTTCTACAGTTTGATTAGCATTAGAATTGAAAAGATTGCTTGCATCACCAACCTTAAAAGGGGCTCGCATAAATTTCAACATGAGCCAGAATATTTCGCAACAAACTTCAAAAACTCGATCTACTGAACTTGCTCCGTTTCGAGTAATGCTGAGGCACAGGTAAAACTTAATTGCCTGCAAAAAGTTGGTGGGCTCATTGCTTTTGCTGTTGGTAATGGTACATAAAGGAGATGTGAAGACGAGGATGTTATTATTGAGTAAAGTGTGAATGAGGTGAAGAGAAATGAGTTTCGATCGCATAGCCTGGCCTTTAAGATCGTATAGTTGCTCCCCCGCCAGAACTTTAGTACTCAGATTACAGAATGATCTGAAAACCAGGTAAGCATCTCTGATGTATACTTCATCCTCGGCTTCCTCCGAATCCATCCCATCCTCGACAGTACTTTCCGGTGGAGTTTGCCCAGATCCTGATCGAGGCGATGAGAGTGCTGGCTTGACCTGAGTAACCATTGTGGGCCCTTCCCCCATCTGAGAGTCGTCAAAATCCTTCCGGTGCTCCAAATCTTTCAGTGTGAGTTTAGGCCCGTCGCCGTTAGGTGAGCCCGATAGGGGTGTTTCCTGTACCGATTCATCCACTTCATTAATAGTTGAGGCGTCGTTGATCGATTCCGAAGCATCCACTGTATATGAACTTCCATTGCGAGTGTTCTTCCCGAGTTTCGATAAGCTCTGCCTAGCTTCCTTCATATGAATCCTGGTCTTGACTCGCTCGAAGACCGTCCCTACCATCTGCGTCAAGGTACCTTGCGCCACTTGCTGATTGGCACTACTTTTCGAGAGGAGGAAGACATTGTAGACTTGTCGAACCGCTTTCAAAAGCCCAGCACCATGAACCACAATTTTATCGTTCAGCACGGCTGCGAGCAATGACTTGACAATTTGTAGTTGTATTTCCACCGGCGTGGTCTCTCCCTGAAAACAGTCGCATATCGTATCGATCGCTCGTTCGATTAGAGGGTCTCGAGAAGCCTCCTTATCCGCATTTGGCGACGACGGAACTGAAAAGTACGAGTAACTTATCAGCTTACCAATACAGTCGAGCGCGGTTGTCGTCAAAGGTATGCTGCCGGATTTCGTAGCAGATTGTAAAGGGGTAAAAATGACTTCGGGATCTGGGAGGTTCGGTTCCTGCTCTTTGATTTCCTTCAAAGCCTGTTGTACGGATTGCCCCAGCTCTTGCCTTTTCTGGGCCTCCTTTGAAGCTGCGATAGCTTCCAGCGCCGATACCACGAATACAATGGAGCTCATGGTGGCCGATATCTGGCACCGGATCCCATTCGTGGTGTTCTTTACCGGCCGTTGTAATTGTTGTTCTGTGCAAATGGGATTGCCGCCAGCGCCGTAGCCTTTAGCCTGTCTTGACTTTCTGAGTGAGGCTAAGATGTGTAGCTCCACGTCGCAAGAAAGGGTGTCAGCATTCGGGGTTCAGCCGCAGATATTCCGGGAAGGCGCAGGGATATCCTGCCGGCCAAGCCTCAAATAACTTTCGGCTGACTTTCAGCCTTGTGCAAAACACCATCCGATTCATGGGAACTTGCAAACATACCCTGTACGGTAAACCTCGATCCTCTCCTTGCCGCAACGAGATTGTCAGACTTTGGGGTCAACGGATTTCAATAATCAATCAAAAAATTGGACATGGCCTCGGACGATGAGGAAGCCAATGCCATGGCCCTGGCGATGGGATTCTCAACTTTTGGCACAAAACCTTCTGCGAAAAAGAGGAGGTTCAATCCCTCTACGGATGCATTTGTTGAAGGACAAGACCTCGAAAAGCTGGATCGCGGAGGTAAGAAGGGAAAAGGCACTGGCGGCAATATGATTCCAGTTGGAGTTCGAAAGACAAGGATACCTTCATATGGCGGGGCAGCTTCCATGCAAGGAGGAAGCATGGGCAAAGAGTCAATTGGGAAGACTGTACAAGCAGAAGATAATATGAGGCGACCAATTCCCAGTGCTCGAATATCTCCAGAGAGGTCGCTGTCTGATACTGAGGATGCTCCCAACTATATGGACACAAGTCGACCTCCTCCAATCACTCGAAAGTCCCCCGAAAGATCGGACGAGGAGGAAGAAGACGGACCAAGGTATATGGATACTAGCGAAGCTGCTCCTATTACACAAAAGTCTGAGCCCATAAGCAGAGGAGGCTACATCTCGACGACGCCATCAATAATTGCACCCAGTATACTGTCGATGCGATTACCCCCTCCAATAAATCCCCCGCTGGGGCTCAACGAAACTACCTTCCCAATTCAGCCTTCTCCTCCAGGAGCCAGTGTACTTTCATCTCACACAACCGCGCACTCGCCCCCACCTGGAATTTCTCAACCCATTACTCAAATGTCACCTCCGCCAGGTTTACCGACCAAGCCTCCTCCAGGACTACCGCCTTCAAACTTCCGAGGTACTTCTCCATCCGACAGTAGCCACTCAAATAAACCTGGGAACAATAGAGGAGGAGGTTTTCAGAAAGGTGGTCGAAGAGGATTTAATGAGAAATGGTACGAGGGTTATTATGACGTTACGTTCAATCAGAATCCCTGGGAAGCACTAGAGGTTGGGAAGGGACTGAGTAGCGTGGGTTCTTGGTTACCAGGATCCAACCAACAGAAAGGCCGTATCTGATTGATACTGGCGATAAGAATTTCGGCTGAAAAAGGGGCTGCTGATTTAGCCGAGTATTGTGGAAGAGATAAGCCGGAAAGCTGAAGAGGTAGCGTGAAAAGGAAGACCAAATAGAAACCTGGCCGTCAACACAAGATCACCGACAATAAAGTTGTTGCTATATGCAATGATCTGATATTACAACGACCTACTCGTCAAACCCATGCCACTCCTCATGTTTCGAATCCTCCAAAGTCTTCTGCCTAACCTGCTCAATCAGCTTCCTCAACTCCATCTCCTTCACCTTCTCCTCCTCAGTCATAGCCTCCAATCTTTCCGCCTCTCTCTTCCTCCTCTTCTTTTCTCTCCTCTCCTCTTTGAGATCTTGCTGTTCGTGTTTTTGACTCCATGCTTCCCGCTCCTTCCTCTTTTTCAGCATCTCCTCGCTAGGTACAAATGGTCCCTTTGCCTTTTCCTCTTCCATCGCCAATCTTCTTGCCTTTTCTCGGATTTTATCTTTGTATGCGTATTCAGACAAGTTAAGTTTGATTCCCAAAGTCTTATCTCCGTCCCATTTCTTTAATTCTGGCATTTTCGGAAGACGTACTAGGCCCCAGGCATTTCCTAGATCTGTCCAATCGAGCTCTGAGATTTGGAAGATACTATTGGCTTGGTGTTTAGAGTAGGCTTGTACCCAACTCACGAATGCACGTTGGCCCTTGTCGTATAATGCTCGGTCTGCTAGAACTTCTGAGCGCATTTTTGCTGTGATTAGTTTTGCATCATCATCCGCGATAGTAATCGATGGTTTTGTGAGAGGTTCAATGGGGGTTTTACGAATTTCGAGGAACTGGACGTAGTCTTCCTCGGTTCCTGGTTGGAGGAAAATGACACTAAGTCCGCGACGACCTGCACGACCTGCTCGACCACATCTGTGAAGAAACACCTTCGGATCTGATGGAGGATCGATTTGAACGACAAGATTCACCTGTGGGATGTCCAGTCCTCTTGCTGCTACATCAGTCGTGAGTAGTATTGTGGGTGTAACACAGGTGATATATTTTGCAAAATTCTTTTGTCGTACATTGGGAGGATTCTTTCCATGTAAAGGTATCAGTGAGAATTTATCTGGTAATAACGCTCCCAGAATAGTTTGGAAGTAATCGACTGCCGCGCAAGTTGAGAGGTAGATGATGCTCTTTTGTGGTGTAGGTGTAAGTTGTTCGAGCAAAGAAAGCAGAGCTGGAAATTTATGGCTTGCTGGAGTAACTAAGTAAGTCATCTGTAGACTTGCTGGTGTTCGTTTGTCTTCCCCATTTGCACTTTTGACCTTGACTGCAATCTTCACAGGATTTCTTAAACCAACTCGAATAATCTCTCCAACTGCCTCGCTAACACTGGCACTAAATAACCCAGTCCTCCTTTGCTTTGGTAACCTGCCAAGTATTTTTTGTAAATCATCCTTGAATCCCAAATCTAACAGTCGATCGGCTTCGTCCAGAACCAGAACCTCAAAGGACGACTGAGGGCAGTGTACGTGGGGTGATGAGAGAAGTTCTAGCAATCTTCCAGGTGTAGAGATCAACAGATTTGGGCTGTTTTTGAGGAATCTGCTAAGATCTTGGGCTGGAGTTGTAGTTCCGCCCAAGAGTAGTTGAGGGACAACAGTATGGCCATGAAGCTTTCTCTTTGCTCCCTCTTCTAATGGCTTCAATGCCTCTGCCGAAGGCTCGTGGAAGGCCAGTAAGGAAAGGAGTACGGAGTGTATCTGGGTTGCCAATTCTCGGGTGGGTGAGACGATGATTGCGCCGACGTGATGCTTTTTGAGGGGTTCGTCTAGTCGCAACAGCTTTTGCACAACGGGAATTAGAAATGCCATCGTCTTTCCACTCCCAGTAACAGCCTTGTCTCAATCAGTAAGCGGTAGATTCGTCAATTGGGGTTCGATATATATTACCTCAACGACGACGTCCTTATTGCCCATGAAGAGGGGAATTGTCGAGGCCTGAACTGGAGTCATCCTCGCGAATCCCATGGCATTAATCGCGTCGATGATCCATTCTGCCAACGGAGGGGTCAGAGCATCCCAGGCCCGAGGATCTTTCTTGGGCTCAGCAGTGGGCGCCATGATGTTGAAGCTATTCGAAATCTGTGTTGTCGCAAAGAATCTGATACTGCCCTGTTCCACCAAAAAAGTTCGTCGCGATAGCAAGGTACCTTATCGCCGATCACGGAACAATACGGGCCGTGGATCGGATGGCACCTGCAGATCCACCACCTGTTCCATCCCAACCGGCCAATGACCGTTAGTCGGGCTTCGAAGCTCAACGCAGCGCTTGCTAGAACTTTTAGCTTCCCGACAATTTCCAAAAACTACTTACATTTCCATCTCACCACCCACCTCTCTCCTCCTCTTCGCAATCCCGGTGTTGTGACATTGCGACTCCACCATTTCCAATTGTCTGGAACTCTGGTGACCCCTCACGCTCTTTCGCTTTCTTATCCTTCTTTTTTCCCTCAACCTTCCGAAAATGTTCTCGGCCGTGTTGAGAAGGCGCGCCCTTCAATCCACTCCCATCTCCTACCAATTCGCACGATGCTATGCCGCAAAGTCGTTTCCTCCCCATACGGTGGTGACCATGCCAGCCCTGTCTCCTACCATGACAGCAGGCAACATCGGATCGTGGCAGAAGAAGGTTGGAGATACGATTTCTCCCGGTGACGTGTTGGTTGAGATTGAGACGGACAAGGCACAGATGGACTTTGAGTTTCAAGAGGAGGGTGTTCTCGCAAAGATCTTGAAGGATTCAGGAACTAAGGATGTGGCTGTCGGTAACGTATGTTAAGCATGAGGTTGAGGGTTCAATTGGCCTTTCTAATTTTGCACAGCCAATCGCAGTCATGATCGAGGAGGGCGAGGATGCTTCAGCTTTCGACTCATTTTCGCTCGAAGATGCCGGAGGAGAGAAATCTGCCCCAGCACCACCAAAGGAGGAGGCCAGCGAGTCTTCCGAGCCAGCAGGTACCGGCTCTGGTACTGCCCCACCAAAATCCGAGCCTGCGCCAGTTCCCGAAGAGACAGAATCAAGTGGTGGCAGATTACAACCAGCTCTGGAAAGACAGCCAAATGCAAGCGCTGCAGCTATTAGACTTGCAATTGATAGTGGCGTTAAGATTACAGGATTGAAGGGCACTGGAACTGGTGGACAAATTACAGAGGCCGATGTCAAGAAGGCTGCTTCTGGACAGAGCACCTCTGCTTCATCCTCTGCACCAGCGGCATCATACACCGATACTCCTATTACCTCGATGCGAAAGACGATTGCCAACCGTCTTACAGAATCATGGAACCAGAACCCCCACTACTTTGTCGCATCGACCCTCTCTGTGTCTAAGCTTCTTAAGCTCAGACAAGCCCTCAATGCATCCGCAGATGGACAATACAAGCTCTCAGTCAACGACTTTTTGATCAAGGCTTGCGCTGTTGCTTGCAAGAAGGTCCCAGCTGCCAACTCTAGTTGGAGAGATGGTTTCATCCGACAATTCAACAATGTCGATATCTCCGTAAGTTCCCGGCGTGCCCCATAAATTTCCAAATTCCTAACCTACCCTCATAGGTTGCGGTTGCCACCCCAGTCGGACTCATGACCCCAATTGTCAAGTCTGTCGAAGCTCTTGGCCTCTCATCAATCTCAGCACAAGTTAAGGATCTCGGCAAGCGTGCCCGTGATGGCAAGCTCAAGCCAGAGGAATACCAAGGAGGAACTTTCACTATCAGCAACATGGGAATGAACTCTGCAATCGATCGTTTCACAGCCGTTGTCAACCCACCACAAGCCGGTATCTTGGCCGTCGGTACCACCAAGAAGGTTGCAGTCCCAGTTAAGACCGAAGAGGGGACTTCATTAGAATGGGACGACCAGATCGTTATCACTGCAAGCTTCGACCACAAGGTCGTTGACGGAGCCGTTGCTGGTGAGTGGGTTAAGGAATTCAAGAAGGTCGTAGAGAACCCACTCGAGTTATTGCTGTAATTAGAGAGTTAAGGGAAAGGTGGGCGTGGGGAAGATCGTGGTTTGAAAACCATATGCCACGGGATGTAACGATGAGATTAGAGAGATTCCCCATGTAACATTGTAAAGTGACCCCTTATAATTTTCACGATGCACAATGTTTGCAATCGAAGGAAATTGCTTTTTCTCAGGTGCTCAATAACTTATATTTTGATCTTCCTTTCTTGATTCTCGGTGGTGTTTGTGTGGTTGCCTGGAAATGGGTTATGATGATACTCAACTACACCTACCCCTTTTCTCGAAAGAGATGTCAATTTTCGGTTAAAAGTAGGTAAGATACAATACCACACAACACAACCACTTTGAATATCTGCGCTAGCCGTATATAAGATATAGTAGTACCTTACTAAATCGATTCATAAACCATCGTTCCAACATCCTTTTCCCCCTCTTTATGCATAGGTAGTACAGAAAACGATATACTCATCCTATCATTTACTTCCTTTGTAGAACTAGAAGTTTGCTTGAGTCGCTTGGCACGGCACGGGGTCGCTTAGAAGTTAGCTACGGTAGTAGTGTAGTCTAGTTGGAGGTAGGGCGAAAAGGGTCGTACTGCTTGTGCGGATGTTGGTGGAGAATGATGGCAAGGTGAAAGTTTGAAGTCATAGACTACCTTTTTTTTTTGTTCGGAAAGCTAGGAGATTTTCGGGATTTACTGGGTGTGGGTATGGGTGTTTAGTACATAGCCGGGTGTTTTCAGGAGACGTCAATGATGAATTCCATGTAGAGAGAATTCGCTGATGATGGTGCGGTGCTAAAGGGTTAGATAGTGGGTATCACTATAAAAGTCTATATTAGCTTATGTAAGCAGAACTTGTATCAGGTGGTAGACTAAGTCAAACGGGCATGCATTCGTAGATATTTAGTCTAGTTCTTAAATCTGGATGTTAATAGAAAAGTACAAGGGGGAAAATTCATTTCTTATCTCCATTTTCTCAATGGGACAGTGGTTTATGTATGTACTTTTTTGATATACGAGAGAAGACTTATTTTATAAGAAGAAGAAGAAGAATACAATAATAGAGATGCTACAGCTTTACTTTTTTACTTCACCCTTCCATGCAAGAATACCACTTCTTCCTCAGTCTTTCATGCCTATGTTTTCCTCCCTCCTTTTTCCCACACTGATACATTCATGCATAAAGAAAGTACAAGAAATAAAAAACTACTTGAGCGCCCGAAGGCCCAGGGTTCGACGGGCTCAATGGAGAACAAGGAAATACAATGATTCCAATCACTCCTACTCTCAATGCAGACGTATCATACTTGAAGAATAAAAAACAAGAAGAAAACTGATCCCAATGACCACACACCAGAAACTGGGTATCTCGGGCAAATTCCCAATAACCCAAGTCTCCTTTTCTCCGTCCGATCTATGCTCTCGTCTCTCCATTCAAATTCCCCAAGTTACTGGTTCTAAGTGTATTGAGTCCGAGGTATAGAGAAGACTCCGCCAGGAGCTTCTAGAATTTATCCGTCGTAGGCGAGGTATTCTCATTTTGGGGTGTAGTAGTGCCTCTAGATCTTGACATACTATACGGGGCCTATGGACAAACATTAGCGTTGCCTTTCTACACATGACCTCATCGAATCCCAAAGATATCGACCGAGACTGGAAAGACGAAATTTTAGGAGAACTTGGACTTACCAAAACCGCCTTAGCATTACAAATTCTCCACGCCATCTTCCTCACACACCCGTCCGCAAGCACCACCCCCGGCGCAAACTCCACTCCAAACATCTGAAGAACCACATACACTACGCGTCTAGCATACTTTGGTTCCCTCTCCACCAGTGGTCCAAAAGGTTCGTCCACGCTATTAGGCGCCACGTCGGGATCGCGATCAAAGCAGTTCCTCACTACTGGCAACAGGGCATTCTCAACCGCCGTCCGAATGATATAATTCACATCCTGAGAAGGACTGAGCGGAATATCATCCTCATCGAAACGCGAGATGCGGATTTCGAAGGGCAAAGAGATAGACATGACATTGTGCTTTCCATCATGGTGGTAGCGGAACTCGAAAACTCCAGAGGTCCAGAAGAGTTTGTCGCCTACAAAGACCATTTCGCCTCGTGCATAGTCACGGGTTGAGCCGTCTCTTCGGTCTTTTCCTGAAATTATTTGGTTCGAGACGAGGATTCCTTTGTCGGCGGGGGAGAACTCGTATTCATTTGGAACGGTGGCTACCCATCGACCGGCCGAGGAGAGACGAGTGACATCTCGAGAGGCATTGTCGGCTACCATGTAGAGTCCTACCCAGTCTTTGGGGCTGTGGTTTACAGGAGCGGTCCATTTTACCTTGATAGGAGCTCCATAATCGAACATGAGAGGTTTGAATTGGTCAGTTCTTTCTTTGTCGCTGGAGGGATCGCCATGTGGTGCTGTTACAGAAGTCGTACTTTCAATGGCAATGGAATAATCTCTTGGGTCGAAACCTGCTAAATCTGGAGCTAGACGGGTCAAGGTAAGACGAGCGGGATATTGACTAAAGAGTGCAGTAGTATCTCGAACAATAGTAGAAACACCAGCTGCGAACTTTGGTCTTGCAGCTTCTAGGAAATCTTCAACGAAGTTACCCGTCTCACCGAGAACTTTGTCTACGCTTCCCTGCCATTTCTTGAGGGGTGGGGGTAGAGATCGTCGAATACTCTTTGTCAGACCAGCTTCTGCTCGTAGGGCTCGTCCGTAGAGCTTTTGCATGTGGGGCTTTTCCACGAATTGGATGAAGCCCAACGTAAGCAGGTGACTGAACAAGGCCAGAAAGAAAATAGCCTTGCTCCTAGTAATGAAAACCGCACCCCAGACACCAGCCAGTCCGATGAAACGTTCGGGGTTATTCAAGTAACGGTAAATACCACTATACGTCAGCTTTGGGGCTTGGTCAAAGAAGAAATCCCCAAAGAACCAGCCAAATTCTCCGAGAGATTCGTAGATACTAACGGATGTCCACAATTGTAGAGCTACAAGACCCGTTCCGAGAATGTGTTTCAAAAGCGCAAGGCCATAACCCCAATCTTGGGGTACGGCATACATTTTCCATGCGGCCGCAATGAAACTGGCGTAACACATGGTCATGCTTAAATGATACATGCCTTTCCATTGTCTCCAGGCTTCATCGGTACTTTCGCCGTACTTGACGAAATGTCTAGTCCACATCTTTTTGTTTGATTGAGCATGAAGAATCAGTCCTAGGCCACCCGTGTGCCATATACGCCAGGCAAATGCATTTAGGGCAAACATTGTCTGGAAAAAACGGGTATTTGGAGACCAGAGCGTGACTAGGAGAACGTATCCTTGGAGGAGAATAACCGACAAGTCGGTAATTCTAAAAAGATCGATATTTGTGATACCCATTAAGTTGTGGGTTTGAATTGGTTGCGTTGGGACTGCTGGAGCAGGAGATGGAAATTTCGGGAGCTCATAGTATTCGATACCCTCTCTACGAGCCGCTGAGGCATTTGCACGGTCAATGTCGCGTTGGCTTGGTTTGTCTTCTCGTTTGCGAGGTGGCGGAGGATTGTAGGTCTTTTCAATGTGTGGATTCTCGACATATACGAGGAAAGCGAATTGGGTTGCGTGAGCAATAATCGAAATGAATAGGACGTTATAACTTGCTGCCATCAACGAAATGCCGTAGTAGCCTGCATATCCCACCGAGTACATTGGATGAGGGGCCATTTCAAATACCCCATCAAAGGTTAGTTCCTGATCAATGAGATAGAAGAAATCACCCCAGTACCACGCGTAGTCCTTGACTACACGATGGGCATCCAGCTTGACCCACAGGTTGAAGACCACTAGAATAATACCCGTCACCCATCGAGCTATAGATAAACCCCAACCCTCACCAATTGGTCGTCCCCCACAAGCTGTAGCAAAGAGACAGTATGACACAAAGTCACACATCAAAATGAGATCCACCACTCTGCGAAACACCAACCATGTATTATACTCAATCGGTGCTTCCTCAAACTTGTAGTCCTCGGGAATTTTGGTTTCCAGCTCCCGTTTAAGAAGGTTGTATAACCATGGACGTGGATTCATTCCTGTAGCCGGGTTCTCGAAGAAGCTCCATTTCTTGGCCCACGAAATTAGGCGCTTATGGTTGGATTGTATGTGGAGAAGCCAGCCGATGCCTACGTTATAACAGCCTCTCCAGAATAGGAAGATACCAGCGAAGACCGGTCGTTTGAGGGGCGACGGAAGCAGATAGAGGGCTAGAATGTGCAGTGCGAGTACGCCGAGGACAACGACGTCTGAAAGATTCTTGGGTTGTCGAGGGTCGAGTAACTGCGAGACCATGTCATGGGTTTGGGGAACGGTGAAGACTAGGCATAGTTAATACTTTATTCCACGGAGGTAGAAGAAATGCTGCTGGTAGATGATCCGGACTCACTGGTTCCATTTGGAGTTCTGCCAAAGGTCTTCTTGGGCTTCTCGACCTCGATGTCGGCGGGAGAGGCGGATACGCTGCTGCTGGCACTAGAGTCAACTTTGTCTTGTTGGAATTGTATATTTCGTTCTCGGAGGCCATCTGGCGCTAGATGAGAGGCCATCTTGTGGTTTTCTGTGGGTTCTGTGTTGAAGCAGAGTCCCACGCTCAAAATTGTTGTATATGTGTTGAGTAAGTAATTTGTTGTCAGTGTCTAGGTTTCTATGAGGCTTCGATTGCAAGCACCATGTGCCGATCTGGTGGGTTAAGAGTTCTTGTCTGGGGCGGGAGAACTCTGGTACTTGCTGTACCTGTTGGTCTGGTACTTGGTGAATCGAGAGCTGGGTCGGGCCATTGTCCGCAGGGGTACAATGCAGTTTTTCTTGTCCTGGGTGAATGTGGGAAGTGGAGTCACGATGTTCCGACTTTTTCGTACCAAACCTCCCCAATGCCCCCTTCGCTTACGCACGACTAAACATTGCCCAATGAGCGGATAAAGTATAATTTGCAGCCTCTTTCCTGGCTTCCATGCAATCACGCTATGCTGTGCTATGCACCTGTCTACAAACGTCACCTCTCTTCTCGCGTCATAGTTGATATGTCGGTTTTAAACTCTATTGTAGCTGTTTCTAGGGCAAAGAGGGGAAGGAAAATGCCTTCTAGGTAGGTCGCACACGGGTGAAGTACACCGAATTAGTGGCTATTCCGCTACTATTAATTGCTTCAACATATTCACAATCTGCTCAACTGATCCCTTGTGGCATCACAACTGCCAGCGCACGCGATCTCTGTCCCTCTCTGTTCTCGGCATAATATGGCTTGTGACAGAGGGGACCCGGAGAAAAAAGCCGACAAACGCCGTTGCCGAGTTGTCCAAGAGCTATGCGGACCGAGTAGCAGATTTTACCCCTCCTTTTGAATGTGGCCGTAAAAGTCTCTCTATTAATTACTGGTAGAATTAGAAGATAAAGAGATTTCATGTATGATAAGAAGACACGACTCCAAAAATCTCAGAATAACTTTTACCAAGTACATCATTTCAACAACACCAAGTGGAGAAGTACCTAGTGATCGCTGCTTTCACAATTCCAAGGTTCGTCACGAGCTACAGCCCCTCCATGGACAACCCCTCCCCCCATCAAAACTCACCCATCGCCTCAAAATGCTTCATCCCTTCAACCTCGCGCAACCATCCCACCCGATCCTTGGTAAACTGCTCGAATTCTGGTCGTAGCTTCGTCTCATGTAGAGAAAAATCATCCACTGTGCCGATACGCAGGATGCTCATTCCTGGAAATGCCTCGCCCACTCGGTACATAAGGGTACCGCAGGTATTACAAAAGTAGTTGGTCATTTTCTTGCCGGATTTAATTGTCTTTGCTTGGCCCCATGATTTGAGATTTTCTTGGCCGCGGAGATGTTTGAGGTACCTGGGAATTTCAGCTTTGGACCTGGATTTTGTATAGGGCCAGGGGAATCTTACTTGTCGACCACGGTGAAGTTAGATGCGAAGGCAGACGCAGTTATTTTCCTACAGTCTGTACAGTTACAGATAAAGCTATTGATCAAGCCGGGACCTTGAACTGGCTACAAATTGTGTAAGTCTGGGAAAAGGTAACCTCTAGGGTCTAGGAGAGTGGTAGAGAGTTACAAAGGACAATTGTACAGCACCACAGAAGCAGGTAGCTGTTGCTTCCTCTCCGTTGGACCAGCCATCTCCGCTTATATTGTTGTGCGGGATATATGGCTTCGACTTATCTGCGGCGGCGGCGGACATGATGAGGTTTTGATGGATCGAAAGACTTGGAAGTAAGGATATCAGTACGAAACTGTTGATGCAGAGAGAGAGAGTCCGATCTCAACGCAAAAGCCATGCTTTATATATTCGTAGATTGAATCTTGTAAGCCATTTGCAGCGAAATTGAGTGAATGCTGCATGCATTGTCATAGTTCCTGATTTCTCATTATCATCACGAGTATCGGTCTTTACGACGAAGTTCGACCTACTCACAGCATATCAATAACATAAAATCGAAGAATATCAGTGATAATTCATTTGGCAATTTCCACTTGAAGTATGATTTCCTGTTCAGGAAACCCCATCTTTTCGAAATGAGTGGTGAATGATTGGTTGAAGGTATAAGCAACATCATACTAGCTTACAAAAATGGATGATTTGTAAACAGTCCGAGCCGACTCCGGAGACCTCACTTTTCTTATGTCCAACCACAACCACAGCTCTAGGAAGATCAACCTTCTTCCTCGCAGACATAGAACTCGCACTCCCACAAACCGCACCATGGCGCCCTCCCTCGAGGCACCCGATAATGTTGAAGACGTCCTCTCCAACCCCCTAAAAGCCGCTCCTAAGCTCGTGGCCCCTGAGCCAGAACACTGTCCAGGCCCCGAATCCGAAGCAGCAGGCAAAGCCGACTCTTGCGCCGGCTGTCCCAACCAAGCAATATGCGCCTCTGCCCCCAAAGGACCGGATCCTGATATCCCAGTAATTACTGCGCGTTTGTCTGGCATCAAACACAAAGTCCTGATCTTGTCGGGCAAAGGCGGAGTGGGAAAGAGTACATTCACATCATTACTGGCACATGCTTTCGCGACGAATCCGGATAATACGGTGGGCATTATGGACACGGATATTTGCGGACCGAGTATACCGAAGATGATGGGGGTAGAGAGCGAGACCATACATATCAGTGGTGCGGGGTGGAGTCCCGTTTGGGTTCTGGAGAATTTGGGGGTTATGAGTGTGCAGTTTATGCTGCCGAATCGCGATGATGCTGTTATCTGGAGGGGACCGAAGAAGAACGGGTTGATAAAACAGTTTTTGAAGGATGTGGAATGGGGGGATATGGATTTTTTGCTGGTTGATACGCCGCCTGGGACGAGTGATGAACATCTCAGTGTCAACTCTTTCTTAAACGAGAGTGGAGTTGGTGGAGCTGTGGTTCTTACGACCCCGCAGGAAGTCGCCTTACTCGATGTACGAAAGGAAATCGACTTTTGTCGAAAGGCGGGAATCAAAATTCTGGGCATCGTGGAGAATATGTCGGGATTCGTTTGTCCCAAGTGTACACATGAAAGTCAAATCTTTCAGGCAACGACCGGAGGAGCGAGGGGGTTGGCAAAGGAGATGAATATTCCATTCCTTGGTGCTGTACCCCTTGACCCTCGAATTGGAATGGCCTCAGATTACGGAGAGAGTTTCTTCGATTCATGGCCTGATAGTCCAGCATGTACGGCATTGAAGGGTGTCGTGAGGAGAGTCGGGGAGGAAATGGGTCTCAAAGCCGAAGTCGTCTTACCAGAGGATTGAAAAGTTTCAGCTCAATGGAAATAGATTTGAGTTTCGGAGAACTCTTGCCCTCCAACATAACCTCTGAAGAGGCAGATTACCATGTCATAGTTGACATGAGCCAGACGATTCTGGTCCTCTGTTGACACAAATTTGCCTGGAGGTCATGAAAATTAATAAGGAGGGCTAGAGATTGTTTCATATCTCACGCCGAGAAAGAACCATCTCCACAAGAAAGGAATCGTCCAAAAGATATTATTAGAGTATTAACAGGCCTCATGTATCATACAAAGGAAGAAGGCAGAGGTAGATAATGACATGGCGTAGAAACAGATTTCTGCGGACAAATACATAGCATATATATCAACCATACAATCAATTACATCCGACTTTCAAGATGACTCTTCCTGCCATCAATTCATCAAACCCATGCAAGCTCTCTTTCTATACTCGCACGAGTACTCGAGTAGGTAGATAATTTCCAGACCAAAGATCATCACTCAAGCACGGACGATTTTCCCAATAGATCAGCTGCGATCTACTCTATGCTGCTCCCTAATCACTTCAATGTGAGCATCCTCTTCCTTGATTTCAAGATTGCCATGGAAAGAAAACTTATATTTCCCATGTGCGATGTGCAACAAGTATTAAGATTGTCTTGGATCTTCCTCTTAAATATCTTGAACTTGGAATTGACTTGGAACTACTGATGATTGACTTGGAACTACTGATGATGGGATTTCCTCCAAACCCCATCATGATCCGTCCTTTTGACGTCTTATCTTACTTGGAAAATTTGTATTTCCAAACTGCGATGTGCAACAAGTATCAAGATTGTCTTGGATCTTCCTCTTAAATATCCTGAACTTGGAACTGACTTCCAGCTGATGATGGGATTTCCCCAAAACCCCATCGATCCCTTGGACTCCCCTTTGACGTCTCATCTCGCATGCAAAGCTTGTATTTCCAAACTGCGATATGCAACAATCATCATAACTGTCTTAGATCATCTCTCATATCCTGAATTTAGAATCGATGATGGGATTCCCCCAAACCCCATCCTCATCCTTCCACCTTACGGTAACCTGCTGCTGCGAATAAAGTGATCATGACCGGGTTTAAAACTTGTATTTCCCACCTGCGAAATGCAACAAGAAACGCAGATATCTCATCTGAAGTGTAACTGTCTCGGATGTTGGGAGATCGCTGGCCTTTTGGTAATGATCTCTCTCTCTTGTTTGGGAAAGTGGGATGCCAGACATGGGATTGTTGGTTGTGCGGTCGGTCTTGGATCTTGATGTTGTTGTGCAAAACAGGTTTCTTACTGGATGGATGCAGGGGGTGCGGAGGGTTCCCAGGTGTGGGAGGTGTGATTGGTTGGTTGGGTTGGGATGTTTGGCTGCAGAGGGAAGGAGGAGGGAGGGGACCTTCTCGTATTGAAATTTGGGATTACGATGTGATTCTGTATTCAACAATTCTGCAGTGAAGGACCAGAGAGTTGCTTCATGGTGTCTGTGGATGGGTTGCTGCTAGCCAAGTTGAGGGCCATGCGCGCTCTCTGTCCGCTCTTTTTTGCAAGTTAGGTATATTTCCATGGACTTCATACCGTGTTGCCAATGGATGGTTAACTATTAATTTTATAGCAAAACCAGACCAAACCACTAAGGGAGAGGCTATAACCAAACCAAACCGTCATAAATAGTAGTTAACCAATAGTAAAGTAGTGAACCAATAGGATAACGGTAACCATTAGTTAACCGTGGTAATCGCAGTTAACCACCTGTTAATTAATAGTAACCACTATTAACTATGAGTTTTAAGAAGTTATAAATTAAAAAAGAAGCTATTTATATAAAAACTAAAGTGCTACTAGTATCGTTGTCTATCGAGTATTAAGACATATCTAGAAATATATTAATAGTAGTAGTTAGATAATATAGATAGTAGTAGTAAGATAATATAGATGGAATATTCCTCAGAATATCAGAATAGCATCAAGGGTATCACGTGTTAATGACTAAGCAAAAACCATTAAGGAACTGTTAAATAACAGTTTTACACATAAATCTATAACCAAACCACCATATACTAATGGTTTACCCAAAATTTAATAACCAAACCACTAATAAGCTATTGGTTATAGTAACCACCAGGTATTAACCATCCATTGGCAACACTGACTTCATATGTATTTATGGACTTCCTACATACACAGCTTATTCTCGAGATACGTTCTCTTTTGCTGTCGAATGTTTCGAAGTTGTTCGACTCACATGAAAAGAAGCCGACCTTGTCTGCTTGGAGAAGTAAAGTTATGACTATCTCTCGAGTCTCTCTGACCAGGATCCTTTAAGGTCTTCCCCTTGTTGTCTACCTTGGACTTTTAAGTAAGTAAAAGAAGAAAAATGCCCAGAAATTGGGCTTTACGTTGATGTCTTTTTGGTTGCAGCGAGAGATTTTTATGGCAATCTTTCTTCCAGCTGTTCAGTCTATTGGCTCTACTATCTTACCTTAAGACGGAGGATGAGATTAGGGGGTTCAGTCATTGACTGATTGTAACGGATCTCTGTCCAAGGAGATACTGTGAACGACGAAGTATACTTGATTTTCATTCAAGCTAGACTTCGTCGCGAGCATCTATCGGCTGGACTGAGTTTGGATTATGGTTATCCTTCTTCGAAACGTAGAAGTTGAGTTGCTTCAAGTTCCTTCACTCTTGCACTACTAAAAAGGTAAACGAGCTTTTTCTGTTTGGCTAATTGCGGGAATTAGATACACAGAAAACCAACCCACATCAAAGACCCTGGATGTCTTTTTGCCGCCGACGCTGCATTTCATTTATCAGCACATGTTTGGATGATACTAGAGCCGTCGGTGGATACTGTGGATGTGTTGAAACTGCGGAATCTCGAAACTTTACACGGATTCATTCATAACTTTGTTCCTAAGAAAAGCAACTAGTGTCGAAAACTTCTCTTCTGTCGATTTGATTTGTCTCCACTTAAATACCTCGTTTCATCTAAGCCTCATATAATTTTCAATGTCTCGTTCTGTTTCAGAGGAATTTCAAGGAGTTCAAAAATGGTTATTGGTTCAATTGTATTTGTTTAAGGCGCGCGAGTTCCTGTATGCGTCGGTAAGTTCGCTCTTGTTGTGTTGGATTCTGCTGATTCATAGGATATTTAGATGAGTAAAAACCTGCAGTAATTTAGTACTTTTCCTTACTTCCCCCAAACTTCTCTCTATGGAAGGATAATTGGCCGATTTGTATACAAGCACTAACTCGGATCATAACTTCGCGACAGCTGGCCTATGTATTATCAGGATTGGCGACAGGAAGCGGGGTCGTGAGATTTTTCTTCATTTTTCTAGGAAGGAACAGGGACCGTCAGATCAGTAACCCTGGGAAATTGAGAATAAGGTGGGATATTTACCTCCCAGAACATCGAGTACTGTAGTGTTCTTTTCTCACTAACTATTCATGCACAGTCCCTTGTTTCTAAATTAAAGTTATACTTGCTTTAGGAGGAGAATTGTATGTTAAGAGGTGGCAAGGATATGTATCTCTATTATTTCTGAGAGAGCGAGAGAGCTAGATTAATCATTTTGTTGAATCTGACAAAGACATGCTAGCGCATTTCTTATGGAGTTGTAGACAATTTTCGTACTGCCCATTACGTCAGTACAGTAAGAAAACATGCGTACCTAAAATTTAAAGAACATATAATCGTTTAAGGTACAACAAGTCAGATTTTTCTCTTTCTTCTAGTTGTTCCTCGAACTACCGGGTCTTGATGGTTCCTAAATGGGTGGGGTTCATCGCTAATTTCCAAACGGGTTAATTTGATTGGCCGGGTTTCCGAGATCGATAATATACTTTTTGTGACACAGACCACCATGGACGACGACTTCGTGAACCTTGATTCTATACCTGTACTCCATAATCCCATTATCCTCACGACAACGGACTTATAGTCATGGAAACGGAAGCGCAGTTTGGTTCCATCCAATCTGCATTCCTCGCATACTCCCAAATCCATATAGTCTACAAATTAGGGCATCTCATACTGCTCGTATGGTTGATCCGCAAGGCAATATCTAAACCCAATCAAGACAAGTTGTTTCCTGTCTGGGCCACAATCGAAATAGCCGTTGCCGGTTACGTCTTTGGCGGCGGTAATAATGGTAGCTTGGGTCAACGTTTATAGTGAGTGCAAAGCAACTTCCGTCATACAGAATGTACAATTGATTGACATCCATATGTAGTTCAACGATCAGGCGATACCGTGGTTCCCTGTACGGTGTTTCGCCCGCTCATCAGGTCCTGACCAATGTCTCAAACGTGGAACGGTTTATGGCGCAGGGTTCTCATACGCTGAATACTGAACCTATTCAGTATACTCTCTTTACACGTGTCTTTGGAGGCGAACCCGGCCCTGACTTGAAGAGAAAACTTGAACTCACCTGGAAAGATCTCCTTGCGCCTCTTGAACGGATGTTCCTCAATGAAGCCACCACCTCGGCAGCCCTGGAAAATGCGGGCATCAGTCAGAAAGCTACTTCATTTGTTACGTTCTCCCAAGACTCCAAGCACATGAAACGCTGGGAATTGTCCGCCGATATTCAAATCATCACACCGGACTCCCCGGGCAAACCAGGAATCGTGGAAGCCAACTTCCAGAGTCTTGTACGAGACTTTGGCGCTTGCATTGCAATTCCCCTTCTGTACGGAAAGGACTTTATGAACCGCTACCCTCAGCTACTCGACGACTTTTGGAAGTTTGACAATGACATGTTTCCACTCTTAATGATAGGCATTCCGCCTTGGGCTCCAATGAAAAAGATGAGAGAGGGGCGGATAGCCCGTGAGCGTCTCACGTGCGAAATTGAGGCCTTATATCGACGTATTGATCAGTATCAAAAAGGGCAACCAGTCGATTTTGATGCCGATATCTCAGATGTTGGTAGCGCTGCACTTGAAAGAAGCATGGCATACGACAAAGAAAACTGGTCCTTCCGGCAAAGGGGAGGAGGAGATTTGGCAGCTCTATGGGGTCAAAATGCCAATACTCAAGCAGTGCTTTTCTGGTTCTTGGCATATATTTATTCTACTCCTGGACTCGTCGATGAAGTTCGAAAAGAGATAGCGCCATATGTTATTCTTTCCGACAATTCCCAACAGGAAATAACTTCAATGGATCTTACAGCATTGTGCCGTCAATGTCAACTTATGAAATCTTGCCTCTTCGAAACATATCGTATGGTCAACGAAGCAACATCCATTCGCATGGTTGCACGCCCCATCACTCTTACGGACGGCGATCACGAGCACCAGCTTCAACCCGGAATGTTCGTGTCTGCACCTCACGTAATAACCCAAAGAGATCCATCCATATACCCAGACCCAGATCGGTTCATTCCCGATCGTTTTCTTGTAGTTGATGCGGAATCTGGTAAATCAGGTGCCAAGTACGGAAAACTCAAGCCCTGGGGCTCGGGAGCTGGCATGTGTAAGGGCCGTACTTTTGCGGAAAAGGAAATTTTATCTTTGGGTGCTTGTATCATCAGTCTTTGGGACATTAGTCCTGCCAGCGGAACGTGGAAGTTACCTAGTATGATGCCAGGTACTGGGGTGAGGAGGCCTGTCGAGGATATTCGAGTTAGGATTACGCGAAGACCCAACTAGTGCTGATTGATTGTACAATTACTTGTTCTTGACTATATTTATGCAAGCTGATTATTAGTAATTAATATATTTGAAAATCCTTGGTGGTCTTTATATCCACTACACTATACCATATCGTATTCAAAGCTTCTCGACCAACCAAGGCCCTGCTTCCCAAGTCATCAGTAGCACCAACACAGTCAACTACTTAACTAAAGCACCAACCCCCTCACCTCTCGTAAATCACCCTCCGCCTTCATCACAGCTGGTGCTAAAGCATTGCTGTCAATCTCCATTTTGTCTTTCCAAAACGTTCTGAAAAACGTATCTTTAACTTGCCGCTTCCTTATAGCTGGTGCCTTACGGCTGGTGCTTACGGAGGTAGAACCACACTTATTTCCTGTGTGGAGATTTCATCTGAACAATTTATTTTCGAGGCTTTTCTTGCTGTCGATTCAGGTGATACGTTCGGATGAAGCTTTTTACAACATGTCATGGCCATCAAAACTATTCATCGCTTCTGGTATGGCATTTTTTGGATGTTTGGATGTGTGTACAGAGCACAGTTTCTTTTCTTCTAATTTTCACATGCTAGAATAATATCGTTGTTATCTTTTTATCATACTCGTCCAAATCGATAGTGACTCCCTTTTCGATTCATTAAATATGTCTTTCTCTGGGTCTTTCTCTGATGCGGCGTCCCTTTATGCAACTTCAAATTCTTGCTTCCAAAAAACAATTCCCATTCCTGGCCTACATCCTCAACACTAAGGGAAATCCATAGAGTGTCTCAGTTGTGGTTTAACTTAGTGAACACAAATGTACCTTAACAGATCCATTCTTAAGAACTGGATAGCCGTCACAGCAGGAGTAGAGCTCTCTGCTCCCCTGACTACCACATGCCAGCTCTCGATTCTTCAATAGCCTTCTGGTCAACCACGAGTCTCTATTAAAAGACCTTCCAGCCGACCAGAAGCTATTTATAAGATTTACCACTACCCTTAGCTAGCCTCCCCATCCATTCGCAACCTATTCAATCTATCTTGTCCCTCATATTCTATCAACCTTTGAGACAGCAATGGACACGACCTCTATCATAACCATCACATGGGTAAGTATACCCACCTTCATATGGATCCTCATCCCAAAGCTCAGTACATTTTCTGGGTACATGGAGCACTGCGTCTGGAGGTCCGCTAGTGCAGCAGAATACCCATTGGTCGCAAGTAGTGCGTGGTGGGAGACTCTGCCCTTTATCCATGCAACTCTTCATTTCGTAGTTTACTCCTGCAGCATAGGCGGTTGCAATAAGGATGGCGATTGAGAGCTTCATGGTGATGGTTTGTTTGTGTCGAGAAGTTAGCGCCAAGTTTGATGGTGTGTAAGAGTGGTGGGTGTAAGTGATCAAAGATGATTGATTCTCCAATGGCTAGACGCGCTCTCTGTCCGCTCTTTCTTGCAAGTTAGGATTTATCTATAGATATCGTATGTATTATTGACTTCCTACATACCTATATAGCTTCTTTTTGAAATACGTTCTCTTTTACTGTCGAACTCTCTTCTTCTGTCGAATCTTTCGAAGTTGTTTAACTCACATAAAGACAAGCCGATCTTTCGAAGTTGTGTATTCGAAGATGCAGAGTGTAGCGAAGCTTCGCAGAGCTTGTCTGTCATTTCTCTCGCTAATTGAATAGCCTTAGTAGTGTCTATAAGCTCAGCTAACTGGGCGGCATTGCTGGCCTTCAAGGCGTTGAGCTCGTTATTCTCATCTAAGTCCATTGTTAAGTAATCGGTCAACAGATGAGGTCACAATAGACTATAGAAACTCACCACCTAGTTTTCCTTGTGCTATAAGTTCTACCTGACCCCTAGCTTCCATTAGCAATACCTTTTCTTTGGATCTTCCACAAACTTGGTCAAAGAGTGCCTAATGACACGCAAGCATTGCAAGCGCGCGAGTAAAGCTCCATACTGACTACGAGGTTATTGGAGATTGATGGGTCCAGAGTGCGTTTGTGTGTTTCTGCTGTTCTCGCGCGCTTGCAATGCTTGCGTAGCAGAAGATATATAAACGCTTTTTCGAAGCCACATACCGCGAGAACATCATATACACCTATACTCACGATGTTCCGTCTCCAATAAGTGTTCCAACGTCGCATTTGGAGACATGCTTCCTCTGCGCTCAAGCGATAAACAGAGTTAACGTTTTATTCAGGAGAGTTGAAACAATAAGACATTACTATTCCCCCCTCCCCCCCTTTAAGTTAAGTAAAAGGTTGTTTCATTCAGAGTGGATAGATCTTGTAGGCCCTAGCAAAGCATATTTTAGCCAACCAAAATTAAGATAACAATAGTATACTATTAGTAAACCTGTTAGCTCACCAAAAAAACTCGAGTGCGGACAGTTTTATTGGTGAAAAATAGAATTTACAATGCCTCCCACAGGGGGAGCGGGTATATCGACCTCCCGGTAGACAAGAAAAGTGGCAGAGATCTCTTTTATCTTATCCTAACCTAACTAAAATCTATTATATTATATTATTTATTTTGAATAATTAAAGTGATTTATCGAAAACGATAGTACAATAAATGTAATTATTCCATATAATTCAAACATTTTAGTACTTGGAATTAACTTACGCTAATAGTTAAAAAATAAATCTCTGCTACTTTTCTTGTCCACCGGGAGATCGACTCACCGGAGTGCGGTAAATCGACTCCCACCCCCCTCGCCTAATTAGTGGTCCGTGCTTTAGATACGTTATTTACAATAACTCTACCTTTCTCTTAACACCACACTTTTAAAAGTACAGTGATTGTGACAGACGTGCTTCAGGTAGAACTCAGAACAATTAACACTCTATTCTTAGGACAAAAGACGAGGAAAGAAGGAGAGCTCGAGAGAGCTGGGAACTAAATACAGGTCGTGCGCGCTAGCGCCTCGCTAAGCGAGCATGTGACATCCAGCCCTCGTGACCATAACCGTCACAGTGATCCCGTGTTATTAATTAACGTATCTATTTTGTAGTATTTAAGGAGTATTGTAAAAAAAGTTTAAGTTAATAAGTGTATTTTTAGGTAAGTAATTAAGTCTTATAGAAAGTTCGTTTATAATAAGGTTATTAATTTAGATCTAATTTATATAATTACGATTAATTAGTAAATTAGGCGTTTAGAGGAAAATAAATCAAGTTTAATTTTTCTACGTTATATAATTATATAAGCGGTACCTATATCTCAATAATCCGGCGGCTCCCTATAGTATTATCTCTATATACTCCTATAATACCTAAGATTAGTTACGCTCTTATCTAGATAGAAGAGAAAGATCTAATAATAATATACACCAATCTAACTAGACTCGCTTAATAATAAGGTAGACTAGTTATACTAGTAGTTCGATAAATTAAGTACTTATTTATATATATCTTTAGTAGTCTTTCTAGTAAAAATAGTTTATTTTTACTTCTTTTATATATCCTACTCTTATATACTAAGAACTAAATTTAGAGGTAGAATCTTAAATTAGGCTAATTTATAGGGGTTTTAATTATTTATAAGTTATATTAAGAAAAAAATAGGATACTATAAGAATAAGCTATATAAAAAGTATATAACTAAAAAGAAACTAGCTAAGAGGGAAAGGAGTACTCTAATATAGGAGCTCTCTTGTACTATAGGTCTTTCCTAAATAAGACTAGCGTCTTCCTAATAAGGCTAGCGTAGCTTATATAGATCCGTGTAGAAAGTATAAGGAGAGTCTCGCTAAAGTAAGAGTTATATACTAAATAATAAATGGGTAAAACTCTAGTACTCTAGTACGTTCTATAATAAGTTATCTAAATTTAGATTTAATAACCCTAGTTTGTAGTATTACGATATTTATTTATTAGCCCTATCTATAGGTATTAGAAATAATAAAAAATTAGAAATAAAATTAATTAAATTAAGTTGTATAACTTATTATATAAAAGATCTCTTATTAAAAGTTATAAGAGCCTAGGATACTTATTTACTCTTATGGAGCCTTGAGCTATACCGCCTATTAGAGGATACGTGTAAAGGTTCGATTTAAAGGTTCGATTTCGAGTTTTATAGTAAATTAGGTTTAACTATACGTAATAAACCCTGCTTAAGTAAATAGGGGGTATTCTATAGTTGCTTAAGTCGTTCTACCGCGGGATGTAACGAATACTCAAACTGGCTAACTAAACTTGGCTGGGTGTTCGCTGGTTGGTATGCTATGATAAGAAGAAGACTATCGGGTTGTTCACTTGGAAGTGAACTCGTTACTTGTATCAAAGATGTCAAAATGATAAGATTGATAACTAAGTTGAGCACGAAGCTCCTATCTAAAGGCAGAAGTGCCAGTCTTATATAGAACCTTCGTTCTACTGGATCCCTTCTGGATCCATCGGGGTCCATCACGTGACAACAACCAAATGAAATCCATGGATCGCTTAGCTGGCCTAAGCAATCCCTATTTGCTATAAGAAACCTGGATGTGCCTGTCGAGGGTTGCGCCTCTTTATTATGACAAGTATCACGTGAGCATGTGATTCGTGACACGGGAGTTCTCTCCTTCTCTCCTTCTCTCCTTTCGGATAATCTAATTAATATTTTACCCTAATATACCTGATAATACGGTATAAAACTAGTGGGAATAGGTTTATAGTTAAGTTACGTGGCGTGCGTATAGGTTTTATTACCTAGTACTAGCTTTGAAGAATAAAATCACCGCCCGAATAGGGACAGTATTTAACACTAAAGTGGTAGGGCGATGAATTTTCACGATTAGGCGAGGGGGGGGGAGTCGATTTACCGTACTCCGGGGAGTCGATTTACCTGCTCCCTCCACCAGGAACTATATATAACGTGCAAGATACCCACTTTGCACAAATAACCTTTTACTTACGGAGGGGAGTACTGTATACAGTAAATTTTATTGTCCGTTTTCAGCACGTGAAGAGATGACCGTTATTGTGAGAGCGGGAAATGCCAGAAAGTCAAATGATCTATAGTTCTGTGGACGAAGCGGGTATTTCTGACATGAACTCGAACTTCACAGTTTGCGAAGAAAGCTTGGAATCTAGAGACTTGAGATGCCACTAGGGCTGTAAACCGGTATCTCATCACTTTGATCGGTGGATAATGTACCATGGTCATCAGCTCGGGCAGAGCGTGACAAGGAGAAATGAATCTTATCCTACGATGCGGTGCTGGAAAGAACCGGATAAAGATCATCTCTGGTGATCGACGCCAAGTTATCCCGTCTGTTTAAAGTTGACTTTCTCTCCACAGCCCCAAAGAATAAGCAATACCGCAAGCCACGGATTCAAATCGAAACAAATCGACTCTTGGGAGCGGCAAGCAAATAAAAAGAAGGCACGTGATTCGAGTACTGTAAGGCATGGAAAATCTTTGAGCCACATAGAGTATAAATCTAATTCATTGACATACGGCTCCTTCGCAAAAGTAGCAAGATGTTTCGCGACCCTAGAAACTGTGGGAAGAAGTAATTCACATACAAAATACCTTGCAAAATACCCTGCAACACACTAGTAAGATACCCTAGATTCTTGCTACTTTTGCGAAGGGCTGTAGGTATACGAGGGTTACCAAGTACTTTGCCCGTAGGTCTTCCACTCGTCTGGTGTTGACGAGATATTTCTGCTCGATCATCGCTGGGGATGTGGCTTTTTATGGGGATCTGCTGATGCTCATCGATGGTGACTAAGGAAGGGCCTAGAAAGCTGAATGTAGAACAGGTAGAGGAGGAATGGTATATTTGACGTTGGTTTGGCGGGCGGGAGGAAATTCGTGGCATGAACCAGTAACCACGGGTCTACGAGATCCCATAGATGCCTTTTTACTTGACTGTAACAATCAATAAGCGATATATGGCGGAGGCTCTGGTTAGTACTCGTACCGCCTAACATGTATGTCCGAATCTCGTGATACGGCAAGAGGATTTTTGATGTCCATGAAAAAGGTCCAGAACAAGAAGTCGTGGTGCAGATCTGATACGAAGCTCGTTCTCACGCCAAGGCCAGATCATGGTCCATCGCTGGGACCCAGCCATTCGTGGACACGAAGCCTGAAACGGGGCAAAACGGGAAGGCCCGTTTCAAACTCGGTCGACATGGAGGATTGATCGACCGATACTTACCAATTGAACAGAAAGACCCGCAAGAAAAGCAGGAAGCTTGAATAAACAAGAAAATTGGCATCGACCCGGCTTTTGGGGAGAGTCGTGAGGAGAAAAGCAGCAAAAGCTCAAGCCAGGGAGCTCGAACCGTCAAGCGCCGATCATGCCAAACCGACATTGTGACAGGTGGAAACCGGCAGTTCGTGGGGGATGTTTCTTCAGAGGGAAAATGCCGCTTCTCCCAGGTGAGAGCTGACATAAAAGCTCCCCGGTTCCTGTGTGTTTTGGTTGATTGTTTTATACTGTACGAGGACACTGTAGCAGTGCACGCTTGAGATGCGCCAGGAGAGCCTCGCTAAAAATCAGCACTAGTCTGGTAACTCTCCCGGCTGTGGCGTTTTACTTTCTTGGCGCTTCAAGGGGAGGCGAGTTTCAAAAATTCCCGATGCGGGTGCGCTCGAAACTGTGGAGGCGACCCGAAGAAACAAGAAACTTGACGATTCTCGGTTGAGGAGAGGAGCTGGTCTGGTGTGGAGCTTTGCGAGTGGATGATGATGATGAGATCTACGTTCTTGGCTTCGTTAATCGTGGGGTCAATCTCTTGGAAGCTTGGCTATTATCATATAATTTTGATGGGAAAGTGGTTCTTTTCCGTTAGTTTTGTGTATCCTTGGACTCAGATACTTAAACCAAGAGTTCGGGACTTGAGATTGGCCACAAAGATGCTGTGAAAGCCCGCAAATTCATTATTTTTGAGGTCAGTGGAACCTCAACCGCGATCTAAACTTCGGCAGACACGACACTGAAACTGTTGTGCAATTGAATATTTTGAAGAAAATATAACACTATATCAATAACGTATTGGCGTTCTGGTTGGTGGAAGATACTATGAACTGATCGAATTTGTTATCGTGTAGAAATGTAGAGAAGAAGCTGCATTTGACTAACCAAAGAGAAAATTGACAGCGCACTAAAAGCAGCCGCAAACCAGGATGGAGTTGAGTATATCTGAGGCTAACATAAAGCTTAAGAAGAGGTGAACCTCTATAACACTCTACCTTTGCCAGTTCTTGCTACTCAGACACTTCGCTTGGAGCGAAGCGACTCGTTCAAACTTACTGTTCCTAAAATCCTTCCCAATACAGCATGATCTTTCTTCAACACCATACTCTCATTTTATATTGCATATAGCACATTCTGGTTTTGTGAAGCCGATTGAATACAATCCTGAGCCGTCATCACGGAGTGCTGTTCAAACAAGCGCTGCCCAGCATCCTTGACCCACGTCAGCTGCATCCCACTCCCGCAACCGGTTCCAAGGGATGCCACCAGCCGAGCCCCTGATATCTGCTCGCCCCCCCTTCGAGTGGAGAGGCTCGCCTCTGTTTCTTGGCCCTGATCAACAAGCTTAATTCTCCGGAGGATATCCTCGTCCACTGCCTCATATCACTTCCATTACTACCCTGTTTCGTCAGCATCTGCGACACCAAACACACTCAACCGCAAATCATAAAATATCGGACCCTGGCATAACCCTCCAATACAATGCCTCCAAATGCTCACAGACAGCAAGACGCCTTCGGAAATCTGGCACGAGCTGCTCACTTGAGTCGCTCTCCACTTTGATGCTGCGCTCAACGTCTGGGTACCATGTTTGATCCTGGCAGTCCGAAGGGGCGTGTGGCCTTCATGCGTAAACTGCTTCCACTACTTCTCCTCTCAATTCCCGTTCTTTTTCATATTCTCCTTTATTTTGCCTCTTTTTAAATTAAGTTGTATTGGGCGGGTTTCCATCATCTTTTTAAATTCTTCTTTCCCACTGCCCTTTTTTGTTTCCGCCGCGCATTTTCTTTCAACAGAGACTCTACCACTCATTATTTTATCATAATATACCACCTGGTGTGGCTCTTTTCTAGCGGATCGTTCTTTTTCAAAAATACCCGGCAATCATGCATGCCTTAATCCAAAGTCTCCTCCTCCTCCTGTTAGCCTCACTATCTCTGGCTGCCCCTCCTCAACCTTCACGCGTACAAAAGCGAGGAGTTTTCAAAGTCGAGAGAGTACCAAACCCCAACTATGTTCGAAGCCCCGGTGCTGGGACAAGAGCCTTGATCAAGGCACACATGAAATACAAGGTTCCTCTTCCCGAAGGATTGGTGGCAGCAATGGCGGCTGCAGGTGGACCAGAGGCACCGCCAATGCCAATTAGAGTAAGGCAAGGTGTTGCAGCACCAACTGGAACTGCAACACCAGGTGCCGGTGGAAAAACTGGCAAGGTCGTAGCTGTTCCTGAGAAAGGGGACGTCGAGTATTTGTCACCAGTAGAAATCGGTGGTCAGACTGTGATGTTGGATTTTGACAGTGGATCCTCGGATCTTTGGGTTTTCAACAACCAGCTTCCTGCGGCACAACAGGCTGGTCACAAAGTTTTCGATATAACGAAATCAACCACATTCAAGATGATACCCGGTGCCACTTACAAAATTTCCTACGGAGATGGATCAGGAACTTCCGGAAACGTCGGTACCGATGTTGTCAATATCGGAGGAGCAGTTGTTCAAGAGCAAGCAGTCGAACTAGCCACGGCCGTATCCCAGTCGTTCACTCAAGATAATGCCTCTAATGGACTTCTCGGTCTTGCTTTCACTAAACTCAACACCGTCAAGCCAACCCAGGTAAAGACATGGTTTGATAACGTCATGCCCCAGCTCGCCATGCCAGTCTTCACTGCCGACCTTCGAAAGAACGCAGTGGGTGCTTATGAGTTCGGAGCCATTGACTCTACTAAATTCAACGGCACTATGCAATGGGCTCCCGTCAACACCACCAACGGCTTCTGGCAGTTCTCCACTTCCTCCTTCCAAGTTGGAACTGGGGCCCCAATACAATCTCCCGGTGCCCAGGCCATTGCTGATACCGGAACCACTCTCATGCTCACCTCCGCTGCCGTTGTCAACGCCTATTACAGCCAGGTCCAGGGCGCAGTCAACGACCAAAGGGTCGGTGGTGTTACATTCCCTTGCAATACTGTCCTCCCAGACATGAAATTCGACGTTGGTGGAGCCTACATGGCAACAGTTCGAGGTTCCGATATTAACTTTGCCCAAGTTGACAACACTGGAAAAAGTAAGTTTCCTCTCATCCGTTCAGTTGGCAAACAAGCTAACTTACATCTTTAGCCTGCTTCGGTGGTATCCAAGCAATCAACTCCAACCTCCAAATCTACGGAGATATCCTGTTCAAGTCCCAATTCGTTGCTTTCAACGGTGGTAACAACTCCCTCGGAATGGCACCCCACCAGTAGATTCCGCAGTCTTGTTATTTACTCAAAATAATACCACGTCTTCCCATGTATATAGTTACCTACCCTCATGATCACAGAATACGGTGGAGGCATGCTCGCAAGGGTGAGAATATTTAGCTTTCCTGGAAATTCAAGCCTTGCAGTTGTCATTTAGTGGCTTTTCATTCGTACAAACGCGTTTTTCTTCTCTCAATTTCTTTTGTGGCAACATACAACCTTAGATAGGCTTGATATTTTAGTGAAGCTGGTGGAGAGGAAATTATATATATTCATCGTAAAATATTAGGTCGAGGAGTTGGTGTTAATAAACTGATTCAAAATCAAAATCAGTGCCATTCGTTTTAATCACGTCTTGGATATGATATTCAGATCAATCTCTCTTTCTCACTTCACTGTTTTATGTATCGTTTGGTCTTGCTCAAGTGCCCGCATAGAAGATTTTGATCGTATGAGGACACACCTCACTGAGGGGGTTCTCTCTTTTAAGACACATGTGAACCCATCATCCAAAATTTGAGTTACCCGTTTACTCGGCAGGTGAACAGAATGCGCATATTCACGCCTTTATTTCGATTGTGCACGTGACCATGCAGCTCTTCCGATGGGCAATCCAACATTTTCAATTGCACACAAGGAGGTATATAGCAGCCACTGCAATACTGTCATGTGGTACTTTTCTTATTCAAAGTATAGAAAGTCTTCTGCTGTTGAAGACAGATTCTCTGTCGAAAGCCTCCCCCCATCATCACGTTCAAACACGAAGAAGATATCCTGCAATACGAAAGAGCTCCCCATACAAAAGAGAAAAGGAAAAGAAGAGCTTAGAAAACAATTAGGCATATAAACAGACTGGTCATGTTCTTTCATCTACGGTATATCCTACAAATTCCCCCAATTCGTCGCAAATGAGTATTAACTATAACTGATCAGAACCAAACTGACACACAAAGTTCCAAGCATTGACTCCACACTACATTTCCCAATTTACCAATCCGAACCTGAACATGGCTTCATAGCCGGGAGCATAGCCCATACATTCCTCCATAAGCCATATCCATCATCCTTCCGTTCCCTCAGTTCATTTCCCTGCCATTCCACACACAAAACGCCAACCCTACTTTCGAAACCCAAGAATCTTGAATTGCCTCTTCTCGACAGAGGTCATTAAAATGCGCCTCGAAATCCCAACATCAGTCTGGGAGATCTCAAGCCTTAATAGAACTTCCAAAACTACTAACACTATCCTTCCAGCCTCCCAAACGACCCACGATACGCTCTCCCACGCCACCCATCCACTTAGGAACCTTCATTCTCATTCTGACTCTGCCCTCGACAACGGCCTCAATCGCGTTGATGATACCAAAGGTTCCAGATCCTAAAGCACGGAAGAGTGCCAGGACCGCGACACTCCAGAGGATAAAACTCAGATAAATATTGTCTCCAACATCCGTGCCAGAATAAGCCTGAGTTACACTCATCGCAAGAAGAGCATTCGCAATCATCCAACATAACACCATGTATGTACGCACACTACGATAGTAATCTTCTTGTTGTTGACCCTCGCTCACACCTTGGACGGGGACTTCAATACGATCCCGAAGATTGCGAAGAGCTTCATCGTAGCCGGAATCGATATCGAGTTGTTCACTTGGCATTTCAAGCTCAACGGTGCCTCCTTTGCCGTGACCATTGGCGGAACCAAGATCAGTCTGGATAATGTTGTCTCCTTTGGTACCCCAAGATATATCGTGTGTGTTGCAGAACGCATATACTTGGAGGGTACAGATGTAGGATGGGAGCAGCAAAAAGTATTGTATAGAGGAAGTAATCATGTGCCATGGGTCAAGATACAGGAATGACATGAGAAAGTACAGTCCGATTGTCGAAGCTGTTGATACTATCAGGTTGGTGAAGACGTTCCTTCCAATACGAATATCTGCATCTGTTTTCAGCAGCTGGCGAATGACAATGTAGAAGGCAGCAAATGTATTGTATGCCATAATGATTGAGTATAGAACCATAGACGTGAAGTATAAACGCTTCGCACCCTGGGGTCTGTTACCCATGGAGAGAATAAATTGTGTGCAGATGAGCAAGACGCAGGTATATCGAAGAATCGTGAAAAATACCAAGCCAATTCGGTGTCCAAAGGGATCGATGGCCGGATCCGAGAGGGAACCAGCGACGAAATAGAAGGTGAGATAAAAGTTTGCCAGGGAGAAGTACGTGAATAGAAGACTAATGAACTGATAAACAAATTCAATGTGAAGCAGAATCTTTCTACCAACAGTGTGGTCAGTCTTCCATACTTGCCGGAAATGAACAAGAGAGTAGACAGCTGCGAAGAAAGCACCGTTCAACCATCTCCTTCGCTGGGAAATGAATTCGGGGACGGTATCTAAATGACCAGTTAGTCGCTGTTTTGGGTGTTGGTGTGTTGGTGTGTTTGACTTACCAGGAACATCCGTTTCTCCAGTACAACTTTTCACGTATTTCAGGACCCATTTCTCATCTCTTTTGGCAACCAATTCCCAGCACAAAATACGATCTTCGGCCAAGTACATGTTGGCAGTAAAAACATCCGCATTTTGACCATGCAAAGTTTCTCCTTTGAAATACTGACTTAGCGGACCATGACCCGTGGCATCGTTTTGTAAGGCATGGTAACGATACGCACTCAGCGCACCTGGAAGCACCGTAATATAACCAAATACACTTTCCAGTGGTTTGTCCAGAATATTTGACATTTTGTACTCGAAATTTTGTGATGCAACGAGAGGATTGAAAAGATGCGTGCCCCATCTCCCTTTCATGGCTTTGATTTCACCGCAAGCACCGGCAACATTTGAATCTGTATCGAAGGCTTTCCATAGATGATATAAAGAATTTCCTCCAGGCTTGGTACCAACGTCTAGAAGGATGCAAATATTCGGTATGAGTGCTCTACCAAAGGCGTTGAAGAACCATCTGTGCGAGTTCAGCTTCTTAGCGTTCTTCTCTTTCAGACAAAAGATCATTTGCACAGGAACAATTCCTTTCTCCGCCCCCTTGAACTTCAGATCTGAGTCCAGGGAAACTTGTGTTGTGTACTCGTAAACGTGGGCTTGGACCTCCTTCCCGTTTACCAAGTTTTTGGCGATTCCATCTTGATAGACACCCATGGCAGCAAGTGCATCAAGTGTTCGTGGATGAACTTTTTGTCGACCATCAGAAACGATGCAAACCACAATCTTTTGCCACCCGTTTTCACCCCAAGTCCTTGACTTTGAACGACCACAGAAATGAGATATGTTCTTCATCACGGCGTGCATAGTTCTCGTGAAATCAATTTCGTTCTCGTTATACATAGTAATGCAGATGAATAATTCGGTCTCTCGTGCCGTGGACCCGATATTCTGTCTCAATTTGTATCCTTTATCTACGAAATCGTCCGGATCGCAAGTGACGGCGGTGTATCGCATATGTGTAAACTCTATTTCGTCCCTTCGAGGAAGAAAACTGTATAGGATCGTTGGAATCTTACATTCCAGAATGAGCTCTCCGTTGATCAGGCGAACTTCCTTTTTGGCCATCTGTGCTTGTCGTGCTCCTCTACGCTCCTGCTTCCCATCGGGGGCTGGTCCATAATGTTCATAATAATAATCATCCTGCGCACTCGTCTGGTCCGCCAAGGTTTCATGCGACATATATGATTGTCTTGTGTCTGCTCCATGTCTCGATTTGAGAGGGCTGGAAGGTCCAAATACATCATCTCCATCAGCAACGTCGCTTTCCAGAGGAATTGAAATTGTCGCATCGTCCGCAAAGGTCGAGGCTCTCGAGGGCGCGCCTGGCCCAGCAAAGAGTGGCGCAGGAGGTAAAGGTCGTCTCGGGCTTCCTCCGTAACGAGAAGAGGGTGTACCAGGTCTTGGACTTCCGTCAATATCTGGGGGCTCGTACTGCAGATTTACGGGTGGTGGTCGCGTGAACTCGTTTGACGCTCTAGATGGGCTCCATGATCGAGTGGGCGACCTCCTTCCGTTTGAAGAATATGGTCTATATGATGCTTCGCTAGGGGCCAGAGGGGGTGCTGAGTCGATAATGGAGTTGGATCGCGAGGGGGAACTAGATACTGAAGGTTGGTAGGATCTGTGGGATCTATAGGCACTAGAATTGTGTAAGCTAGATTCGTTTCTCAACTGATTTTCCAATTTGCTCAGAGGAGATTTGACTGGGCTTCTCAGCGATTTTCTGCGGGACGGCCCAGGCGGAATGTAAGGGAGTTCAATTGTCGGTGGTTGCATCTGCATCTGCAGCTTGCCGGCTGGGCGAGCTTTTTCTTGTGACTTGAGAGAATTGAGAGAATTGAGGGGTGAAGCAGTTGAGACCGGAAACTTTTTGGGCCCCAAAGGCTTCTTTGCATACGTTGCGAGCGGCTTTGGTACATACGGTCGACTATAAGATTCGTCATCCGAGGTCAACAGTCGGATTTGCGACCCATCTGAAGCTTGACCAGCATCGTTCGCATCGCCATAAGATGGCGGTTCGTACATTGGTGGCCTCGAGAAATTGGTCATTCTGATGGTTTAGCTGTCTTCTGTTGTTTTGCGCCAGAAGATGCGCTATTGCATTGGGTGTTGTTGTTTTCCAGGTTGTCCTCCTGCGTATCCAATCCGAGGATGAAGCGATGTAGAAGCGATTGTCGCGCGTATGGGAAAGATACAATTTCTCAAGAAAGCGAGAGTACTGATTTTGGGTGTGATTGCAAATTCAATTGTCAATATTATCCTGGTAGTGATCGTGGTTTGGAAAATTGCGAAGAAATCGAGTACAGGTACAGGTACATGTACGGGTACAAAGGTACACATGCATAAACAATGAGGCGCAAACACCTCGCAAGGTTGATGGCAGCACCGGAACTGTCAGATTTTGGTGTCTCCATCACCTATGGCAACCACCACACCAACCTCTCTGCCCTTGCACTGCCTCAGGCTTGAATGCTGGATCGCCGAGGCACTTTCCCATTGCCAATTCTTGGATATCAACTCAAGCAGCAATCTTACCATTATTTAGGCGTCTTCTGAACTTCTTCAAATACACATACTTTATATGTTCAACGTTCCTCCTCTTGACCGACTTTCTCCTGCGGCTTTTTTTGCCTTTGCTGCGCTGGCAACAAATCTTCAGCATTGATTGCCTGTGGGCTGGTGCACTGTGGGCTGCCCCTCAATTCGCCCGCGTGGCATGGCACCGGCTTGTCGATCATGATCAACTCAAACCTCAAAGTGTTTACTATTTACCTTTTGGATTTTCAACATTCACTCGAAGTGTTGTTTATTTTCCTCGTAAGGTCTAGGTCTACAAGGCATAATGGCGCCATGATATTTTCGAGTGGTTAACCCTGTCAAGTCTTCCTTTGATGCCAGAGCATCCACTTGTCCTTCATTTCAATCCACGAAAATCCGAACGACGTGGTATTATACAATTGATCCAGTCATTTTTGCTAGCTTTATCGGCTGTATGGAAAGGGTGAACTCTGCCACCATATTTTCTATTCAAAGCATTTGACTCCACTGAAGCACATTTCCCCCAAAATAAGAAAGAGGTATAAATCGGCAATGAATATCCCCTCAGCTGCGGCCAGAATCACACTGGACCGTGCACAATTAAGCGATCCAATCAGACCCGATTGTTTTATGAGTTTTGGGTGCAAAATCTATATTTTACATAAAAGCTATAGACACAAAGCTAATTTTACATTACTAGAAATAGTAATAGGCGTAGGTATAGGTGGATAAAGGCTGGACAACTACTCCTTAGTTATTGTAAGGAAAAGCGCCTAATACGAACCTTTTGAATACTAATATTCGTGTCACAAATCACGTGCTAGCACGTGAGGAGTTAGTCCAGACGGGGTTCTGACAGGACAAACACATCATGGCTCTTATAGCAAAAAGGGATCGCTTAGGTTAGTTAAGCGATCCAGGAATTTCTTTGTATACAAGTCACGTGATATATGCAGGTCGACTTCTCGCCTGGTCGAGAAGTCGATTATCGACTATGTCGACAGTCGACATTGTCGACTTCAGGAACACGAAGGTTCTATATAAGACTGGCACGTCTGCCATTAGATAGGAGCTTCGTGCTCAACTTAGTTATCAATCTTATCATATTAGTTTGACATCTTTGATACAAGTAACGAGTTCACTTCCAAGTGAACAACCCGATAGTCTTCTTCTTATCATAGCATACCAACCAGCGAACACCCAGCCAAGTTTAGTTAGCCAGTTTGAGTATTCGTTACAATTCGGTAGGTTAACTTAGTATAATCGTATTAGTATTTTCATAGGCTCAAAGCGTATTTCGGGCTATTTAGAGGATAGGGTATCTAGACACTAAGTCTCTTGATATTTTATATCTAGTTACGTGTCTTTAGACATTATAATAGTAGAATTATATAAACTTAAAGATACTAGAAAAGTTGGTGTTCCTCCCCCTCGCACGGGCCACCTAGTGTGATTCTGGCCGCAGCTGAGGGGATAGGACAAGCCCATGCTCCCGGTGGTGTGGTGCGCACGGAGTTTACTGCCACTTATCTTGTCTACCGGGAGCCCATGGTTTCTGAAATTGGCAGAAAGGACGAGTACAATATTTCCGGTTGTCCTGCTAGACTCTGAGGTTTAGATTCGGGTGGCTCAACGGATACACAATCATAGTTTCCAAACTACTGGCAAACTATCGATCAGGATCTCGCGTGAGGAAGCTTACTACAACTTCCATACAATAGGTCGGCGTATTTGCCACGGATCCATCGAGTATGAGAACGACAAGACTGTGTTGCGAAATCCGGTTTTCGAATAACAAAGGGCCACCACTGGAGGCAGAGAGCAACTCATTGAACTTAATAAGAGCTGGAAAACGGCTGCTTGAAAATGTACCGTGGAATGGCATATCATGACCTAGGCGCAATAAAGAAGCTCTGTCAATAATTAGCAAAGATCTCTCAACCTGGAACATCAACCACTCCTCAGATTGGGACGCATCTAGCTTTCATCTGATGCTGCGCCAGCTTTTTCGGATTACGGGTCGAGCAGCGACTATATTTCGTTCGGCTGATTTAGCAAATACTCCAGCTCATTCAGACAGCACGCTTGGTTCTTTTGCAGTCGCTGACCAATATATCGTCTGACATAAGTGTCTCCTTGACTCTCGTCCCCAAATACATCAGATCAATTCCTCTCCCGCATGAGTTCTCATGACGCGGGGTTTCCTGACTGTGGGAGACTACAGCTGGGAATTTGGTATCGTAACTCGAAGATACCGGTATACTAGTTGTCTCTCTTGTCATATGATTTGATCAAACTATACCATAAGTCTCTCAGCACCATGCATAGCATAATAGCGGTATCTTCTTACCCTGTTGCTACACTGTTGCTACAGAAGCAAACGGAATCTCAACGGGAGCAACAGTATTCCCACGAACTTCTGCCCTACTTTTCTTCCACAAGAGTCGCATTTGAGGAACAATCAGGCCATTGGATCTGTCGGGAATATTCGGCTGTGTTTCCAAGGTGAAGATACACGACGGGAATCCGAATAACTTGACAAGTGCGATGATGAAGGGGTATAGAACTAGATATATTGATACAAAAGGTCGTTCGTGAGTGGGTCACTGTAGCACGCCATGTGATATTGATCGGCAAGCGAGCCGAGGCTAATCTGAAGAGGAAGGAGATTTGAGGTTTGAAACACCTACACAATTTCGACTACGACCTAGGTACTTAAATGAGAAGCGAATTCTCCGCTCTGTCGTCGCACTTTCAACGATTTACCTTGCCGGAATTCGGTACCTGGAAATTAAGCGCCATTTATGATTTGGCTCTACTTCGATAGTATGTCGCACGGAACCACGGTTTGGACTTGGCCGACTTAACATTTTTTTTCTCTCTTAATCTTAACTTTTTGTTTTCTTGTTTCGATATTCAACTGTTTCAAGGACACCAACTCGTAGATCCCAATAATTTCCTCCCCAAAGAGCCCAAAGAGGTACCGGTAAATGGATGGACGTTATCATTCTCCTTCCCTACATTCCTAAACAGGGATAGTTGATCCCCCGACAAGAAACCGGTAGCGCTGAAGATACGAGAACATCAAGCTTGCTTGGTCAAACTCAGAAGAGAGAGAATAAAAAACCTCAAAGGCAAAAAAGGAAAACCTTCTATAATTTTCGGTGTATTTCCTGTCACTGAGTAATGCCAGGTGATTCGATTCTTAGCCAACGCTCCTAGTGCGGAGGATGTGGAGCACGAAAGATCTTGAGATCTTCGATCTGATAAGATAATTTTTCTTTTTTTTCACGGTTGATTTCCGGCGTTTCTGCAATATCAGGTGTACTGCAGCTGCAGTATCAGATGTATCATTTTTCCGAGGTCGGATCTATAACCCTATCCAGACGACATGGCTGCAGTCTGTAAATGAGCAGGGAAGCTCGGAGCACCTACCCAGATAGTGCAATTCGATACCTGAGAAAGCTCTTTGCAAGATACGGAAAATTTACTTTTTCTTGTTTCAAAGCAATTGCTCAATTTGCCTTGCAAGCCGCCAGTGGTTATTTAAGTCGTGGCAAGTGAAGCTTAAGTGGTGGTTCCTCCTCAGATTGCCGCCTTGTTTCCAATTCAGCGAAACATCAAGATTGTGGGGTCCTTAATAACCCTACTATACACCCAACTGTGGGGTATACAACGCCCAGTCTGCATGTGCTATTGGAAGCTGCACAAGCTTCACGTTCATGTACTTCGTACCTAGGTAGCTCTACGTAGGCAGATTAATTCGCACATTATACGGCCGTGCACCCCTACTATCACCCTTTCCCTAAACCCTCAAAATAAATCTTAAAAATGTGAATTAAATCCTAGAGTATTCTTTAGCATCTGCTTTGTAAATACAGAGTTTTGTAGATGTTGCATCAAATGTGTCGTGAGTAATATAAGGACTTGATCGAATTTGTAGCGGAACCAAAATGTGCGGTTCAATCTGAATAGAGCCTAGGTACATGCACGGGAGCCGAATGACACCGACCTAAAAAAAACAAGGGCGGGAGGGAAAGTAAAAAGGACTCCAGCGATTCGGGAGTTATACACAAGGATTCATTTTCCCAACCACGGAGTTTACTTGTGGTAGGCAGAGAGGAAACTGTAAACACCTGATTTTCGGCCCCTGATTGACCAATTCAAGTGCCCACTCCCGGTTTTCTTGGTCCAATGGTATTACATCATGAGAACAAGACAGGATGGACAAGCATCTAACATGCCGGTGCACCCTGGAATGTGACAACGAGCAAAGAAAGCAAGCAAGCAGGCAATCGTACCCAAAGTAAATGGTCCCTGTGACTTGTTCGCGGCTGTCCGGTTTACTTGCAGACCCCGCCTCCAATTGGGATCCTCCACTCGAGATCGAGTACATAAGTAGTCCAGCTTCCCAAAGCTCTAGATCAGAATATCATCACCATTCATCCTCACAAATCAGTCCATATTAAATATAAAGATTCAATCTCGAGAAGTCCGGTATAAATAACCACAACATCCAACCAAAACTCTACTTCTCACTTCATTTCCGCTCAACCAACACCTCATCATCACCATCACCACCATGCAATTCTCAAAGATCCTCTCAACCGTCGCTTGCCTCCTAGCAACCTCAACTGCATTCGCCATCCCAGCTTCCCTCGACGCAGTAAGGCATCTCCCCCTACCCCATCCCTATCCATCCCCTCCCCCACCCCCAATCTCCTCCCCAACCTAAAACCCAAACTAACAAACCCTCTTAGCGACAATCCTCAGCAACCCCCATCGAGACCGCCCCCCTCCAATTAGGCGCCTGTCTCGCACTGGGAAAATGCTACACGGAAGGCACCAACATCGGCTGCTTGACCGCCGGCTGCGCAACCAACGAGCTGTTGGGAAGTATCTGCTCGTGTAATGCTTCGGTGCAGAAGGTGCTGGATGTTCAGACCGCTAAGGGCCGTGCTACTTGGCCTTTGAAGTGTGCTTTGTAAATGGGATGAGGGATTGTGATTGGTTGTGGTGGTAGGAGCGGGTTCTTCTTTTTTCGATGTATATATGCATGTTTTTCCTGGGGAATTTTTGGGGATAAGTGGGGGATGGGCTAGGAAGGGATTCTGGGATTTATGATGGGGTTTATGATTTTTTGGAAGGGATGATTTAGATGAATGATGGTTCATTTTCTGAACTCACCGAAAAGTAAGGAACAAAGACAGAAAAAAAATCAAAATAACGATTCAATTCACATCCAAATCGTTCTCTATAAAAACCACCTTTGTCAAGCGAAGCTACGATCCCAACATACGGCATTCCTAATATCCATTCCACCAAGAACCACCTATGGAATTCCCTATACCGAACGGTATGAACATTAGACCATCCCAATAACCCCACGATTCCATTTCCAAATTATGTTTTCACTTAGAACCTATCCATGAGCTACAAAATCCTTGTTCCATCATGATCAACCTTCCAAACTTTACATCACAAAATACATACTCTACATCTCGCAATAGACTACCTACACCAAAGCATACTTTAATCGTCTTATACAAACTAGCACCTCTAATCACCCACCATACCAAATCCCCAACCAAATATACCATATCTCTACTTAATCATACCAAACTCAAGCTCCCCATCACCCTCATATAAAAACCCCTCCTCTGAAATCCCAAACCCCATCCTTTCGCACATCCAACATTATACATCCAACATCATACATGATACATTATACATTATACTCAACAGCGATACCAACAAAACAATAAAACAGTATCAGTATCTCCTTCCACGGAAGAACCATCCTCAACCAGTCACTCTAGATCAGCAAACCAAAACAATATCCTATCAAACCCAGAACTTGTTAGGAAAAGGTCTCCAAAAGAATGGAGAACCAGGGAGGGATATGATTTTATTTAAAAATAAAGGAAGGTACGTCATGGTAATCGTGTATAATATTTCATATCGCATATATACATCTCTCCTCCCACCACCACTCACCATCCCTCATCCTCATCCCCCACCTCAATCCAGAATAAAAAAGCCACACAAAAACCAAAAAAATAACCCAAGAGAAAAAAAAAAAGAGAAAAAGAAAAAAACCTTTACCCAAGAAATAATAAGAAAAGAGACACGAAAGAAAAAGAACTCCAAAATATGTATGTTATGCATCACCTTATCATAAGAGGTCATGTATCATGAATATATATCCATATATATCAAACAAAAAAAAGAACAAAAAAAAGGGGGCGGGGACGGGCGAAAAGAAGCAATGCCAGATATGGTATCATGCTATGCACCTCATCCAAAAAGAAGTAAACATAGAAAGAAGAAAAGAAAAATGAAACGACGGTATACCCCAAAAAGGGCTCGCCAAAGCAAGTCTTTACAACAAAACACATCGAGATCCACAAATATACTACCTTCCCGCCGTGGCAATCGACCTCCTCGGACTCGAGTACTTATTCAACACCAACCTCTCCTCCTCATCACTACTCGAGTCCCCCATCTCCTCCAACAACCGATCAATCGCCGCCTCCCTCTCCCTCGTCGTCTTCCCCGAGCCACCGGTTCCCCTCCTTCTATACTGCGCACCACCACTCGCCTCACTACTAGCCGCACTCTCACTCGTGGCAGTGACATCGAACCCGACTTTCTTCCCATGAGCAGGTCTGGTTTGATGACTGAACTCGGTGCGTAGCGGACTTTGTTGTGGTGATGCCTGACTCCTCGGTGGAAACGTGTGAGCCATGTTTCCTGAATTTCCCGGACTGCTCATGAATAGTAATGTTTCTATGGCGTCTTGTTCCTGGAGGGTTTTTTGCGTCGGTGTGTGGATGCGGGGCCCTTCTCTCATATCTCGATTGGGTGTTAGTGGAGTATTTGACAATAGCGAGGAATTGGAATTATGGCCTGGAATTGTCGGGGGTTTACTGAATTTGGGGGTCCCAGATCGACGTGATGTTGGGGTTGGTCGGATATCAGCTGGCGGGGCAAGTGATCTGGAAGGTGGTGAGACTTGGTAGTGTCTCGGCGAAGGATTGTGTGCGACGGAATGATCTCGCCAGAAGGATTCGTATGTTCGAGTTGGTTGTCCATTTGCCGAATACAGGTCGAAATCCACAGTCTGTTGGGATGAAGAGTTACTTCCACTGCCGGATTGCCCTTGTATACTGGCTATTGCAGTTCGTGGTGATGTTACTAGATTTCGACGACCGTGTAATGTTGAAGAGGATGACGTGGGAGAAGCTGCTTGTGATGCTAGAGATTCTACCTCACCAATTGAGTTTGATTGCCATCCATTGTGCACTTTGACCATGGCATAAGAAAGACGCGTTCTTAATTCCGCAGATAGCTGGGGTTTGTTAGGGACATTCTCTTGGACCAGTTTTATTCTTACCTGTCCAAGTCTGTTACTCGACGAAGACAAATTGCTTACGGCACTGGTATTTCTCGAATGCCCTCGGGGACGAGGACTCATGGGCGAATTGGAGATGTTTTCCTTTATCTGTCCATCCGCCGTCCTCTTTTGTCCCGCAGTCGGTGATATTGAGAGAGTGGGTCGCGTAGCATTTGTCAAAGGCTGCTGTTGAGCAGCCAATTGGGACAATTGGGACAACTGAGACAACGGTCCATCCTGATTCGTAGTCTGCGATGAGAACCCTTCTGAGGAGGAAGTCGGAGGAGATGCGATTGTGGATTGGGAATTGTCACTCGAATTCGATTGTGGATTCGTATGCGCGTTGTTTTGATCTTCTTTATGGAACCCTTTCCCTATCGCACTCCCAACTCGATCAATTCCCGAATACTTTTGCAACAGGCCCTGCGCATCATGAGCTGTGCGAACAAGAGTATTGTCCAACTTCGAGGCCTTCATGTCGATACCCGTCGCGTTCTGCTTTGCAATTCCACCTGTCTCTTCGCGACGATGACTCGCTGACAACGTGGTTTCAGTTCGCGCAGGAACTGCTAATTCTCTCTCAGCCATCAGTCCCAACCTTTTCCACTCTGTCGCGCTCCCGTAAATCGCTTCGCGTGTCGCTAAATGGGTGTAAATAGTGGTATAATGGCTAGTTTCGTTCAATTGCGCGCTTGCCGATGCGGCAAAAGCGTGGACGCTTCTTGAGACGCTTCCAAGGCCACGCGTCAAGCAGACACGAATGATTCAAGTCTTCTGAAAAAGATCCGGTAGAGCGTCAGATTTTGCCTCGCAATTATATGACTTTAGAAGAGAAACAATAAGGATGTTGTTAAGATGGTACAGGATTGAGCGCAACGAAGAGGATTGCGTGCATGACCGAAACCACCCCACGCTTGCGCGTGATCACGAGCTCGCCTCCTGTGAACACACCGACGGGAAGGAAAGTCTCTTTCCTACAACGTCATAAATGAGAACGCTCTTGATTCGTTAATGGATTTAGTCTATAGAAATAAGCCTAGGAAGAATAGTTTAATCATTGTGTAGATACTCTTCTAAGCCGATTATTCCATCTACTTTCTCGCCCTATGAACACGCTACCCTGGTCATTTTCCTCCACAAAATGCTAGGCGAGGATTCGAGATAAAGAGGTTCTTGACTTCCACCAAGAACCCACAAATGTAGCTGAAGTTTGCAGCACAAAGACCAAAAGATAGAGAAATAACAAAGACAACTCACATTTTTAGTCCACCTTCAGTAGTCCACCAAGCCAAGTCGCCAAGGTGTACGCAGTAGATCCACTCTGAATCTGATCTAATAGGTACTTCCCTTTACAATTGACCTTTGTATTTCTAGGGTATACGAGTAATTAATTATCCGGGGCTTTCTAAACACTTAACTTAATCTTCTAAGTATTTATCTCTAGCACTTCTATCTCTAAATACTATAGACTCTACCGCTAATACTTCCTATAAACTTCCCAATTAAAAAAATAATAAAAAGAAAGTAATTACTTTTAATTATATCTAAAACTCTATAAACTATCTCTATTAAAAGATACTATTAAAATATACTTATACTTATATAAAATAAAATAAAAAGTTCTAAAGTTTACCTAGTACTATCTAAGATATTACCTACCTAGTAAGGTAGAATTATAAACTTACGCGGCTTAGGTAAAGTCTAACTCTATTTATCTAATAGTACTAACCTTAAATCCCCTAATATATTACTCTAGTACTAACCTTCTTACCTTCTAACCTTCTAACCCCGGATATAAAAACAGAGATCTCCCTTGGTTACTTACCTATCTATGAATAGAGTCTAGACGGAAAGATTCCACCCGGCTTTCCAAATAGCCTGAAATGACACCACCCTAAGCGGCTGGTTAGTCATCTTGAGAACCCGGATCCCTCGGAACCACATGCACCTTTCAACTCATGAAGAAGAAGAAAATGACATTTGTATTTCTATTCTTTTCCTTTGGAAAGACGTCTTGTCTACATGTACTGATAACCCGCAGACCGACCGAGAAAAACAGCAAAAAGTCCCAAATTCTTGTGTATCATCAACTCCAGAAAAGACCAAACAGACAGACCCCCGGGAAACGCCACGCCACTTTTTCCTACTCCTCCCTGTGTGATTCTCACATGAATACCCGAAAGACGATGCGAAAAGAAAGACAGAAGAAATCTAGAGAGGGTTCAAATCATCATTTCCTCCTCGCTCGTCTCTGTTAAGCTCCCTTCACTCTCGGTACAAGGAAAAGTTTTCGAACCGTCAAGACCGTTGAGATGTTCAGAGTTATGTGCCGTAAGCGGGTTCCCATTCTCCGAGATATTAATTAGTGTCGGGCAATCGGTCTTGCTGTCTACTTTGCCCATTATCTCATTGAGTTTTGACATTACTTCTTTTCTTTCGGCTTGCGCTTTTTCCAATTTCTCTTTTCTACTCTTTTCAATCTTTGCGGCTTTAGCAATCTTCTTGGCACTTCGATTATCTTGAACTCTTCCGAAAGCAACGACTTGTACGAGGACCATGAGAATTGTGTATCCCCAGCACAATTGATCATTATCGTGCATGTCAAGATACGGTGTGGAACCGGGGAGCGGACCAAGGCGTTCGAATGTAGGATGGGGCGATCGGGAAGCAGTTGGTGGGGGTGGCATGTAATGCGATACGAAAGTGTTTATGAGATGGAGAATGAAGGCGGGGTTAAGTATGATTGCGGGTAGCAGGTAGGTGGAGGATATGGAAGGCATCGTTGTTGATTTGGTTTCTGGGATTGATTAGCGCCTTTCTTGTTTTGTTGTTTCCCCGGGTATTCCCAGTACTTACATGGTCTTTTGCTTCCTATTTTCATTTCATTTATTCACAGCGAGCCGTACGTGGTGGCTCGACCTGTGATCACTAGTCTCTTGATTCTCCAGGGTGAGCTGGATGAATGAAGGATTCCGATCAAGTGAGGTGTTTCCGGGGGACTTGTGTTGAAGTGGAGGATGGTATTTGAGTTGATTGTTGGTGTTCGCTTCAAGCTGGTTTCAATTCGTGGTTGCGGGGAGTCAATAGTTGTTGTTGAACAATTGCTTGTGCAACCCCGCTGCCTTTGAGGATACGATGACGTTCTGGTGGTTCGTGCGAAACAGGTTTGCGCCGAGGTGGTGGTGAGTGTTGAGCAAAAAGAAATACTGTAGGTGTGATATCCAGGTTGCAAACGAGAGTCGAGAGTCCGTACTGTATGAGAGCAATTGGGGTGTTTCAGCAGTGTCAGTGCTTGGATGGTGGTGCAATGGGAATGGGAGCAGAGAGAGAAGAGACGGGAGGTTGAGCATGTGCAGGTGTTCTTTTGTTTGCCAAAGTAGGTAGGTTGGTAGGCTCGCAGGGCTGGAAATAAGAGCCTGCTCGGGGACCTGAACCTGAGCCTGGGAATGGAGAAGACGATTGTGGATTGCAGCTTCCTTCCCACATCAACTTTTCCTGCACCCCAGCGAGCCCAAACTAGGTACCTGCCTAGGTAGCTACTCGAGTACACCTATCGTTCTACATGAGCCTATCACAGATCACCAGTCGGCCATATTATGGCAGATTGACACTTTTTTGACATGTGCGTGATGCTTTACTTGGTACCGAGGCGCTGTGTAGGCACGGAAACCGGTCTTTCAAACGATGAGGAAGAGGGAAATCAGGCTCCATTTTCAAGCACCAAAGTTTCAGGGTCCTCAGACCAGCATCAGCTCCGATGGTGCGGTGCCAGGAGCCAGCCCAGCGCCAGGTCCCTGGAGTGATCCGCGTTGGCGGTGAATTTGACAGAAGAGGCTCGACAGCTGCGGGCACCACTAAGATGGAAGCTAAAAATAAACATGCCCGCTGTGGCTGAAAACTGTGGCTCCCCCGGCCCGGCCCTGGCTCATTGAATGAGGCTACCACGGCTACGAGCCACGTAGCAACAGTAGGGAGACAAGGCTAACATTGTGGCAGCTTCTATCAACCCAACCCTAAGAAAATCACCTATCGCAACACGTCAATTCTCTGAAACAAAACCACCAACTAGCAACGGCCGTGAGCCTTACCATAACCAACCATGGTATGCTTGAGAACCTACTCTACCGACCCCCTCGCAGAAACTAACAAACGTCCCCTCCAGAACTCCCTCTTCAACACCGCCCTCAAGCAATCCACCTCCCTCAAACACGACCTTTCCTCCCCCCCATCCAGCACCCAACTCACCCCCTCCCTCCTCGGCCAAATCTCCGCATCACTAACCTCCTTCTCGCGGACGCTGGACCAATACGCCGACCTCACCAAAACCGAGCTGAACCCCTCCAAAAAAGAAAAAGCCTACGAGAGAATAGACACCTTCCGGACAGAATTACAATCCTTCCGTGAGCAACTCAAGGAACTCAAAGCGCAGAGCGAAGACGTAACAGCGACTGTAAACCGCCAGGAACTATTAGGGCGACGACCACATCACACCAGCACGCCGGATAATCCCTATTCCAATGCGGCGATAGCTTCAAACGCGAATGCGCATAATCCGTGGGCGCCAAAGGAGAGAGGGGAGCAGTCGAGTCTGGGAATGGGGAGTGGAGATCAGATGAGGGAGAACCATGCGTTGCGGGAACAGAACTTCTTTGCGAATACCAATAGTGCATTGGATGAGTACCTGGCGAGGGGACAGGCTGTATTAGGAGATTTGGCGCAGCAAAAGGAGATGTTGAAGGGGACGCAGAAGAGACTGTATAGTGTTGCGAATACGCTTGGTATTAGTGGCGATACGATACGGATGGTGGAGCGGAGAGCAAAGCAGGATAAATGGATCTTTGGGGTGGGCGTGGTTGTTTTCTTCCTGTTTTGCTGGCTGGTACTGCATTATTTACGATAGTCTCATGGGGCTTTGAGGGTGTTTTATAGGTACGATATGGAATTGGAGAGACGAGAAGTTTTGCAGCATTTTATAGTAGCGAGGCGTTGGGGAAAATCCAGATTATGTTGCTGTGCATGTACAACCACCCCCCAAAATTGGTCACGCTATCTACTGTAGCTTACAGTCTCTCAAATCGTTCAAACGATATTTCTCAGGCCTCTGCGCCTCTGCTACGGAGTGGTAGGAAAGAAATGTGGTAGTACTGTAAATACCTTCGTATTTGACACATCATTGTTGCCGACAATTTGACATTTGTTCAGAAACTTTTCCCTTTACAACTATCGATCTCAAGTCAATAGTGGAGAAATCAATACCCATAAAGAATCCAGAAACTACACAGGCACAACCTGGTCGAAAGAAAAAGAAAGAAAAAGAGGTACATCTTACATCTCATCTACCTATATACGATACCTTCAAGAACCCCCCCTTTGCCCCTCTCTCGTCATCTCCTCTTCCTAGATTTGAGATTGAAGGTAGAACTGGACTATTCATCCTCTCTCTTTATCCCCTCTTTTCGCGGCATAGTACTTAAACCACTATAAGATTACTATACAGCTCCTTACCTACTCACCTCTTGTCCCCCTCTCAAAATATTGAAATTGTACCATTGGTACAAGTAGGCTCTTGATTTCTATAAGACTATAACCCTAGGATGGGGTTCAAGATGTATCCCTGATTCCAAGTTCTGACAGTTTTGGAGATAGGTGTTTGGAGTTATTTTGAGTTATTTGAAGGGGCTTCTTTGGAAGACGGGGGAGGGGGGGGGATTGAGATTGGTTCTTTTTGGATTTGTTGAGAAGACTATAGGATATTGGTGGAAGAGGGAGAGAAGGAAGGAAGAGGAAGAGAAGAAAATGGATGTTCAAGTTTGCCTAGAGATATATAATGTACTACTCGAGTACGCTTATTGATACACAAATCACCTGTGTGCTATACACGTTAGGTAGATATAAGATTAGAAATTTAATTGAATTAATCTCCTTCCTCTCTCACGATTAACCTTCTGAAGTTATTTAAGGTAGTACTTGTAAAATTCTTGTATCTTGGTTTATACGTGTTTCTTCTTCTTCTCAAAGGTAAATATTCGTTAAAATGTGACGATCGGTAGTAAAGTATTCTACGTATTTAGTCGATAAATACTCTGATATGAAAATAGCTACCACTGCTGTTACTGTTTTTGTTAACCTCCAGCACGTAGGTATTTCATGATTAGATACCCGCCTGGCCGGCGGCTATGAATAGATCACGTGATTCGCAACAACCTTGACCTTAACAAAGTCCTTTCTTGACCTTGAATTACTTCCACACTGACAACAAAAATACAATCACTCAACTCTCTCTCAACACCTGCTAGTAGAAACCCCAATCTCACCCACAACTCCTTCCAGAACCACCAAGCATACCCACGACCCTATCGGGGGTAGGTAGAAGATTAACCTTTGGCAATTCCTTGATTTCCGCTACGGCCAGGCGAAGCGAGAGGGTCTAGAACGCTCTCTTCGCACTTCCTTCCAACAACCATGGACCATGGTGTGCACGGAAAACCCAAGCACGCACGCACGACCAGTATTTTCAATCTCGATAGATGGCTTTGTTGCACATCGCACCGCTGATCCTCTCAAACTGGGAAAAGTGTAAATCCAATGGTTTGATTTTCTTGGAAGGCCGCGTAGCTTCTGTTCCCGGTTCGATTCCCGTTCGGTTCGGTTCCTTCGGAGTGTGTTGTGTCTGGTCTGGTCCTTTTCCTGATGGCTGGCAGCCTGGCATCTGCAAAGAGAGATTTTGCGACTTGGCTGCGCGGTGGTGTGCTGTGGATGGTGTGTGTTGCACATCGCAAGCACGACCCAGGCTTCTGCCATGGCCCATGGTCTTTCTTTCCTGATGAAGAGGAGGCTAGACCTGGCTATACTATCATCCTTCTAGAATCTGTACAGTAGCTCGTGCTCTCCTTACCCCTTCCCCCCATCCTTCTCTTTCTATCTCTGTTATTACTTTGTTGCACATCGCAACGTCGATCCTTCTACATTTGCCAACCTGTCTGGAGCTCGTCTCCCGATCAGTCAGTCAGTCAGTCATGCAGAACCCACCGAACAAGACCCGAACTCATCACTCCTCTTGTCTTGGGATTTCCCTTGCAAGAGATCTTAGGGTTTGGAAAACGCTTGATTCCGTGGGCCTTGGGGGAGTTTGTTGCAAGTCGCGATTTGGAGGGTGGAAAACCGGTTTTTTTTCTTAGCTTTTCTGATGCGTTGGTTTGAGGGAGGGAAGATGGGTTGGGAAATTGTGGGGATCTTTTCTTGTTTGGTGGTGTTGTGTGTTGTGTGCCGAGGGGTTTTTTGGGGGTCTTGTTGTTTTTTGAGGTTGGGATTGGGGATGTTTGGCAGCTGGATTTTTTGGGGGAGATTTGTTTGGTGGTCTTTGGGCTTTTCTTTGCTTCTCCATTTTGAGATTTCGGCTTCCATTGTTTCTAGCAGGAACGTTCGTGTGCTAGTTGTTCCTTCGACGCTTGGAACATTGGATTGGCAGAGTACGTACTTGTTGGAGATATCACATTGATCCTGACACATTCTATCTAGGTAATTCATACACATTGGAGGTTCCTTCTTCTACCACCTTCGAATGATACCTTCAGGACTTTTTCAACCAAAAAAAAACTGAAAATTCCTGAGTTTATGTTGCTTAAGTTCTGACAGTGGATTAGGCTATAGTGACCACGAGGTGTAGATACCTACACCGTGCTCCATCTATCATATAGACGCGCCATGGCATATTTTCATGCTTACATACGCAGCCAAGATAGCGAAGGTTGAAACATCCATCAATATCGTTACTTACTAGGCTCCTGTCGGTTTCTATATACCCTCCTACGTCGGTATACTCATCAAGCTCGTTTTCTTTCTGTGTCCGATTGGCACTGAGGACTCAGTCTTACCTATTCATTATTCATATCTACACCACCATGACTCTTCATAACCTCATAACCACACCGACCAAAAACTTGCCTCAGTCGGATGCACTAGAAAATAACGGGTATACGGGTCCTAAACCACGATTCTGGTGGCGAATACGCAGTATATTATTTGTATCGAGAATGCTGAGTGTTATCTCTCACTACACTTGAGCATCTGATTATGGATAGGTAGGACACTCTGAGTCCCAACCCGACGTAAGAACGCTCTGTGGACTCTCCTCTTCGCCTGGACCTTTAGTACGTGGAGCGTTTGAAAACAGTAGCTTCCAATAATTGAGACCGTCGTCACAGCAGCAAACCTCGTTCGGCACAAGCAAGCACAAATCCGCTTCGCAACCAGGCAACTCAACCTCAGAGCTCCGGGTTCAGAAGGCAAGCGCACAGCCGTTACAAGCTGACCTTCTTATTTCAGCTTCAGAATCGTATCCTGGGTAGTGTAGTGGAAGTAGCGAGGCGTTTCCATTCTGTTTTGTACGGAGAAAATATGGAGAAAAAGACGGCAGTATGCGCAGATTGTGGGGTTTGGATTGTCTCTAAGTAAACCATTCCTAACTCTGCGCCTGTTGATAGACCTGCTTCTGCTATAGGATGTAGAGAAGATTCATCATGTCGATAACATCTGGCGCTAATGGGTGGATCGATGAATCTGAGATTTTGAAAGAGATTGATTCTGGAAAGTGTTTCCCAGTCGTTTCTGCTTCAAGCATTTGGGATGTTTTCGTCTGGGATATTAATGTTGATATTAAGTAACGGAAGACAGGCTTCAAGCATCTCATAATATTGATAGAATTAAGTCCATAGGTTTCTTATATTTTGATAATTGAGGTTAACAAGTTATACAGAAGAGAAACTCAAATAGATATGGATAGCGATGCTGACTACTTCTACCTAAGAGCAAGCGAGAAAAGAAAACTGGAGGATTTATCTATTTTAGCTACCTGAGGTATGTCAATCTTGGAGAGAAAGGAGGAGGGGCGGGGGG